AAAAGAAATCAACAAGCTGAGAAATGTCAACAAATATTTCGATTGGAATCGTGTAAGTAGTTAATTGTTTTACATCAAAGTCGAGCGCTATTATTTAGCAGATGATGTCACTTACTTTGTATCATGGAGCGACAGTTACTTCCCAAAAAATTGTTTACCTCCATCTGTATGCAAGTCAAAACGGAGTATAAGACGAATGTCGGACTTCTGCTAAAAAAAGTGTCGACTTAGACCCTGAAAAATACGGTAATTTTGGAGGAATATTACTGGCGTGAATTTGATCAAATTGTATGGCGTATGCCTGTCTTCATTAGCCCAGTTCGGAGCAAAACATCAGGACGTTAACCCCATTTCATTTCATTTACATGCATATCAATGTGTACACAGGTGGACCTCAGTTTTCTTTATCACCTGTCCAACTGTCATTCTAGCCAAGATTCTAGTGCCAACTAACACAGTCTCTGCTAATCCTTACTGATTTCAAAAATAAAGTTGAACTTTTAACCTAATGCAAGTCTGCAGGTTACCATTACAGGCAAATGTTATGTACCTATAACATTGTTTTAATATATATCTCAGTTTCTTGTTCAACCTGGCTAGCTGACAACGTATTTGAAGAAGCTTTGACAATGGTAGTGACTATAGGTCGTTCCAAACTTGATGTGAAACTTCCTGTCTGTCCTCAAAACCTGACTGCAGCTGTGCTATGGATTGGTGTAAAATTTTCCCTTTTAAAGGAGATAATCCACCCATTTCTATATAGACAACGACAACACTTTTTAAACAACCACTCTGAAATGTCACGTATGTTTTCATCATCCCAGTCGGTCCAACTGTCGTCTATGATGGCCCATGGCTATCATAGAGAAATATATTAAACAAACCAAAATAAAAACTGTCAATAAAATTAGAACAGAAATAAAAATTACACAAAATATAAATAAATTAAAATGAAAATGCACATAACAAGGAACCTTTGACAATAGGAATTCAATAAAAACTAGGTGAAAATGCTGCTGTCCTGGCAAATTTAACCTCGTAGCACACTGCCTGGTATATGCCCATCTTCTTTAGCCCAGTTGGTTCAGAACAGTAGGATGTTAACCTCCATTTCATTTGATTTCAACATCTTTATTTTGGTGGAATATAGAAACATATCATCTCATCTGATTTCAGCATCTATATTTTGGTGGAATATAGAAAAAATATCGACTATCTTCATCAAAGTCCACCACTACAGATCTCTGCGATTTTATTGCGAAGGACTGCACAAGACTTTTAGCCCCCTTTGCTCCAAAGTGAGTTAGGGATATGATCTTAAAAGTCTATTAATGATCTCTAGGGAAGGTGGTAGTATTTTACCAACTACCTTGTAATTTTAGGTCAAATATATCACCTTTGATTATCCCAAAGTTGCAAAATTATTCAAAATCTGAAACAAATGAAACTCAGCAACATCCAGCCACCTATATTTTGTTGAAATTTCTAGCTAATCTATAATATGCTTTAAACCTTTTTGAAAATAAAATAATAACAATAATGCAGTCTACCGCTAAACAAATAAAGAACATAAATTCCAAAATGCTATCCAATAGCTTTATCAATAATGCACAAGAAAGTAACATGTAACTATATGTTTGAGTCTTCCTACAACCATTTCAAAAGATTATCACGTTTGTTCAAACAGAGGTGTATTCATTGGCTTAGTTCACAAAACAATATTTACTTTTAAATAATCGCTTCTAAACTTACTTCAATTAAAATAGAGATGTGACGTCGTTTTTTCCAAAAAAATCATTTAAAATATGGACGTCAGGGAGACAATTAAAAGTAGTTTTTGGTGTTTTGATGAAGTATATTTAAATGGAACTTGTTATGGTTAGATCAAGTGTTGACCATCATGTGTTTATCAAGAAGGAGGGGAACGCTACTCAAGGGATTTCTGGACTGTCATCTTCCCATCATCTTGTAATGTAAATAGATCTTCTGTCTTCTGTTCAAACATACGGCTGTTGTAGCAATGTATTCTTTCTCCTGTTTAAACAACATGTAATTTCATTAAATCTGTCCAATTCATTTTATTTCTACCAGAATTGTTCCTGTACAAAGAATTAAAGATAAAGATATGAAATGTAAAATGTATGTCAATGTAAGATGGTGAGTTAACACCATACAAAAGAAAGTGGGGATCTACATCTTCTTCAAATAGGATGCACATACATCTATTGTGTATAGGAAAACAAACTACTACATATTTGTGTTTGTATATTCTATGTGGTGTTCAAAAAAGTTTTGAGCAATAAATTTCAATTCAATTCTATTTCCTTAGAACTCTATGAACACTAGTTAGAAATAGTAACCAATGATAATTCAAGCATGTGGTGGAATAAAATCATATCTTCCATTAAATAGTTTAGAAGCAAAACTTTAAAAGACTCAAATTGAATCTTATTTTTCTAGAATAGTATTAATGTTAAGATGGAATTGTGATCCCTGTGTCACGATTTGGCTCAATACCTGGTTTGGCTCAGTGCCTTACATTTTAGTTTCAAATTGAGATCTAACAGCAACATTTTTGCAAGTAAAATACAGTACTATACATGTATGGATAATAACACTGAGAATTCGCTTAACATTTTGGTAGAATATATGGAAACCGAGTTATTTCACTATGTGCATGTGTGTAGAAGTGACAGTGATTAAAGCTAGTTTCATTGACTTTCTACCCCGAACTATTGTAAATGAGGTTTATAAGTTATCAAGATGCAAATGTAGAAGTAATTAAAATCATATGTCCAAAAGGTCTTCAAGAGTATAAATAATTAAAAGACAATGAATCTTGAGTGATTAACGATGCTGAGACTCTGATCTAGAATATTGAATTGAACCAGATATCCTAACTTTATACAATGGTCTATGACGAGAATCAATTATACAAATACTCATTATAAACATAATTAACATGCCAAACATATTTCCCTAAAATGTTTCAAAATCTATCTAATCAAAACAGGAAATTTTAAATAAATCAATAAGTCTGTACAACATTCGTAACATGATGATCTCTCTGATGGGAATCTAAAGTTCTTGTGAGACAAATCATTTTTCTATACGAATACCTTTTTCTTTTTTCTTTCTCAACTTTAAATCATACCATGTCTACTGATCTGTAATCAGACAAACTTGATTAGAACATTTCCCCAGTGATTCACATTGTCAGAAAATCTATGTGGTTAAAAATAAGTTTCTATGAATAATAACATGGTGTCTAAATGATGCAACTATAAGCACTTAGTAAAGAGACTGGAACTGCATAGGTGTGTCGATTAGGGAAATGGAAAGAAAGAGAGAGAAATGTAGTTTAAGGTGGACTCAACACGAACTAGATCATTTCGTAACTAATATGTGTTTCATTTTTATGTCAATAACTTGTTTGTATTGCACTACACTAAGGAGTCTATACCTGAAAGGACATACACATGTAGATTATTAACAACTCTACCCCACATACATTTTGAGACTTGTATAATGACGTCATTATTTGATTTTTTGTAGGTCTTTCAAAAGAGAATGAACTAAAATCAAAGTTCAGTAACTTATCACTTTATTCAATTTAAAACTTCAGTGAAACCTATTTTTTTAAAAGAACTGCACAAAAATGCAAAATGTTTGTTTTGATGAAGAGGTCATACATGTCTTATGCACTATAATCTGAAAACTTTAAACAAACATGTTTTCATTGAGAACACCAGAACCTTGATCAGATTCACAGTTAGGGATAAATACTTGGCATAAATCATAAACAAATAAACAAATCCACATTGTTCAAGGACTTCCAACAAATCTAGAAGCACTATTACCAGATCTCTTAAGACCCTGGTATAAGCAGACACAGATAAGGAAACACGCAAAAAAAACAGATGAAACAATACCCATTTTAAAACATTTCTTTGATTTTGTTTTAAAAATAACTCACTGGATGTTTATTTTCATCAGTGTCTATTCTAGTCCATAAGCATGTTCATTTCTGTTTCTCATGTTGCCACCTCACTTTTTTTTTTTTACAAAACAAAGTCTGTGGGAAGATTGGGAAAATTGGCAAGGATACTGTATGTGTAGACTTATTACACATTTGTGGCAACTGGCACCATTAAATTTAAATGCTGTGGCGACATATAAAATAAATACAAAACAGACAGTGTTTTATAGCAATGCTAAAAGCATTTAAAAACAGGTTGCTTACGTAGTTGAGTAAATCACATTTTAAGTTTTGAAGTCATCCAATTTTGGACACATTGATAGCTTTTAGAAAACATGCCTTTTTGTGCATGCTTGTAACTTAAGACCTTAATATGCAAACATAAAGAGAATTTGGTCTCTAAAATATATTGCTTATGATCATTTGTTCATTTAAAATCAACACCACAAATTTGAATCACAGGTCGTAAGTAAAACATCCCTATCTAGTAATAAGTAATAAAACATTGAATAAAACATGTTACTTTAACTTTACTCATTATACAACCTTTTCATTTTGTTAAATTGGCTCAAAACCAATGAAAATTAGGGTATAATATCTTTACTGAAGAAACATACAATGAATTAGTTGTATAGTATTTATCAGCAGACATACTAAGCGAATCATTGATTAGAACTTGCAGTAAAAACAGAAATGATTGATTGTAAATCGATTTACATACATTCTACTTACATTATTATATGCATTGCGACCCATTTGTGTCAATTTCTAAGTACCAAACAATAGAGATTTAGCTCCTTTAAAAAAGACAAACATTGATAAAGATAATGAAATTGTATGACGTTCTTCTACAACATCTATACCAAAATAAAGGACACAATTTTAGAAAAAAACAAAACAAATAATTTATTCCAGAGCAGTTCAAGTAGAAAACAGCCAACTTGATACATATTTTATTTACGAGGTTAAGGTATCTGTTTAAAAAGTTTAAAGTACTATCTGTGGTTTACTGATTAATTGACCAATGTGATTTACATCATAATACTGTCCTTTTCTCACCCGATTTAAGTATTGAAACAGAGAAACTCTAAGCAAACATTAAGACGACAAGAGAATGTGTATTGAAGATCCTCACAGCCAATACAACACAAGAATAGAGATGTGAAAGGCAACGCTCACTTCAGTAAGACCAGTAAAAGCGAGGGCAGAGCATGTCAAATGGTTTGTTACTGTTAATTTTCACCCTCTGTCAATAAGACTGGACCAACAGAGGATTTGTCCACAACAAAGATATCAGTGATTCTCTTTTTACCACGGTATACTTTAATCTTGACCAGCTCACCCAAAAAAAAGTTTCCCAGCAGAAGATGATTGTGACAAGCATCTCATTCTCATGAAAACATTGGACAAGATGGACCTTGTAAAAAATTGGATCCTCATTTAGGAAAATAACAGTTTAGTTGACTAGGGAAGTTAACGATGGGATATATTTCTTTGTGTTTTTATCTTTAATTCATATATTCAAGAGGTTTATTCCTCTTTCTAGCTGTGATTCTAAAAAACATGTATGCAATGAATATCAACTTTGTAATTGTATCACTTCTGGTGACCATGGATATAGTATTTATTAACTGTAACCCAAAAGGTAATAACAGATTTTTTTTTATTGATAATCACATGCAGATAAGTGTTACATTTATCAGGAAATTGCAATTTGAAGGAATCAAGCTCTGAATATGATAATCTGAGAATTGCTCAGAACCTTGTTTTGAAAGTTAAATGCAAGTTAATATATTTCAGTTGTCATAACTCACCACACCCCTTTAGGATGCAAAACTGAAACCATAGAGTTTTAAGTGATCAAGAATCAGAGAAAATTATTGCTTTGAGTCAGTGAAGTCAGAGCTATAAAATGCATTATTGTTTCTGTTTGATCAAGATATAAGGCAACTGTAACTATATTACAGTTATAAACAATCCAGTATATTTGTTGATTTAAATCAATTTATTATACATTTAATCCTTTTAAAGGGAACTGATGGTAAAAAAAACCCACTCCCAATTGAGTGATCTAACTTGAGGAGAATCTGTTTCAAATGGGAATTTTCGTTTGATATATCTGATCAATTAGAATTTGATTCACTAAACAAATTCTATGTACAAAATATCTTATCAATCCTCTAAAGAGTGGGAGAATAAAAATGTTGCTCTTCCTGTAAAATGATTTAGTTTATGAAGAGAGGGAAAAAATAAACTTCTTAATTAATTCAAATATTAAAGCTTTATTTTTTAATTTCAGATGAAATAACAAATTCAGCATGTTATGGAACATACAATAACTTTTTAGACCTTGAATGTCAATGGAGGGACAAAATAAAAATTCACAAAGTGTATCAAGGAGCTAAACCAACAGCATTAGAGTGTCCATATCCAACAGACCAAAATTCCTATAAGGAGGAGTGTTGTGTACCCACGGAAGAGGATTGTATGTTTGAGATTCAAACGGGAGAAACTAATTCCTATGAATCACTGTGTAATGGTAAATCTACATGTAAACTGTTAACTATGTGGAGTGGAACAACCGGACTCTGTGATCCTAAAAAGTTTAATCCTCACACCAACTTCATGAAAATCACATATTCCTGCTTATCAGGTAAAGTTTACTTAGAATTCTCTCCCCTTTCTATGTAATAATTATTGCACAAGGCCATGCGGCTTAAAGCATTTACCGTTTTGTTTGATTAAAGAATTAGGTTTTGAGTTTTCTTTAGTTAATACAGGTGGAGTAGCATTTAACTGTAATCCTATAAAGTGGGCTTTTACCAACTTTTTAACCAGGTTTGTTTGAAGACTTTTTTTCAATGAATATCTTTTGTACTTGTATCGTATCTATTTATTATAGGCCTACCTTTTTTTTATGTTTGCGTGCAGCCTTTTAGATACAATTTACAAAGTAAACAAATAAGCTTACCTTGTCAAATTTACAAATTTTATTTCTTCAATAACAATTTGTACAGCATACATTTCAAGTATTCAGCACTGTCTTCATAGAGCAAAAAATCCAATTTGGTGACACTTCTTCTTTTTACCTATTAATTGAATCATTATGTTAAACTGACAATGTCCACTGATTTTCTTTCCATAATTTACAGTGACTGTATTTGAATATGTTTATATTATAACTGATTCTGGGTTGGTTTCTTGACAAGATAAATAGAAAATACCAGACATCTTTAGCTTGATGTATCTCATTCAATTCTCAGAGAAATCTAAATTTGTGAAGGTATAACTATGGTGCATTTATGTCTTTTGTGTTAATCATTCATCTATCAAAATTATTTATTTTATTTTGTATATTTTTATCATCTAGATATAGCCCTTTGAAACAACTGATTGTACTATACAATTTGATTGTACTATACAATTTGATTGTACTATACAATTTGATTGTACTATACAATTTGATTGTACTATACAATTTGATTGTACTATACAAACTTTTTGTATTTATAAAGTACACCTTGAACTTTAAACCTCAGGTTTAATTCAAAACCTTGCTTTGTATGGTAATGTGTCTTGTATTTTTTCTATGTATTCACAAAGGAATCAAGTTTAGAAAAGCAGAATTAGAAATAAGTAAAAAATAATTCATAATGTACACAATACCCTTCACCTCAGATTTGTAGTGCGCATCAAAAAACCTCTGACAGTTTGAATTCTGTAAAGATTAGGCAGAAGAAACGCTGTCTGGGCACATTTCTCCTCCCTCATGTAGATTATAAGATTTGTTCTCTATGCAAGTCTGGGGTTCGATCCCTGGCTTGTACATTGTTTGTTTTCTCCAAGTACTCCAGTTTCCGGACATTTTTAAGACAGGCATTGAAATCAGCCGAAAGTTAAAATCAGTGCTGTGATTGTACCCAATGAAATTGGTGTATTTTAAAAATATTTTATGCTCCTGATTTAGTTCAAAACTTTGCTATATTTTCTGATTTTCTCGAATGGACTATCTTACAGGAATGAAACTGTAGGAAAAAATAATTAGAATTCAGTAAATAATTCATAACTTTAAATCTCAGTTACATCCAATACTTAGAATTAACGTTAAATAAGTTCTTAATCAACACTCCATCTTTTTATTCAAAGAACCACTGAAGATTTTCTTGACGATTTTTATAAACTAGAACTGATCATGAATTGTTGATGTAATCTTATTCTATTTGTAATAGGTTTTCCTATTTCAGAGTATACATGTATACAATTATTTATATTTATTTATTTCAGATGATCTACAATTATTTTGCTATTTTCATAATATTATCTGCAACCATTTATATTTTCTTATTTCAGATAATCTATATTTGCTCCAAATTGGTAGTGTGCAGACTATCTACAAGATTATTATCTGATGATGTACACACTACACAGTGATAAACATTTGCCTTTTCTTATTACAGATTATCTATCCTGTGATAATCATTAAATGATAGCATTCCAATTATCTACAAAGTTACACTGTAACCCAGGTATCATTTAATCTTGTGTATCTAGCACTAATTTCTTTTACATTCGTTTAAAAATTTGTAAAAACTGTTTAAAATCACCATAAATCGTTTAATTTGCAGTTCTGTCCATTTTAAAGCCGACCATTCAATTTTGATAATGAGTGTCCAATTTACAAGTGTTTAATTTCTCAATCACTGTTAAAAAATAAACAACCCAATTGATTAATGATGTACATGTATAATGATTAATTTTTGAATAGTGGTCAGGAAATTAAATACTTGTAAATTGGACACTCATTATCAAAATTAATCAGTCAGCTTTAAACTGGACACAAGTACAAATTATATGATTTTTGGTGATTTTAAACGATTTTTACCAATTTTTAAACAAAGATTTGATATTAAACAAATGTGAAAGAAATTAGTGCTAGATAAACAAGATTAAATGATACTTGGGTTACAGTGTTACCATCATTTATATTGTCCTATTTCAGATTATCTACTACAAAGTGATGAACCAGTGTATTTTCCTATTGTTAAATATCTACAAAGCGATAATCATTTGTATTTTCTATTTCAAATTATATACACAGTGAAAATCATTTTCATTTCCCTATTTCAGATTATCTACACAGTGATAATCATTATATGATAGAATTTGGTTTATCTACAAAGCTATCATCATTTATATTGACCTATTTGAATTTTCCTATTACAGATTATCTACACAATGATACTAACTTACACTTACCTATTTCAGTTTAAACAGTAATAATCTTTTGTATTTTCCCATTTCAGATTACCTACAGAGTTATATAATCATTTGCACTTTCTTTTTACAGATTATCAACACAGTGATAATCATTTGTATTTTCCTAGTTAGATTAATCATTTGCATTCCATATTTCTCCTACTCTTTTCATTTCTGTCTTGGGTAGATAGGGTATTTACTTTTGTAGAAATTGTATTATATATTACCGATATATCAGGTTTGGTCAGGGTGGGATATTTGTTTGGAAATAAATACATTTATTAAAGGTGAGCATACTGTATGTGTCAAATATATTACCAGTAGTTGTTCATGGATTTATTAGCTACTTTATATATTTCCTACTTAATGGTAATGGAAAATTCCTAAATTTCCAAATAGTAATTGCATTATAGGTGGCGGTACAGGCGGTATATGATAACAAAAGGAACAAGAATGCATGAAATGTAATGTAACCCTACCTTCTTCTAGTTTAATGCCTTTTACTAAATATCCATCAGAATTTATGATCTATATGCAACTCTTGTTTTCTGGAAACCATAGACATATACATGTAACAATGATCATACTCCTAAAATATGCCAAAAATAATACACGTTACACATATCATAACAATCATACTCCTAAAATATACCATAATCATACATGTTCATCTATTCTTCAAATATACATACCGGTATATCAATATAACATTACACATCAAATTTGTTACCATGTGAACACAACAATTATATTTATAACCAACACAAAATAAACAAAATTTTGTATATTAAATTTTTATGGAACCCAGAGATGGAGATTTAGTATTCTAAAACAGATCTTGGTAGTGTTGTGTTCCATATGTCTTTTCTATAAGCTTTATTTGTGAAATTCAGATCTATAAAAATTACACTTTTAAATCATTTTCTACACAGACATTACTGGATATGCTAGATAATTCCTGAGAACTTAAATTATTATTTTATTCAAGTTACTGACTGGCTTTTTTTGCATGCCCATATCCTTATCAATATGTATGTGTATATAAGCTTAAAAAATCAGTGCATCCCTAATATTTATATATGGTGGCTAGTATGATATACATACATATAATCTAATCTTTAAGTGGCATTTAGTGATTGGGGTACACAATAACAGAACACAATTTTTATAACGATAAGAGGATACTTGTCGAAACGTCGTGCTATTAGAATAAAACCAGTGATTGTTTCCCATAAAAATTGTGTTCTGTTATACATATAATCACCTGCATCATAATAAAATAATATCGAACAATAGCTACTTTTAAAAGATTGTAATGCATGGATTGTTATATATATTATATACATAAATATTTTATATACCAAATTCTCTTTAATTTTATCATTTCAATTCAAATAGTCTTCATTCATCACTGTTTTCCCAATCATTTCTTTTGTCTGTTGTACTTCTGTTTTGAGGTGTTATGTCCATGTGATTTCCTTCAGGTACATATATATCAAGCTGTTACAGGTATCCATAGATTTTATATATGTATATACGTATACTTTCATGGTTATTTTAAAATATGCCACATCAATGAAATATCTTTAATTTTGTTTACTTTATTTTTACAGATCACATTACAAAATCAACAACAACAACAATAAAAACAACAACAACGCCATTAAAAACATACATCACACCAAAAACTATGACAGCCAGACCGTTACCAATACCAATTCCTAGAATTATAAAAGATAATACATCTACGACATCATCATCTACTAATAATAAACCCATCGAATCAACGACACCAGTAAATGCAGCTGGATCTGCTACTAGAGCTAGTACTATTTCTGTTACTGGCTATCAAATACCCCATGAAAAGTCTCTCAGTCCATCCACAAAAGCCAATAAAAAAGACGACAATTCTTTTGCATGTGTGTAAAGAATAAATGAAGAGCTCTATTCAAAAGTGTGATAAATGTCATTTCAGATTTGGGACAAAAACAATCAGACTTCTTTTTAAGTGATTAAAAAGACAAACACATGATTCTAAAACAATTATTCACCGCACATGGAATTAAATACATTAGGGTTAATATGTGACATTGGTGTTTATCTCATTATTGAAAAGTGTTCTTCAAATACAATGTTCAGTAATGTAATTGTAAGAAACACTTAAACTACTATCACTTCTAATGATAAGAAAATCTTTAAATTTCCATTTACCATTATCAGGTTTTAGCTTCAATCAAAGACAAAGAACTTAATTTCCTTAATCCACTAAAGATTATTACAATGTCTTTTCAATGATTCTTTAATCTTAAATTGATTTCAGTTACTACAGGCATGATGGGAGGTATGGCTGCTGCTATCATAGGATTAATGCTTACAATATTTGGATTTTTATTTTACTGGGGAAGGTAATGATATTGAATTACTTATCCTTTAGTTTATATAATACAATATGCAATACATTGTATTTAGTGTTGGCAAGCATACAATGGATAGTTCAATTCTAAAACTTTATATTTTCAGCAAGAGTTATCTCTCTTTAGTCTTCAGATACTTTATCACTTTGATTCCTTGAAATATGAAAATAGCCCCACAAAGTTTATGGATTCAATGCTTATACTCTAGCATGTGAAAAATATGTTACACTACATAATTTTTTAAGTCTTATTAAAAAGAAAACACACAACAAACTGCAGAAATATTGTTCAAGGATACAAATAAATATAGAAAGAGTTTGTTTTCAATGAATATTTTTTCTTCTTCAGAAAACGAAGACATATGTCTATGGTGAAGCCACAAACCAGTGTGTGGGATTTTCTACTTTCTCAAAATATAAACTTTAGACCATTCAGGAGAGGAGGGTACGATAATTTTAATAGCCATCGTTCTTCCATCAGTTCCGACGGGGAAGCAAATTCACCTGTTCCGCGAAAAGCAGGCTGGACGCCAAATATAGCTGTTGAAACTGGTAGCATGAATGAGCCTACTACGTCTGATGATAACTGTAGTATTGTTGATGTTCATAGGAACGGCCATGTTTGAACAAATATTCACCATTTAGTTCTGTTTTCAAATGATGTGTGCTTGATTAAAATCACTATGCTCTTCAGTAGCATCTTGTGATCACTGTGTTCAAGATGAAAAAGTCGTGTTGTGGTGTTTTATAAGTGAATTAACATAAATTGTGAGATTTCTCATTTCTAGATTGTATATAATACTTCATACATTCATCTGCGTTTGTGATATTTTACATGATGTATCAAACCACATGTATGTCTGTGTACATATTTGCAATACAACAACTTTTTGTGTCCGTACATACACTTTGAACACTCCAATACCTAACGTTTTTAAAAAATATTTAATTATGTGACAATGGATCTATGATTAATGTTTAGATATTGTCTATAAAATATGTATCTAATTTATTACCACAATGTATGGAACCATAGGATTATTGTACATGTATTTCAGTTTTTTTTATTTGTGTTTTCAGTTTTGGAATTAAAAACCATGGTAGGAGAAGTCAAAGTGTCAGTTAAATCAAGCTAAAAATAAACACACAAAAAACTGTGCCAAAACTGAGCAGCCAAATTACAGATAGGAAACTTTCAAAGGCAATTAATTACTGTCATAAAAATTAAATATTTCACACAATGATCGGTACATGAACTCTAGACTAGTACACTTTTAGACTAATAAACTATTAGAGTAGCATTAACCTTAAAATCAGCACCAAAATGATATATCTGCACTTTCCTTCCATGGCTATTAACTTCATATGTTTTAACTTTTTTTCTTCTCTACCTTTTTCTTTATTGAATAATAAAATAATATTTACTTCTGGGGCAGACAACATAATAATAAGTTAAACCTGACTTTATAACTTAACAGAAAGTATCTCTGGTAATTGGACAATTTCCAATCATAAACTTGTCATGTGACAAAATCCCCTCATATTTCAACAGATAATAGGATGAGGTCTCCAGGTTGCGTCTTTAGAGTTGTAAACAGGTATATGTAAAAGAAGATACAGCCGTTAAGAGTCAAAGACATTAAACATGCTGGACCTTCATGATACCAAGGTTATGCCTAGAAGTTTTAAATAAGGTACCGTATTTATGGGGTATAAGGCGATGTGGAGTATAAGTCGAATCGTCATATTTTACTGTTTTTCCGACCTCCATCCATATATAAGTCGAAGCGGTATATAAGACAAAATTTATGTTTTTCAACTCCACGGTAGCATTCTATTATCGAGATTCGAGACTGTTATCCTAGTCTAATAAAATATTTCGACTGGAATGGTGCAACTTAAAGTAGTTTTGTTTTAGACGATAGTGCGTGTGGCATCGTGGAGAGACAGTAACTCAAGTAACTGACTTTTTTTTCACCCTTCATCCATATAGACAAGCGGAGTATAAGATGAAGGCCGGACTTCGGCAGAAAAAATTATCGACTTATACCCCGAAAAATACATTATACGTAAAATTAAATATACAGCCATATTGACTCCTTATAACAGAAGTTGAGAAGTTGAAGTCGGAAAAGATCTGCCTTTGTATTGGATTTAAATATTAGTTGTTATGTAGTAAATTGTAGAAGTGGAAATTCAGATGACTGAAATTACTTAAAGCAGTTACCTATTATTAAACATACATTATGCAAGCGCTAAATCTGCCTATTGCAAGTCTTTCTTTAGGTCTGAAATGTTATATAAACTATTAATTAGACATTTATTAACATGAAAAGACCTTAATCAACTCTCGCTGCCATCTTATGTGTCAGATTTTCACTGGATAAGAATCCAATCTGCTGTTCAATGCTCATTGATGATTAAATCCAAAAATGGATAATCGAGACTATGTTTTTTTTATCGTACCGACTTCAGTAATGATGATTGAGGCTAGGCCTAAAATTCAACTGCTAATATCTCGGTTCAGAGTGGAGCAATATGACTGAAATTTTCTGCATATTCCCTTCCTTTACATTATCTAGTTATTAACCATTATAGTGAGAACTGCCAGCTCTTTATCTAATATCCCATAATGCATCTTTAAGAAAGATAGAAATTGTCATGACCTAATGTATATAATTTACTGCTTGAAAGAAACATTTAAATTTTATATCTCTTCTAGGTAGCTCTGATTGAATAATTTTGTAAATAGTATGCTACAATGTACAATAAACACATTTTTAAAAAAAAAATTAGTCACATTTTCAGCTGATTAAAGCAGGAAGAAGAAGGGGAACCTGGAACAGAAGGTAACATCCAATCAACACAGTAGGCCTACAGTTAAATCCTTATTATAATGTTAGCATTTTCTTATCTCACCAGTTCAAACTGGTATGTCCTGAAAGTTCCAGTCTGTTAGCTTGATTGTTGCAGAAATGGAGATTGTGGGAGGAAATAAGAAAATGAGGGGTCAGAGATAACCCACAGTCCAACTTTCAGTGGAAAATCTCTCTGGTAACACATTCAAAGCATACAGGACAGGGGGCCGGGGGTTCGGGTGGGGGGTGGGTGTGTGTGTGGGGGTGGCAGCTGCCCCCTAACTTTCGGGCAATCTGATTTCTGGGGCAGATAGGTAAAAGAAAAGAAAATTTTTATTTCATCTAGTAGGCAAAATAGAGTGCCCAAAATCTAATAAACACTAATTTTACTTTTCTTTAAATTGAATACCACGAATTTGTACTGAATTGATTATGGATTAAAACATTTTGAGTGACATTTTTTGGGTTTGCGGCAGTCAAATTTTCCAAAATTTTCTTGGGGGATCCCTACATGGTAAGCCCCAAGGTAAGCAGAAGATGTCGGCGCTGTCCGTAACCCAAAATTTTTCGGGCACTTCGGGTTCTGCCCCCTAACTGTCATTGAGCCTGTATGCCCATTTATGTTAGCTTGAGTGTTGCAGAAATAGAGATTGTAAGAGGAAACCAGAGAATAAGAAGGAGTCAGAGATAACTCACAAGGTACTGCTCCTTGTCTGGGGCTACCTAAAGTAAATTACTCAAACCAAAAAGGCTTGATTCATTGTTTGCTTTTAGAATTTGGTTAACAGATGAATTGGATTAGTTCATTTGGTGAAGCTGTCTAAGTTTTAGCAATTTATTTGTACAATTATAGTTATCATTATTAAAGATGGGTTCCCAGAAAAGTATTTATCGGGTGGTTATTTCCAATAAAAGTATGGTAATTTTGGTATATATGGAAAGTAGAGATATCCAATCTTACTAGAAAAATACTGGATTCCGCAAAAAACACTCATGGAGCGTATACAGGATAAAAATGTAAGGGTTCCCCTAATCAACAGCCCGACGATTAGGAATTTCTGCACGCGTGATGTCAAAGGTCACACGCAAACATTGAGCGCTTGATGTACAAATTGATAAACTTTATGAAGAGTTAGACGTACAACACTTTCTGAGATAAAAATGACGGAAAAAGATGCGGGTAGTGGATAATCCGAGAATTTAATTAGGATTCGGTATTTGTAATAAATAGTATGCGATTAAAGACAACATCGTCTTATGTATGCAATGAATTCTCCTCTGACTACAAAGAGAGGTAGGTCTCGTGACGTAAACATGACCTGGTTTGATCGAATTTTTATAGCAGGACATTCCTTCACAATTACAATGTTTGAGAAGGATTTGAAGCAAAGTTATGACAAATTAATTAGTTTGAATATGTTTTTAGTCCATATATACCATTAAATCATCCAGTTTGTACGCGGGAACCCATCTTTAACTGGGAATTTATATAAAATCTATATAAGGGTGGTCTAAAGAGGCTTACCACTTTATTCAGTAAATTTGATTACCGCAAGAGCTACATAACACTGAAAAATTTTCCATAGCTTCTTGCACAGTACAGAAAGAGAGAGAAATGGGGTTTAATGTCCACTCGGCAACATTTTTATTCTCTAAAATATATTTGTAGTTGATTAATTTGCATAATTTGACTTCTTTTATTATTAAACAGAGCTATTTTGAAGAATCCTATCGTTTGAAAATGTCAGTCAGGCATTATAACTACTGTTTTAACAGCTCTCTATGGATTTCTAGTGTACAAAACATTCATTTGGTTGCCTGACAGGTGTGTTTGCAAAATTGAAAAATGTTCAAGAATAATTTTTGATGGGTTACATAGCTGGAATAGACTGGTTGACAAGTCTTAAACCACTAATGAATAAAGGCTATCATGGAATCGATCGAAATATTCAGGGAACGCCTTAATCCGCCAATGTAAAACCAGACCCCTACCCCCCTCCCAACATTTTTCCACCGAAGCAACTTGTGTTTGCAAGTCTCAGAAGATTCCAAAATAACAAAATAGAATTTGCCATGCAGTACCATATGCCGAAGTTCAGAAACAGAGGGTCACAAATTATCAAATTACATAAGCTGACATCAAATGGGGTGGGATCACAAGAAGCATTATTTTGATAAAGCATAGCTGTTAATGTAATGGGCATGCCTGGTATAAAACAGCGTCAAATACGTCACTTTGGCCCTGAGGATTGTGACACATTGTAAAATACATGCTATCTGGGCCCAGTTCCTAGAAAATTCTTAAAGTAAGCACAAAGTCATGCTTCACTTTTTCTCATGTAAGAAACTTATAAAAATACCGTCCCTAGAAAATTCTTAAGACCATTCCTACGTAAGCACAAGTCAAGTATAAGTCTAAGCACATTGTGACTGGTAAAGTTTACCATAAACTGAGACTTTGATGCTCTTTAACGTCATAAAAACAACTTTGGTATGCGAATTACGTCATAAATTTGTCATCTGCTTCATTGACGTCATATATATATATGGTTGATTTAGATGCATTTGACATGTCCCCTATAGGCCTACACATATAAAATGTGCCACAAGATAAAAAAACGCAGACACATACAAACTAACTGAATAATTGTGAGAGCGCCTGATCTTAAAGTAGCCTGTGTGTTTGTAGCCTATTGTTTACTAATTGGCAAATAAATAAAATGGTTTCAGGGTAGAAGCAAAATTTTCTATAGCATTCTTAATTTCTGGAGAAGAATTTTCTGTCTTGTAATTGTCTCTTGGGGTCTCAAAAGGTGTCGGAAATGCCGTTGAATAACTCTACGGTCAGCCATCTTTTTGAAGCAGAAACAGACTTAAGGTTCGTAATGAAGCAAGCCGTATATCTTGCTTGGGACTTGTGCTTAGATTGACTATGTTTAAGGACGAAGTTGGGCTTAAGATTTTTCTTGGAACGCATAATAACGTTCTTGTGCTTACTATGAAGTCTACTTAAAATCTTAGCATAGGAACGTTCTTAAGAATTTTCTGGGAACTACGGTGGCTGATAATATAATTTGTTTTTTATAATTTTCACTCAAGTCAATTTTAATATAATTTGTTTTTTATAATTTTCACCCAAGTCAATTTTAATTTCCACCCAAGTCAATTTTAATATAATTTGTTTTTTATAATTTCCACCCAAGTCAATTTTAATATAATTTGATTTTTATCATTTTCACCCAAGTCAATTTTAATATAATTTGATTTTATAATTTTCACCCAAGAATTTCCACCCAGCGTGTGACATCATCTCAATTAGCCTCGTTTCCATTGTAATGTATTATCACTTACTCTGTGGTATTGTTTTATCTTATATGGTTCTCATACTGTAATCAGCAGATTGCAATGTATTATGTTTTACCTATAGGGGCTGATAAGGGACATGAAAAATAATATAATTTGTTTTTTTTAATATTCACCCAAGTCAATTTTAATATAATTTGATTTATATGATTTTCACCCAAGTCAATTTTAATTTTCACCCAAGACAATTTTAATATAATTTGTTTTTTGTAATTTCCACCCAAGTCAATTTTAATATAATTTGTTTTTTATAATTTTCACCCAAGTCAATTTTAATATAATTTGTTTTTTATAATTTTCACCCAAGTCAATTCTAATATAATTTGATTTTTTATAATTTTCATCACAAGTCAATTTTAATATAATTTGATTTTTATAATTTTCACCCAAGAATTTCCACCCAGCACGTGACGTCATCTCAATTAACCTCGTTTCCAAAACACTAATGACCTAGTTTGTGTCGAGTGGACGTTAAAGAAACTAGATGATAAATTTGACCTCTTGAGTGTCCACACGCTAAAAAAAAAGTGACTTTTCGTACAATCAGGGGCCATAATTCATGAAGTTTCAATCCGATACATGCCAATATCGAAAGGAACCTAGTTCTTTTGGGGATAAACCTATATTTCAAGTCTCGTCAAAATCGGATAAGAATTGTGACCTGTATAGTGTCCACAACTTGTAAATTACATGACGCACACAATATATAAACAGACCTATATACCCAATAATAAATTAAAAGTATGTAGGCTATATACATGTAGCAATTACATCTGTCAGTTGTATACATGTTATATAAAGCCTTGCTAGACAGGTTTACTTGAATAAAGTAGATGCACTACTACGGTCTTCAGCTCTCAACATCTTATAGTTAAAGAATATATGACCTTGGAAAGCAGACACAGCCAATAATAAACATAAAATACAAAGCTCCCTATTAGGTCACCTGTGTAAGCTAAATAAAACCTTAGGGTTACAAACAGGATATTAATGTAAAGGAAATAATTTATAGCTATGTAAGAAAAAATCATTTTAGATAAATCAGCAACAATGATACAGCTGTTTATATATATCCTGATTATTGCAAAAGGTAAGTAAATTGTCACTGATTAAGTTTCACAAAACAAAAAATTGAATGAAAATAATCAACATATCAAAGTTTTACAACAAAACAGAAACAGCACTAAATTGCTTATAATGTGTTGTATGCTGTGCATGCAAGAATTTAATGTTTTTAATTGTCATGCATTTCTATCCACTTTTCTTACAATAATAAAATACAGTGTGTCTAGTTGCTCCACAAATAACTTAACACCCTTCAAAACAATAAAATAATTGACAGTGATTAGTTAGTTAATTGGCTAATCAATGTCGTTGATATAACAATGATGAAATGATTGTTAGTTAATGCCTGTCTCCTATACTGAACTCTGTTTCAATAAAGTCGGATATAGTTGGATTGATTGAATTTGAATATATTTGTGTCATCCTCCATACATGTATATTAATCTGTTCTTTAATAGTATATTGTCGTCACATGCATCTGTCATCCTCAGGTCCTACGGACATTTTGAACATTAATGGTTGTGAATACAACAAGCCAACAGTGAGGCTGATGTCCCCCGCCGAAATCCCCAAATAAATAGATAACACATATTAATTTTAATTAATATGTGTCATCTATTTATTTGGGGATTTCGCACATCTATTTTTTTCAAAAGTATCGAGCAATCAAACTGATTATCAACTATACACTAAGTTTCGTCACTCTCTATCAGAACGAATCAAAGTTATCTTGTCCCAAAGCATCGACCAAGGAAATTGCTTATCTCTGCTTAGCTTTAGCTCGATATGTTAATCATTGAACTCATGCAGTCAAGACGAACATCTACATCAAGTTTAAACATTCTACCTCAATTAGAAGCAGAGTTGTTATGTTCCAAAGTCTTGACCAATCAAAATGCTTATTGCTCCTTAGCCTAAGCAGACAAGTCACATCATCGAACTTTGTCAAGGTCTTGATGTAATGAAACTTTTCACCAAGTTTAAACACTCTCACTTAATTAGAACTAAAGTTATCGTGTCCCAAAGCATCAAGCAATCAAATTGCTTATCTCTACTTACCATAAGCAAGAAAATGCTCATCTTCGCACTCTATCAAGGCATTTGCCTCATAAACACCTACACCGAGTTTGAACATTCTAGCCCAATTAGAAGGAGAGTTATTGTGTTTCAAAGTCTCGGCCAATCAAATTGCTTATCGCTCTGCTTACCCTGAGCAGAAAATGCTCAATATCGAACTTAGTCAAGGTATTGATGTAATGAAACTATACACCAAGTTTCATCACTCTCACTTAATTGGAACTAAAGTTATCGTGCACCAAAGCATCAACCAATTAAATTGCTTATCTCTACTTACCCTAAGCAGAAAATGCTCATCTTCACACTCCATCAAGGCATTGACCTAAAAACACCTACACCAAGTTTGAACATTTTAGCTCAATTAGAAGGAGAGTTATTGTGTTCCAAAGTCTCGGCCAATGAAATTGCTTATCTTTCTGCTTACCCCGAGCAGAAAATGCTCATTATCGAACTTAGTCAAAGTATTGATATAATGAAACTATACACCAAGTTTCATCACTCTCACTTAATTAGAACTAAAGTTATCGTGTCTCAAAGCATCAACCAATCAAATTGCTTATCTCTGCTTACCCTAAGCAGAAAATGCTCATCTTCGAACTCCATCAAGGCATTGACTTAATAAACACCCACACCAAGTTTGAACATTCTAGGTCAATTAGAAGGGGAGTTATTGTGTCCCAAAAAGTGTGACGGACAGACAGACGGACGGACGGACGGACAGACAGACAGACAGACCCATTTTAATAGTCCCCTGCTTTCTTTGAAAGGCGGGGGACAATAAAGAAAAACATTTTCTCAATGGAGTTTATTCAAATTTTGTGACATTGTTCATAATTAGGATGCCTATTGAAATTCAGAATATTTTTATGGTAAATTTGAGTGATCTTACCCATTTACTTTTAATTTCATGAAATAAGATGTATAGTGTCATCACCTGCCCCTAACCAATTCCTGTTGACGTTCTGATTGTTTTTTGTGAACGTAATACAGAACAATATTCTCAGTGGAATATATCAAACTTTGTGACATTCTTCATAGGGGCACAAGGAGTAAGATGTGACCCATTACATCGAAATGGGTAGAAAGTAGCAATTTAGCCATATTGAGTTACACACATAATTACATTCCTTGGGTTCCAGCTTCAATTTGGTACCATTCCAAGCTCCAAATACGTCCAGGTCAATTGGAGGGAATTTCAAAACCAGATTTTGAGAAAATCAAGGTTAAAAATGAGTTGTTGAAAGATAAAATTTCCTTAGTAACCTACATTTAATACTAACAATTTCACTACCAAATTAATGATTTCTATTCACAGGCAGGACTATACCAAACTGTTAACTTTACATTTTTATTAGGAGTGCTAGCACACAGAGGCGTAGCCGTGAAATATATATTGGGGGGTCCACAACCCTAACCCCTAACCCTAACCCATTTTTTAAAACCCATAAAAAATATAAACAAACACCATGTGGCCATGCTGTTTACCAAGACACTGTGTGCAAAATCATTATGGTTACGTTGCTGGCAGAGCAGGCGATAAATATTTGGTTTAGGCGGTATGTTTTTGGGTACCTACATGCGATTCACTCTGATAAGTGGCAGAAAAAAATTAGCAAAATATTACTGACAGGCTAACTAGACACAATTTTATGGAACACAGGTACTTGTCACTTCACACATGTTTCCAGGATGATTATCTCTGTGTTTTATTTTAGCAGTATAAACCATATTGGGTAATGTACAGGTTTTATACAGATAGAATCTTAACTAATCCTAATAATTGTTGTAAATAAATAGGAGTTTGTGCCTGCTATGTAAATTTTTTGGGGGGGTCCAAGTATATTCAGCCCGCCCCCCCCCCCCGAAAAACAATTGGGGGAGTCGGACCCCACGCCCCCCCCCCCATGTGTGACGCCCATGCTAGCACAATACAGGCCTTTGCAACTTACTACCCGGCCGTTCCGATCTGATGGGTCACATATGTTGCAAATTGAATTTCAAAACAGTAGAATTAATTTTATAGGCATGTTTTGGGGTCATTATTCTGTTCACATATTCATTTTTAAAGCTTTAGCATAGATGATTTTGATGTCTGTGGGATATAGTCGGGCCAACAAGGTCTTATCAATATTTTAAATAATTTCAGCATCTACTGAAAGTGTTCATAATGTAACTGTTTGTTTAAAAGGAAGTGAAAAAAATGAATTCTATAATCCAAATTGTAATAGTAATCAAACCCATTCAAGTCTAAATATTGTGGCTGTCAGGAATCTTTATTATGCTTCCAAACCAATCAGTTCTAACTGTACATCATCATCTCCACACAATGTGTGTTGTTCCTTGGATACAACAAGAGACTGCATCTACAGAAGTGAGAGTTATTTAACAGACATTGTACGTTCTTGTTCTGGAAGTGTCTCCTGTTACACGCAGGCTAAACCATTATACAACGCACAACAATGTTCATATCCAAACCTGTTTCCAACAAGTACTCAGTTTGGATTTCTGGAATATGACTGTGTCAACAGTAAGTATATGTGTCTATATGTCTGATAAATGTAGCAAATGCTTTGTCTAAATTACTTATCCTTAAAATTATTTTTATTCCAAGTAAAATAATACCTCTTAAAAAAGAACTGTCATGTAATAAAATATGAACCAGTGGTTGCCAGACAAGATACGTCCACAATTTGCAAGAGATGGATAGAGAAAACAAAAGCGATTTTTCGTACTATCAGGGGCCATAATCCATAAAGTTATTGTCTGAAATGTGCAAATATCGACAAAGACTGAGATCTTTAGGATATAAAATTATATTTTAAGTTTCATCAAAATCGGATAAAAATTGTGACCCCTAGAGAGAGAGAGAGAAATGGGGTTTAAGGTCCACGCGACACAAACTAGGTCATTTCGGGACTAACATATGGTTTTAATCTTATTTACATAATTCGCTTGCGCGTAGGGGTCTTTAGCAGTGGGAGGAAACCGGAGGACCCGGAGAAAACCCACGAGGTTGGACAGGCGACCCTACTCCTTGCCACGTACAACCGGGGATTCGAAACCACGCCAGTCGACTCAATGACAGACTTTATGATACAGCGCGCGCACGCTAACCATTCAGCCATCCAACCCCCCGTGACCCCTAGAGGGTTCACAACCTTCATATTACATTCTTTTACACAGGTTATGTACAAAGAGCGACCATTTTGTTTTGCAGAATCCACAAGCTAAAAAAACTAATTTTTTGTACAATCAGGGGTCACATAATAGAGGAAATTTGAACTTATATTAACATTACGGTGTAACAAGGATATATTTGAACATTTTCTTAAATCGGATAATGATTGTGACCTTTAGATGGACTACAAGCTAAAAACGTAATTTTTCGTACAATCAGGGATCATGATTCAGGAAGCTATGATTCGATATGTGCGAATATCAAAGAAACCATGATCTTTGAGTTATAAAAATGCATATCAAGTTTCATCAAAATCAGATGAAAATTGTGACCTCTAGAGTGCCCACAAGCTAAAAAAGTGATTTTTCGTACAATCAGGGGCCATAATCCATGAAGTTATGGTCCAATACATGCCAATATCAAAAGGAACTGAGATCTTTGGTACAGAGCCCACCATCCCCGGGCACTGCTATTGAAACTAAAATTAAAGGAGCTAAATTGCTAATATTTGGGACCTAGAAATTGACACAAATGGGTCGCAACGCAAATAATAATGTAAGCCGAATGTATATAAACTGATTTACATTCAATCGTTTCCGTTCAACGAAATACGCCAGAGGTCTCAATTGAATGGCAATCTCTAGTGCCTGGTTATTCCAGTCTAAGTTCTCCAGATAAGAATATGACTTGTGGAATATTTCTAGCCTCATTCTTCGAGTCCCTGGTTTCAAATGGCGCTGAAAAGCAGAATGGTACACAATTCGTGTACCAATGGTAAAATGTTTATTTTGTCTTAAATATTGGATTTCCAGAAGCCCATCTTTTTCCGGTAAGATCACAACATCAATGTTGATTTAAATTTGTGTTTTCAATGTAAAGCCTTTTGATGATATTAAGCTAGAGACTTAGCTACTTTAACACATTATATTTCAGTTCAAAAGTTAACAGACTTTTGTCATGATGGTATACAAAAAAGAGACAATACGTTATACATAACCAGTAATATTTTTCATCAGAATTCAAATGAAGTAAATACAACATGTTCATGTATGGTTACTACAACATGTAATAATACCATTGAGATAAATGCTGTTGATGTTCGATTAGCCAACCAGATACATGATCGCACGCTATGCTATGAAGAACTAACAATCAAAGATGGTGATAATGAAAATGGCAGAAACAGAACCATCACTTGCAAGGAAAAAGAATTACACACATTTCAACCTCTCTTTACTAGCAAAACCAATCAAATCAACATTGATTTAGAAACAACCATTAAACATGTAGGAAAAGTATGGCTACAAGTAACAGGTAAATTCTATTCTTCATTGAGATGTTATTATCTCTATCAACTATATCAACTTGCTCTCATAACTATATGTTGTGATGAGGCTGGATGTACTTATCCTTTATGGAACACCTGATATTATATATGCCACCAGTCACTGAGCTCAAATACGAGTGAGATGTGGCCTTGTGGCATGTTCTCAACTATCGATGTGGTCCAAGAAGAACCTTCAAGACTCTTCAAGCTCAATATTGTCCGGAACCAAGAATCTTTGAAACTAGGAATTTAAAGAAGAGCAGATGAGCAGGCGAATTGGGCCTGGTCCCCAGGCAAATAAAGCTTTGTAGCCATGCTCCACCAACACATATGTGGTATCAAATGTTTTAGACCATTGAATTTGGGTCCTGGGTAAATTTGGACCCTCTGCAAATTTGGGCCCAGTGCGAATTTAGCCCCTGGACGAAGCCGGATACCCATACTAAACTTACGCTTCCTGTCTACAGTTAGCTGCGTCTGAGAACAGACACTTAGCTAGTTGACTGACATTTTAAGTCCTAATTCGACGATTTTAGTATTTCGAGAATTTGGAGAAGTATACATTCTGCTTTCATCTAATGAATTGAAATGGTTTAATTAGTCTTTTTGTGTATAACAGATGTGAACCGGAGTAGGAACACATTACAAAACAGTATACTAATTGTTGGATACGACGGCCGTTCAGGAACGAGATCTATTCTTGGAGTATGAAATAGATGGATCTCTGTGTGCAGAATGCCAGATATCCTGCTAGTAAACTATAAATTATAGGGAATGGCTATTAAAATAAATGGGTTATTGGGTTGCTTTTTTACATTGAGGACATACATGACATAAACACCAGATGTCCTGGCTAACAATCTTAGATTATGTTTTGTAATTAATATTTTCAACTGTTTTATTTTATGTAGGTACAAAACCAGAATCTGAGATAGAATTACGATGTGGTAGTAACGTGCTATTAGAAATCAATGATGAACACACCTGTAAGATAGACGCTACAACAGGTACCTTCATTAGAAAATTAAGATGTTCAGTCATTATGAACAAAACCTTCATACTGTTGTAAACAAGCAGCTATTAATCATTCACAATAAGAAAATCGTTGACACCTAGTGCCTGCTAGTTCTTCTTATTATGTCCTAATTTGTCAAATGAAGTTAAAATGATTTGTCAAGGAAATAAAATGGAGTTTAATTGTCTGAATTTCCTGCACCAATCGGTCTAATGAAGACAACACATACACTATTTTGCCCAGACTGCTGTGCTACACCCTCCTCTTTTTTCAATTTCCAACAGCAGTGCTACAGCCTACTCCAATTATTAGGGGATCTATCCTGTCATGCACCCCTAATAAATGAGAAATCAGACTGGAAAATTCCCTGGAAATTTTGTTAGTAGGCCAGTGCCATACTCACTAAAGCAAGTGGACACACTAGCCGAATGATTCGGCCGAATCAATCGGCGACGAAAATCGCCTAGTGTGTCCACTGTCATTCGGCCTGGTGTATCCGCTTCCCCGAAGCATTCGGCCGAATATAGAATTCATTAGCCAATCACCACTCATATCGAGAAGTCACATGATAGATTGAAGACATAGACGCCGCCATCATGTGACGTGAAAGGTGATGCAATCGGCAGGTTAAATCGGGCGAAGCATTCGGCTAGTGTGTCCACCCATTTGGCCGTATAAAATTCGGCACCGATTGATTCGGCCGAACGATTCGGCTAATGTGTCCACTGCTTTAGCCACTCTGGCTGGACATTTCTTTCAAATCATAATATATCTATTTAAATTTACAGTTTATTTGACTTTGGCTGGACATTTCTATCAAATCATAATATATCTATTTAAAAGTTCTTTTCCATTGATCTTAAATATTCAGGAGTTGAAAAGGATGTGCAAAAGCCTTCTTTTATCTCTGGACAAGGATGACTGACCTTTATGTGCATTATAGGCCTACATGTTATGTCACATACGGCATAAATAACACAAACTGGTCCAGGCAGATTTGGTGCCTTTTACTCATTTTAAGCCTTTTGTGTACTACTTTATGAACCTATTTCAAAAGGAAATATCTTTTATCAAGATATCCTTCCAACACCTTTATTTGTTTTAGGATAACTCGCCCCAAAGTCACCCCTTTCAGTGATAGACTAATTGTAGCTGCCAAGTGAATATATACTGCTGATTTGTCTGACTTATTAGTACAAAGAAAATAGGGCCCTTGGTACATACACTAATTTTCTGCTTCCAACCACTGCAAATACCTGTATATTAAATCTCCTACAAATCAAAGTTTCTATGATTTTACCTGTATTTAACTTTATTTATAGGTAGTACGCCTATTACATCTACTGTAAGGAATAATATTAATACAAACTGTTCAGGTGATGATGATGATGATGATGACTGTAAACAGAAAACTGGTACTGGTAAGTAAATATTCAAATTATTGCAAATTATTAACCTAAGTAATACATTTCCTCAGAATTCCCAACTTAAAAGGGGCATACCTAGATTTCATCGGTGCAAGAAATAAAGGTGGGTGTAGGTACAGTACTGGCCAAATTAATAGCATTTTTTTCTAAAAACGTTGCAGAATTAACTCACTAAAATTGAAGTATGGATAAAATTATAACCGTGCAGGTTATAGTATAATTTAAATCTTGAATATTTAAGATAATGCATTATTAATTTTAAAAGTGAAAGCCTTCAGATTGAATTTATTTAAACTCTCGGGACAATAACTATTCCATTCCTTTAAAACATTAATTATAGGTGTGCTATTGAAAGGTGACTAGCCAATGATGAAATGTTATGTAATGCTAATGACATGTTAAATTATTATAATCCCATATTGTTTGTAAAACTTTTACAGACAGAAAGTAATTGTACTGTTAAAATAGCCGGTCTCGTGAACATGCCAATCGTATGATTAATCTATTAATTGTTTTATTTACCATTGTTTTATTTCTCATATTGTACATTATTACATCAATGCTTATTTATGTCAACACTTGATCTAGACAAGTGATTAGAAGTAATTCCATATAAATATGTGATTGTACTTGATATGTCAGTCTTTTAGGTCTATCCGACTTAGTAGCATAAGGTACTAGTCGGTTATCCGCGGTCCTGTAAGTGTATGTAGATAATTGTTATTATAAGTTTCCAGTATTAAAGATTTGAAGAACCATTCCAGACTCTTGTAATATCTGACGGACCTCACGGTCACAAAATCATACACCGTGAATATATTGAACTGAATATTCTTACACATAACCATATTGACATCTATTTCACATTGCATGGTTGGTCGACGTAATTGATGACGTCATGACGTCGTAGCGGCTGATGACGTCATCGATGTCCATCATTTTGTTTTTTTGCCGTTTTTGGAATACAGTCATTAGGGAATTTCTCTAATGCAAGGACATCATTTACGTTTTGGGGAGAATACAGGACAAGCACACTCAAAAAACAATGATTTCAATGGTCGTGCATGACGTCATTACGACTGTGTGACGTCACAATGACGTCATCTCGCCGAAAAAGGTGTTTTACGCCAAAACGCTTCAACTTGATTGATTTCCATGAGAGGGTATCTCACAATTCAAAAATAAAATTGGCTTTCACTAGATAAGGTACACGAGAAAAATAGAAAAATCCTGTGCATTCCCCTGTTTTTATTCACTCTGTTCTTAATAAAAACATGGTGATGCACGGACATTTTTCTAATTTGTTCGTTATCTTTTATCTACTGACAGGCAATTTTTTTTTTTGAATTAAAGGATATCCTCTCATCGTCTCATATAACAACTTTTCATCTTCAACTGAATTATCAGTGAAATGAAATTCGATCGTTTGTCTGTTACCGCTCGTTACTGCAGTCAGTTATATAGAAGGACAACTCGTGTTTGTCATGTTTGACGTCACTTCCCGTTTCTTCACGTGCTTGTTACCCATCTCAAGTAGCAATGATCTCTGGGATGTATTTAACGAGCTCTTATCACATATTTTATAATGACTGGCACCAATATTGTCCTTTAACTCGTTGGATTATAAATGATTTCTTTTTAAATTCCTCAATCACAGAGTGGTTATGCAAGCGAAATGTGCCGAAAAATCGAATTTGACAAACATCAATTAAAAAAAAAAAGTATTTTTTATATGGTGCCGGGCGTTTCTTTCCTAATGGCCGCCAAATTTGGTAATATTATTATTATTATTATTATTACAGCATATTTATGTTCGACCATTATATCGTGCTTATGTACGCGAAATGTGTGGAAATTGAATTCGACAAACATCAATTAAAGAAATGTATGGCTGCCGAATTTGGTAATATAAGGCCATTTAACAAAAAACCCATAAATTTGGTATAATAAAAGGGCATCTCTTAAGATACGTAAGATATGACTTTTGCTATGTCTTTTATATAGTTTTCGATGTCTCTGAATTTGAAGATAAATTTTGAAATTACAAAATAGCAGCAACACAAATTGGCGGATATTAAATTAATCATCATTTTTCCTGTTGGATATTAGATAGTGTCTCTAAAGCATGATGTACACTGTAGTTCGATGTACCCTGTAGTTCAGATACAGTCTCCAAACCGTGTTTACACTGTAGTTTGGGTGTAGTTCGTCAAATGAAGATGAATTTTACGATATATCCATCCTGAAATAACAAAAAAAGAATATATTGTAAACGCGCTTTAAATATCTGGATGCGATAGACTTCGTGATAAAAAATTCAAGGTACATTATATCATTGGCAATAATAAGATCCAATTTTAGTTTTTAGTTACACACTGTTAACCACCAATAGATGTTTTAATGACAATAAATCATAAAATGTATTCAGCTCAACGTAAGACTTAAATACAGATACAGATAAAGTTGGTTTAACTTGAATAGAGATTTTAATTATCAATGCTGCATATACATTACAGCCGAATCACATTACATAGGGTATCTTTTTAGTTGATGTTCATATCGTCTTACGTATTTGTCAACATCAAGGTGAACTTGTTCTATTGTCCAATTAGCCTATTCAGACTTATTACCACGAATTTACTCACCCCACCCTCGCATAGTTATGAATTTATTGTTTCACTTGACTAAAGAAACATTTTGTAGGAATGTATGCTTTTATAGATTGAACACTTGTTTGCGATGTCATTTTCGGTGGAAACTGGCACTATACCTAAAGAATGATTGAACAAATAGCGGAGACAGGGTTTCAGCCGGCTGATTTAAATTATTTCTTTAAATACAGTAAAGCTTGAAATATGTCAGTTTTCACTCTTTAGAATGTTTTTGTAAATAAGTTTTTATTGTAGTTTCCGTGGCGTATTCCCAATAAGCGTTAGAAACAACGATATATACCCTTAATCCCGGTGCCGATAAATGTTGGGTTGTGTGGAACATGCTAACAAATCTCAGGTACGATATATGTTTGATTCTGGATGAGAACAGGTTCATTTGAGATGAGACGCAAATATTCAAAGGGGTCAGACAAACTCTAAACCACCTGTGTTCCCTTCACTGAGTCTCTTTAAAAGGCCCTGTCTGTGTACCTGTGGAATAACATGCATTTGTATCTGTTAAATTTGTGTGGTAGACAGATTGATATTATCTATACATAGGCGGGGGGTGATAACGTCTTACCCCAAACAAATTGCAAAAGAAACCACGAAGTTTCTGAGAGCGATATTTCTTAATTAGTGTGTTTTAGTGGTGGGGGAATAAATAATTTCTTTTTAAATTTTTCAAACACAAACTGGTCATAGAGGCGAAATGTGCCGAAAACTGAATTTGACAAAAATCAAAAAATGTATTTTTCACATGTATGGCGCAGGTCATTTCTTTCAAAATGACTGTCAAATTTAAAATAACATTTTCCGACAAGACCAGTGATAATGTCGTAAGATATGACTTTTACTATGTCTTTTAAATGGTTTTCGACGTCTCTTCAAGGTCACCGTCGAGTTCCGAAGTCGTTAAACGCACCGTCGGGGGATTTGTAGGGACCTGTCTCCCCTAGAAAATTTCTAGAAATTTCAAGCCGGTCTTGCCAGGCCGTGAATACGGCAGCCTGAAAGTGGTCCATTTTAATGAAGACATCTGAACTCCAATCAACAAATCAATCAACCAGGCTGCTGTTGCATTCACATGACACCAGACGTGTCATCTATGAAACAAATATGCCCGAAACAAATGTCGCTGTTAGTGCGACCCATTTGTGACAATTTCTAGGTCCCAAATATTAGCGATTTAGCTCCTTTAAAAGCGAATGCAAGTTTAATATGTTTAATAGCACTTTTATCTAGTGTATCTTTTATTTTGATTTTTCTTATAGAATAAGGCTATATAACAATAATGTGCGCTTCTTGTTGTATAATACTAATAATAGTATGTTCAGCTATACTTTTCGTTAAAAAAATGTATGTTTTATTTCCTATAGACACTTATTCGTTGAAATCTATGACATCCAACAATATAATAGGGCATAAATAGATAATAAGTTGGTAGAGTTACTTGGGACCCAAGATGGTGTCTTTGTACACTTGACGTCACAGTTGTCGAAACTTTATCTATACACGGCTTTGCGTCGACCAACCATGCAATGTGAAGTAGATGTCAATATGGTGTAAGAATATTCAGTTCAATATATTCACGGTGTATGATTTTATTCATACTTCAACTTTAGTGAGTTAATTCTGCAATGTTTTTTTTAAAAAAATGCTATTAATTTGGCCAGTACTGTATGTAATCAAATGCAAAAATGTGGTGGGCCATTTGTAAAGAATACCAGATGTGCTTAAAAGGGGTGATATGAACTTCTTTAAAAAATTTCATAATCCATATGTATGAATGGCTTGATCATCACGACCATAAGGTTACCACTATAATAATAATACTTTATTACACAACTGCATGATATACACAAGTATGGTAAAGCATACAATACAAATTACAATACAATAATAAACATCAAAGAACATAGAATAAGATTTACAGAGGTTTCTAAAAGTATATTAAATTATATTAATAAGCCTTCTAAGGTATAGGCCTATTAGGCCTTACCGTACATAGAAAATAGTATATTTTATATAAATGGTTATCCAGCCACTTAATCAAAACAGAATTTTGGGATGGCCGACCTCAAATGGAAAGTGAAAGATTTTGTTTCTTTGAAAAAGTATAACAGTGTTTCAGATATGATAAAGATTTACAAGAATTTATCTGAAAATTCTTCTTTAAAAAGGTTATTTACTTCTCACATCAAGGCACACATATATATATACAGACATCCAGATTCAAAACACATCTACAAATCAAATTTAATCAAATCAGAGCCTTTTTCAATTGAAATCAATCAGGTTAAATACCACTGTTATTTCATTATTTAGGTGAAATAAATGGCTTGTCAGCTGGTATTATAGGAGGTGTAACTGTGGCTGTTGTTTTAATTCTACTGATAATTATCATCATTTTACTTCTGGTGTTCAGGTAACATTTTTACAATAACATAAATAGTACAGCCATATTTAAATGAACTGAAATGGTGCTTAAAAGAGAATTATTGCTTTAAACAAGAAAAATAATGTAAATTGTTTTACACATAAACAAAACAAATATAAACATCAAACACAATCAATTGGCAAAGAGAAATTTTGTGTGCTCTTAAGATCATTTACTGTGGGACAAGGATTGGGGTCGCATGCCTAACCTTGAGGATTCTCAGATTTCCGTCTGAAATGATATACATGTAGTTTGTGTTAAATCGCATTTCCCCCCTCTCAGCTTTGCTACATAATTCTAATACCATTGAATGATCTGTTTATTTTAATTATAGAATACTTTCACACTGAACTATACTGATACAGTATGTCCAAATTTTCAAAACTGGGTTGCTGAGGATATGGTAACTTTTTTACTCTTATTATATTAACAGAGCAAGAAGAGACAACAGACAGGCAACAGAAAATGTTTATGAAAGACCTGTCATTGTAGAGCACATCCCTAATCCATACCAAACAATAATGCCTGACACCTCACTAGAAGAAGGAGCTGTCGGTATCAATAATCCAGTTTATGATGATAGAAAAGACCCTACCTTCAATGGTGATGATTATCTAACACCAGTAACAGGATCTTATGATAATGTTGATGATGCTTTTGAACGAAAATTTAGTAGAAATTGATATTGATATATATTATGAGTTCATGGTTAAGAAATGTATGCATTTTCAATCACTAATGACAACCATCTTAATTAGTAAAAGCACATCAAAAGTAAAACTTTTAAAGGATTAACAATGACCGGGGCCTATGTAAATTGAGGAGCTTTACTTTCTACTTTACTCCTCATGTCGCTTTCCGATTGGAAATCAAAACACATCAGGGTTAGGTTTTACTGCTTTTATTAATACATTACATGCACTAATCGTACTTGTACGTAAAAACTCAATGCCCCGTCAGTGAGGTATGGTACATTAACATGGCGACAATAATAAACGTGGTTCTGTTTCAAAGGAGGAAGTAACTCTAAAACATGGATTCAGACAACTAATTAATTATCCTGCGTAAGTGTATAAGTACATATAAACGAGAAACGTTGCCGTCCAATACATGGCTTCCCTAAATTGAGCATATGAGTGACACATTAATGATCAATTTACTGACTAATCTTCAAACTAAAACAAATTACATTTAATCAAAACATTACATATATTATGGCGTGTTGGGGATTCCCGAATCTCCCTGTCTATGGGCTAAAATAAGTATAAATTTATGGATAGGTCTTTCAAGCACCTTTCTAGGAGACTGTCTTTTGCCGTCCTTATCAATGTCACAAGGAATTTCTACCTTGACCATACGCGTTAAATTGTCACCACTCGGAAAAGTTTTAGACACTCTCCCAAGTTTCCACAAATTTGAGGAAGCTTGTCATCTTTAATTAAAACAATATCATTAATTTTCAAATTATTAACTGGCTTAAACCACTTCTGCCGAACTTGTAGTGATTGCAAGTATTCATGACACCAGCGATGCAGAACTCTTTGGCTAAGAACTGGACCCTACGCCATCGCTTTCTGAGATACATATCTTCACAAACAAATACTCCAGGGGGTGGTAACACTAATTGACCCTTCATGGTTAATAAATGATTAGGAGTAATTGGCGAAGGAAAATCTGGGTCATTTATATCATTGATAGCTAGAGGTCTATTATTAATTACTGACTCAGCCTCGGTCATGAAGGTTAAAAGCGTTTCATCGTCTAATATGGTACCATGATTGTGAAGCAAGGCAATTAAAACATTGGTGTATTCATCTTAAAGGTTATCCAATCACATCCTGTCTTTAAAAGTTCCTTCGAAATTCCATCATTGTTCATTTCTTTCAGTGCCGCCTTTAACTCTGTTTGCGCTCTCACAAAGTTGGTACTTTGATCTGAACGTAACTGTCTAACTGGTCCCCTTCTGCAGATGAAACGTCTATAAGAATTCAAGAAGGAATCTGTATCCATTTTGTGTGCGACCTTTAAATGAATGGCTCGAGAGGCCATGCACACAAATACTACACCGTATCTTTTAATCTCTTTACGACCTTCTCAAACAATCCAAGGGCCAAAATAATCCACGGCTGCATAACTGAATGGTGGGGCTGGCTCAAGTCGATCTTTTGGAAGTGAAGACATCTTTTGAACTTGTGTACTACCAATCAACTTCTTGCAAGTTACTCACTTGGATATGATGCTGGAAATTGCTGATCTTCCACCCACTATCCAATATCCAGATGACCTTATCAGGCTATGAGTAATTCCACGACCTTGGTGATTAGACTTGGCGTGATAAGCTCTCACTATGAGTTCTGTTATATGACTTTGTTTTGGAATAATAACAGGGTGCTTGTAATCCACAGGTAGATCAGCGTCATCGACATCCAGAAAAACATCTAATTTGTACAAAGGACTAGGAGCCTTTAACGCGACTTTCTCTTCCTTTCTTATAGTTCTATCCTTTACTCTCTCTACTTCCCATAATATCACAATTTCTGAGCGTTTTAAATCAAGGCGAGGTATGGTTACAAGTTTTGTGGGTGTAACTCTAGACTTTGCTAAAACTAATGATACGTGGATCTGATCATTATGGTCTATCAGCATCAAATAACTACACTGACCGTATCCGGTCAAAGATGCATCACTAAAATGATGGAGTTCTATTAATTTGCTTCTTCCAAGAGCGACTGGTTTGAACAATCTTTGAATCTGGATCTCTGAGAGTTGGAGTAGGTCTGTCCTCCACTTTGTCCACTGTTGTCTAACATTCTCAGATACAGAGTCATCCCAACTGTTACTTTCCCTACATAGTGTTTGGAGTAACTTCTTGGCTATCAAGATAAATGGTGACACTAAGCCCAGGGGATCAAAAACAGAGCTTACGGTCGACAATATACCACGTCTTGTGAGTGGTCGGTCTTGTAGGTCGATGTGAAAGTGAAATGTGTCACTTTCTACGCACCACTGTACGCCAAGGGCTCGTTGTATACTTTCTTGATCTTTATCTACGCCAAATGTCTTAGGTCCACTTGCTCTTTCTTCTTCCGGTATACTGTCCAATACAGCTTTATCATTACACAAGAACTTGTGCAATTGAAATCCAGCCCTTTCACATATCTCCTTACTATTGGATATCAACTCTTTGGCTTCTTTAACAAGGATTTCAGGCTGTCGTCAAGGTAGAAATCGCGTCTTATAAATTCAGCAGCCTGGGTTCCTAACTCAGATTCATACTTATTTGCAGCTGCCTTCAGTCCATAGTTAGCACAGCCTGGTGATGAACTCGCCCCAAAGAGATGAACTGTCATTCGGTATACCGTGGGTTCTTTAAGAAAGTCATCACTGTCCCACCAAAAGAATCTTAAGTAGTTACGGTGCTCTATGTTGACTTTCAACTGAAAAAACATTGATTCGATGTCGCAAATAAATGCAATCTTGTCCTTTCGAAAACCTGCACAGTACTCCGACAAGATTATTCGTCAAATCTGGCCCATGGAGTAGGTGATTATTTAAAGAATATCCTTGGTAAGTATGACTACAATAAAAAACGACTATAAACTTATTAGGTTTTTTGGGGTGGTACACGCCGTGGTGTGGAATATACCAGACGTGGCCGTCGTCCAATAACAATTCGTCTGTAGGTACAACCTCAGCAAACCCACTATCCATTATCTTTTTCATAAATGTTCTGTAATCCTCCTGATATTTCTTGTCTTTGGAAAACTTAGTTCTAAGTCCGTTTAGTCTCTTTAAAACCGCAGATTTATTATCAGGGAGTTTAACATCAGCACCCTTAAAAGGCAAGGGCATTTCAAACCGTCCATCTTTCATCTCATGTATGCCCTTCTCCACTATATTCAGGAATCTGCTATCTTCATACGAAAGTTGCTTCTCATTAGAGTCCTCGTTGAAATCAAGTTCGAACATTCTAACAACTTGCTTTGGGTTTATAAGCTCTTTCGCTTTAGTTCTAAAGGCAAAGTGACAAGTCTTGACACCTACTGTAGAAGTACACAAATCTGTATCTCCGCTTTCAACCATTCCGATTATCCCCCATCCAAGGTGGTTCGGACTGCGTAAGGATCGCTTTCCTTACCAGGAATAACTTCAAGGGGTTTAACCGCTTTTATGCAGTTTATTCCAATGAGCAAACCAATTCTTATGTATGGGTTATGCGGCATAATATCATGCCGGATTTTACGTAGGTGGGGCCAATTATCCACTGATTCTCTTCTTGGTATTTGACTGCGACTAGCAGGAATCTCATCGCGGGAATATGTGGTTGGTAAGGATATTTCTTCACCCTGGTTGATACCTCTAAGGACTAATCCTGATATTTTCTTACTTTTTATCACAGATGTCCCTAGCATCGTCGACAAACTCAGGTCTGTTTCAATACCATTGATCCTTAAATCGTCAATAAGTTTATTATCGAGGAAACAGGCATCGGACTGGTCATCAATAACAGCATAGATTTCTAGAACGTTTGTATGGTTGTCTTCCTGGTATATCTTAACGGGAACAATTAATGTGTGGGATACACAACGGGAACCGGTGATATGATTAACTACAGCAGACATTCCGTTGGATTTTCCAGAAGCCTTTGTTACTTCCGTGTTTTCATTCGAATGTCTTGGAAAATAATTGTCATCGTGTAGGGCGGTGGGATGAAAGCCTTTACACTTGGTACAAATCTTTCTTTTATTACATTTGGCATTCATATGACCCACCGTTAAACACCCAAGACAAATAGAATGTTTAAGAATAAAGTCAAATTTCTCCTTCACACTCAAGTCCAGAAATTTCTTACAAGTATCAAGACTATGATAGTTCCTACACAGTGCACAAGGACTTTCATTTACGGCAGTTGATAAAGTAGGAGAAGAACTCTTAGATCTAGATTTTCTGTCATCAGTGTCAGCATACACGGCTTTATGTGAAGTGATCGGGTTACACAGTATACAAGCCTCTTTCTCAATAAAGTCGGCTGCCCTCTCCATCTTAGCTTCAAGAGAATTTATACTATGACAAGAACCTTTAGATGACCGAGACTGATTTGATTTAGCAGATTTACAATTACTATACATAGTATTAGATTTAGATCTACGAGAATGCATAGAAACTTTATCAATATCATTATCAATCATTTTAGGAACATTAATAATAGTTTTAGATTTATGACCAGACTTAGGCCTACTAGAGTGCTGTGAACGAATTGAGCCCTGCGTGGACTTGTGCGATTTCTAACTAACAGAACTAGAACTATAAGAATAAAAACATTCATTATTTTCAACGTTTGTATTAGATTCTGAACTTTCTGTGAATTTTCTGTTTTATTCTTAGCGTTACCAATATTAGTAGACGTTTGAGCCTTAACTTGAGGGCTGTCTAATTTATCAGAATCCACAGAAACAAAATCGTGAATCTTTTTATTAAATATATTGACAATTTTATTAATTTCATTCGAATAAGAATTAAAGTTCGCATTGTGAGCTTCTAGTTCTTCTTCGGTCTCTATGAAGTCTTCTAAGGTAGTGTTTGCAGTAACGAATTCTTTTTAACACACTTCAAGTCTGTCTCTTTCCTGTCTCAGTTCTTTCACATCGACATATTTCTCAAATGTCTCAATGTCCGTTTCCGCAATCAATCTTCTCCACCTTTTCAAACACACGTGGTAGTCTCTTTCAGCTTTCTGTTTATTAATTTCTTTCATTTTCTCAGTAGGAATTCTTTTCCTGTGCCTATCTTCTAATTCTATGTTTTCTTCGTCATCATTATCAACACAAACATGAACTATTTTTGATTTCGAACCTGTTATTTCTTCTTTAGATGCCATTATGTACATTTTTATCTTTCTTTCTTTCAAGCTATCAGTCAGTTTTTCTTTCTGTCTTTCTTCTTTTATTTCTGACGTCAAACTTCGTAGGCCTACCAGATTTCCACTCAAATTCAACAAACGAAGAGTTTTTACTGTAACTTGAGGAGCTTTACTTTCTACTTTACTCCTCATGTCGCTTTCCGAGTGGAAATCAAAACACATCAGGGTTAGGTTTTACTGCTTTTATTAATACATTACATGCACTAATCGTACTTGTACGTAAAAACTTAATGCCCCGTCAGTGAGGTACGGTACATTAACATGGCGACAATAATAAACGTGGTTCTGTTTCAAAGGCGGAAGTAACTCTAAAACATGGACTCAGACAACTAATTAATTATCCTGCATAAGTGTATAAGTGCATATAAACGAGAAACGTTGCCGTCCAATACAGCCTATTTTAAGGTTTTATTGATGAAGCATGGTTTCCAGAGATGCAGTTTTATTTGATGGGTATTTCCCACCTTGGGTTCCAACAAAATTTCCAAAATGTTACAATTTTCAGCACAGAACTTGATAGGCTTAATTTAGCTTCTTCCAACACCTGTATCAGTCCTACTATGTCAGAATAACCTTCTAAAATCATGACCAATTAGTTGTGACCAAAAAAAGACTCGCCAGAAGTGGAAAAAAAAATTCTTGTATATTTTTGTGTGAAATAGCATTATTTATCGTCCGCTTCCACCGAGGTGATATCGCAAACAATTCCTGAATATTACCACACTTACACTTTTATAACCAAATAAGCGAATGCCATACACGATAAGCCAAGATTTTGTCAGAAATCGATAGATCTCATCCTCTCATTGTCTAAATGCCTCACAATGAATATGAACCTGTTGCCTATATCACATTCACAAGGTTTTTCGAGAATATGAAAAAAAAACATGGTTAAAACTGTAGCCTCTATCGCTTCAACAAAGTTTTTTGGGGAACAGAAGATCATGGAATGCTGATTATCGATAGGAGTCGTGCTTCCATGTTCCCAATTCATCACACTAGGAGCTCACAAACTTTGTTATGCTTTGTGTATGTAAGCCCATAACCCAAGCAGTTGCACCAAAATCGAATTCTATCAACATTTTTTGATCCTCAACAAATTAATGTGAAAACATGTCTGTATAAAAATTTACATAATTGACAGATTTTTATTGAAAGCTGAGTATTGGTATCATTCACAGTCAAAAGAAACGTTCAAACATACACGAACCTTTACTGTAACGTGCTTCTGGCGACGTTGAAGGTGTGTCACTTGGGTCATCAACAGCTTTATTTTTAGACATTTACATACAAAACACGAAATTGAAACGAAATCAAACGATGTGACTGTTGGTCATAATGATTGCTGATGGCACACTTGCTAAGGTTCCCCATACAAATCCAATCAGATTCACAAGGATACATACCATTTTTATCAAAGCACAGATTTTAGATTCTCAAAACTAGGATCTTTCATTTCGAGTGACTTCTTCCATGACATTACCACCATTTGATCAGGGCTTTATCTGCATTAACACAGGGGACAAGTGGATATGGCTTTTTATTCCTTTATTAATGATATAAATGAGTGGTCCAAGATGTATTTCAGTGTGTAAAACTCGTCAATTTGAAGTGAAAAGCTCTTGCAAAGTTGCAGACCTGTATCCTTGGCCTGTTCAACTATGACAAACTTTCAATTTTAAGGATGGTATGGCCATAAACATATCACCGAATAGTGATATTAATTTCTTTTTCAAATAATGCATAATTTAATTCTTACTTCTATATTCATCAATATGGCTGACTTTATACTATTCATTGATTTAGATTTTAATATTTTGATTTAAACCACTTAAAGTTTTTGCCCTAAGCAAGAATGGTCTTGACTGTACTATTATAATCTTTGAGGTGCCAATAGGCTTATTAGTAGAAAGCTCAAAATAAAGATTTATACATTTAACAATGCAGTCAGATCAGTGCCAATCAAGTGTCGATGCTTTTAATTTTATTTACGGCTTAAAGCTTATTAACTAACTCTATGTTATTGTAAAACTTTTACCCAATGAAATTTATATATTAATTTAACTTCTTTCATTTGAATTGTTAAAATATTTTTATCCCTAATTTTATCTTCAATCTGATTTGTCGAAATGATTGTCTTTTTGTCTGTATGCAAATTAGTTTGTTTAAAAGACCCCTACACAGACAGAAAAGAATGTAAAAAAAAATATACAGGGAGATCAGATGAGATAGGAGATAAGATTAAGACGTTTAGTAACCCTTTGATATGATCTTGTAAATAATGTATTTTTAAACTGTATATGAAGTAATATTGAAATGGATTTGGAATTGGACTTATAATGCACAGTGACCACCTTCACTAGAATACTTCTCCACGAATGAGCTATACACCCCCAATCCTAGCTCATCCATATGTATGAAATATTACATATGTATCACCTGGGTGCATATTCGAACCAAGAATAGCCCCGAACCGTGGGTGATATAATGGTGGAGATGCCGAGTAGAGTGAACAAAATTGTCTACTCTTGATTCCGGTACAGCTAAGCGAGATAAATTGCAAACATATTTGGAAGAAGAAAGGATGGATATCAACTTTATTCTTCCTTCAGCAGCAGTAGCAGCAATAAGAAATCTGAATCAACTACCAATGTCTCAAACAGGATAGGGGTTCTACAGAAATAAGCTTTAAATGGGGCTTCTCAGAAAATTCATTACCCAGTCCGGAAAAGAAATATCGTTCTTTTGCCAAAAGACAAAGGGATAGACAGCGGCAGCTCGAATTTTTTGCTAAGAAGGATGCCCAAAAAGTACAGATTTCTGTGGTCTCCAGTAAAAAGGATGTGGGTGTCCAAAATGTTCCTGATACTAAAAATGTGGCTGTTGGGAATAACCCTGTGTTAATGGTGACAAGAGAAACAATATGTCATCCTGTAAATAGCCATGATAAAGGTTGTCAAATAAATTTTGACAGTGAGGCAACGATGAAAGATGTTTCAAGTTCTAGTACCAAAACTACCAGCAGTCAAGACCATCAACATGTAAGAATTTGTTCAACAAATCCGACAAAGTGCTTAGACAAAGAGTTAAGAACACAAAACAAGAATATCTCATTCAGTGGAAGAATTGTCCAGCAACTTCGAATTCTTGGGTTCTGGAGGAGGAACTAGATTATAGTGCTCAACAATACATAAATGCGAATTCAAATAGAATACAAGGACCCAGGTTACGTTTACCTGATGAAAAAGTTAACCAGTACAATTTGCAAGAACATTATTTTATGCCTCACATGAATCCTATGTACAGAAACAGAAATTATTATGAAAAAAGGGATAGATTATGTTACTTTGATTAATCGAAAAAAAAAGGATTTTTGATTTTATTAAATGCTTAAAACATGGGGTCATGTTTTTGTTTGAAGTAAGGGGGATATATGACCGATGTCTAGGTCATATGTTATTTTATTATTTTTCAATTCTGTTTTAAATTTCAAATCTATATTTTAATTTTCATTAATGCTTGGTTAGTCATTAGAGGCAGGCAGCAATTAACCTGTCAGTCAAATTATGACAGGCTGGCAACTAAAGTGGTTGATCTGTTAAGTCTCATCTAACTATTGTTTTAAATGCCTTAAGTCTTAATCCTTCAATAATTATATGTTTATGTCAACACTTTCTAAGTAACTGATTTGTATAAATAGACACATGTATGTTAGATGAGGATATTAGTTGGAGAGACCAGCTTAGGGAACATACTAGTTGGAGGTCCGATATATATGAAATTATAAGTTGTTAAATTGTTGCTGTTAATTATTTGCTCCTGAAATAAAGTGTTGAAGATCCATTCCAAGAATCTGTATTCATTTCTGATACTTAGAGAATACATGTCCACGAGCTACATTCCCTGAAAGTCGAAAGGTGTTAAACACTCAAATTCGACATTGTGTTATGGTCCTTGATAATCATATCTGTATACCTGTCAACGTTATATTTGGATATGGTTGTCAAGATTATCAAGTCATTTATACAAGTGAAGAATGAAATTCCTTTTAAATAAGTTACAAAACACCATTAAAGATGCATTATGTAGAGCTAAAGCTGCCTATTGCAGGTTTTTATTTTGGTTAAAATGTTATATAAATTATTATTTAGTCATGAATTCAAATGACAAGCCTATAATCACCTCTCTAGAGGATAATGGTACATCGTCTTTAGTATTTTACTTTCATAATAATATTTGCTTTTTTTCATATATTGTTTAATTTTGATAATAAATTGTTGAAATCCAAAGCAATGAGTTATTCAATCTTTGTCTTAACTTCAATGTTTCCTGTAATCCATCAAATCAACAGTACATTACACTACTACATGTAGGCTGTTATCCATCAAATCACTATATCATTAGACTACTAGGCCCTAATCTATCAAATCAATATATTATTATTATTACACTACACTAGGCATTATAGGCTAAACAATCAGATCATAATCATTACACTGCACTAAATCTTAAACTATCAAATCACTATATCATTACACTCCTAGGTCATAATCTATCAGATCAATATATTATTACAATACATTAGGCCTTACCCCATCAAATCATTATAGTATTACACTACTAGGTCATAATCTCTCAAATCTCTATTCAATTACACTTTATATTGCAATGTCCAATCGTAATTTGACACATAAAATGGCGTTCAATCCAATATTTGTGAAAGAATATGCCTACCTCACCTGCAGCTAAAAAAACACAACTATTATCAAATTTTTGATTGGTATCACTAGAAGTTCGAAAAACTAAAATGCTATAAATTATTACATTACACTAGGCCTTAAACCATCAAATCACTATAGTATTACACTACTAGATCATAATCTCTCAAATCTCTATTAAATTACACTTTATATTGCAATGTCCAATCCTAATTTGACACAGAAAATGGCAGCTAAGAAACTGCACAACTTATACCTAACTATGATGAATAATACATCACTGAGAACAAATACAATGTAAGCGCCTGATCTGTGCATGGAACATATATAAATGTCTGTTATTTGTAGTCTATCGAAAGAAAATTAATTTCCCAATTATTACTATGCATTACCACGTTAAAATTGTAAATGAAGTGCAATGTCCAATTGTAATTTGACACAGAAAATTGTGTTCAATCCAAGACTTGCAAGAGAAAATGCCTACCTCACCTGCAGCTAAGAGAGAGAAAGAGAGAGAAATGGGGCTTAGGGCTTAATGTACACTCGACACAAACTAGGTCATTTTGGGACTAACATATGGTTTAATTTTATTTCAATATATCGCTTGCGCGTAGAGGTCTTTAGCAATGAGAGGAAACCGGAGAAAACCCACGAGGTTGGACAGGCGATCCTACTCCTTTTCATATACAACTGGGGATTCGAAACCACGCCAGTTGACTCAATGACAGGCCTTATGATACAGCACGCACGTGCTAACCATTTGGCCATCCACCGCCCCCCCCCTGCAGCTAAGAAACCTGACAACTTGACCCCTGACTATAGATAAATAATACACATCTTATTATCAAACTTCTGTATCACGTTTCCCTGTAGGCCTACAACAACCCAAACAACTGCTACTATAGGAAGTTCGGAAAACTAAAATGCCATGAAGGAATGTTACTTTGGATGAGGGTCGACTTTAAAGGCTCGCAATACCACTCTTGTTGTAACTGAATAATATGTCCCAATCTTTATTCTGGTCAACAAATTGTACTATTTTACAATATTCCAATTAATTGGTGATATAAATTTCAACTTAACACACCTAATTGGAAAAATTCAACTAAATGATTTAAAAAGCCTGACGTAAAGCTTTTCAAATGTGACTTGGATTTAAAAATATTTTTGAACCCTCTGGAAAAGTAAAATAGGATTTAATGGATAATTTACACAACAGGTAAGACACTAACACATCTAGAACTTAGAATAAGGCATTTTTTTTATTTTCCGGAGCTGTCAAGCCAGCAAGAGTGTTATTGCCCCTTTAAATGTAGACTAAACTTGATAGGCCTATACACAAGTTACTATTCAATATCTGCAAGCATAGGGGAAAAGGTTTGGAAAACAGAATCTGTAATGACTGATGACAGACAATTGCAAGGTAATGTAGAGCGTTAAAAATGAACATTTATTATTATCATGCTTGACAGACCCGTCTAAAATGTTCGACAAGTTCATTAGCTATATCATGGTAAAAAAAAACACCCGTGTATTCTATAGTGTTCCGTGTTTATTATCTTACCGTTTAGAAACTTTCAAAACATAAATATTTCAGACAGACAACTTCAGTCTTCGATCAAGTTGAACACCTATCGTCTTCCTGTTACTTTCTACTGGGGTCATTCAACCGTGGTTAACTTGCGGCAAGTTGTTATAGGATTCCCGCGCTTTGAAGGGAAGCACGTGATGAGAGTGCCACCAGAAGCAGAATTTAATATATATTACCTTAAAGGTTAGTAAAAGTTTATGTTAAGTCAAACTTTAACAGGTAGGATGTTTTCTTCTAGAATCTAGGGAAAGCCGCACGGTGTCGATGACATAATTCTTGATTATGGTACCCATTATTGGTAATGGAAATGTGATTATCAATGGCGACTGATGTAACGCTTCCAGGGGCACCAGATAAAAATGATTGGTGGTGGTGATAGGTGGTAATAAAAATGCACATTGTTGACCGCATTCTGACTTCCAAATGTCCTTAAACAAAATAAATAATGTGCACGCCTATCTTGAATAATATTATCAGCTTTTTGGCAACTTCAACATTTATAATTTACCTGAGGATGAATATTTCTTGAGACAGCGTTGGGAAATTTATTAGACGCATCAAAAACTGACTCAGTTAAACATACATTATGCAAGAGCTAAATCTGTCAATTGCAGGTCTTAATTTAGGCCTGAAATGTTATCTAAATTATTAATTAGACATTAATTAACGTATCCAGACCATAATCAACTCTCGATGTCATCGCTAGCCTGCAATATTTACTGGATTAGAACCCGGTCTGCTGCTACTGATTTAATAAATAAATGGATAATCAAGACTATGTTTTTTATCATACTGACTTTTGTAATGATGATCGAGGCTAGGCCCAAAATTCAATTGCTAAATTCTCGGTTCAGGGTGGATCAATTTGACTGAAATTTTCAGCAAATTCTCTTTACATTATCAATTTTTAACTTTTATAGTGAGAACTGCCAACTCTTTATCTAATCTTCCTTAATGTATCTTTAAGAAACACTGATGATTCAAAACTTTTAAGTTTTGTTTTCCCACGTCCACTTTAATGTCCTCATGTGTTATATCCAGAGATTTACAATATTTGTCCCCCCGCCTTTCGAAAAAAAGCTGGGAACTATTAAAATGGATTCGTCTGTCCGTCACACTTTTTGGGACACAATAACTCTCCTTCTAATTAAGCTAGAATGTTCAAACTTGGTGTAGGTGTTTATTAGATCAATTCCTTGATGAAGTTCGAAGATGAGCATTGATGCTTTGGGACAGATAACTTTAGTTCAAATTTAGTGAGAGTGAGGAAACTTTGTGTATAGTTTTATCACATCAATACCTTGACTAAGTTCGATAATAAGCATTTTCTGCTCAGGGTAAACAGAGCATTAAGCAATTTGATGGGTCGAAACTTTGGAATACAAAAAGTCTCCTTCTAATTGAGGTAGAATGTTCAAACTTGTTGTAGGCATTCATTAGGGGAATACCTTGATGGAGTTCCGTGATACACATTGTCTGCTTACTGTAAGCAGAGATGAGCAATATGATTGGTTGATGCTTTGGGGCACGATAACTTTGGTTATAAATAAGTTATAGTGAATAAGTTTGATGATGAGAATTTTCTGCTTAGGCTAAGGAGCAATAAGCAATTTGATTGATCAAGACTTTGGAACATAACAACTCTGCTTTTAATTGAGGTAGAATGTTTAAACTTGATGTAGATGTTCATTTGGTGAATGTCTTGACTGAGTTCAATGATTGACATTTCAAGCTGAAGGTAAGCAATTTCATTGGTCTATGCTTTGGGAAGATAACTTTGATTCTATCTGATAGAGAGTGATGAAACTTAGTGTATAGTTGATTGCTAGATGCTTTTGAAAAAAATAAATGTGCGATTAATTGATATGTGTCATCTATTTATTTTGCGATTTTGGCGAGGGACATCAGCCTCACTGTTGGCTTGTTTTACATCAGTTTGTTGATAACATGTATCTTTCAGATTTATTTGCTTGTGTATATAGGTACAAAATTACATAGACTAGAATGGATGAGCACAAAGAAAAAGTTCTGAAAGGTAAATTGAATTGAGCATTTTGGGGAGTGGATGTATGTCCTTGGGGTGGAGTAGAAAAATCCCCCCAAACCACACAAGAATGATATTCTCAGGGTTATTCACTTTACAATACAGGCCTATGATGAGTATTGACAATTTGAATTGATAAGATTCCACAATTTTTGGACTGTCTAAAAAGGGGCAAAGTTCCTGTATGACAAACATATCCAGACAATACTTTGAAGACTTTTCCTTCCAAGATGATCAAAAACTCACTAGATAAGGACCATTTGTCCTGCAAATTGACACATTGTTAATAGATATTTTGTTGTCTTTGTGTTTAGTTACCAGGTGTGGCTTAAAAGATAAAACCTTCACGCTCTCATGACTTTCAGTTGATTATTTGCTTCAATTCATTAAAAAACCACCAGGGAGAGGTGATCTGACCACCCTCCTTCCCAGTTGAATTACCCTTGATTATTGCACCATAAATTACGTTGATTTATTGTACCATAAATTACATTGACTTATTCTAGGGCATTGCATTTTTCAGGGATGAATGACAATAAGACTAAACGGTCAAACTCTGCTGAAACACCCCAAAAATTTCAGGAATCAAAAATACCAAGGCTTATTAAAAATTTAAATAGCCAAACTCACCAATCCAAAGAAATCAATGAAAAATCAATGGAAGACACTGACTCAAGTGTTTCATCAAAGAGTTCAAGACAAAATAATTCGGAATCAATGCCTAATTCCTTTTTTACAAATTTCCGCAGCAAGAAAAAATTCTGGCCTGATCTTAGGAAAATTAAAAAAACACAAAAGAAAAGAAAGCACTTATCAGATAAAAATGAAACCGTGAGGTTAACAAGATCTCAAGTAAAAATGCTCTTGGAGACTGCGACCAAGTCTGGTACTAGGCCTGGTTTAGCTTTTGATAATCCTGATAATCCTTCAACGTCCAGTTCATCTGAGCCAACATCACAGTTGTGTCCCATATCTGACCTAATGAGCTACAGATTTAAAAGTTCAGCAAAGAAATCATTAAATCGCCGATGTAAGAATCATTACTATACCATGGAAGATATGGTAGCAAAATACCAAAAAACAGGTCCTTATGAAGAAATCAGTTCTGATGATGAATCCAGTCAAGTTTGTTCCACACCTCCAGCTGATGAGAATTTGTTGATGGAACCAGCAGTGAATGTTCTTGACATTCTTTGCAGAAATGATAACCAAGATCTAAATATTAAAGATATTGTGGAATTGAAGGATATAGGTATATTTGAGACAGACTCAGATGATGATATGGTTTTAGGACCTGCATTAAATAGTGAAACTACACCTAGAAGACAGGCTGATATACATGAAGAATTGAACACAAATATAGTAAGACTACTTACAGAATTTCAACATTTGCTTTCACAGGGAGACAGATATTCACAATTTTTATTGTCGTCGCCCCTGTTCGTCCGGACGTCCATCCACAATTGTTTGTGGACATTCTACAGATCACAATTCTTATCCAGTTTCAACGAAACTTGAAATATAGGTTTATCTCCCTAAGATCTCAGTTCCTTTCGATATTGGCATGTATCGGACCGTAACTTCATGGATTATGGCCCCTGATTGTACGAAAATTGCGTTTTTAGCTTGTGGACCCTATAGAGGTCACAATTTTTATCAGATTTTGATGAAACTTAAAACATATCTTTATATCCCAAAGATCTCAGTCCCTTTTGATATTTGCGCATTTCAGACCATAACTTTCTGGATTATTGCCCCTGATTGTACAAAAAATCCTGTCTGTTTTTAGCTTGTTCTCTATCCATCTCTTGCAAAATGTGGGCTGTCTAGTCGTTCAGATGGGACGAAAACCCGAGGTCCCGTGTACACATTGGCGTGCACGTAAAAGAGTAGGCCGTAGTGCCGCTGTCCGGGCAAAATTTCCCTCATAGCACACTGTATGGCGTATGCCCGTCTTCATTAGCCCAGTTTGGAGCAGAACAGTAGGACGTTAAACTCCATTTCATTTCCACCATACAGAATGTTGAATTCAAATTTCAGGAAAATCGAAATGAAACTGCCCGACAAAATGTCCGCTCTTTGTACGCAAATTATGTAAAAGTATGCAATACGAAGGTTGTGGACCCTCTAGAGGTCACAATTTTTATCAGATTTTGATGAAACTTAAAACATATCTTTATATCCCAAAGATCTCAGTCCCTTTTGATATTTGCGCATTCCAGACCATAACTTTCTGGATTATTGCCCCTGATTGTACAAAAAATCCTGTCTGTTTTTAGCTTGTTCTCTATCCATCTCTTGCAAAATGTGGGCGTATCCTGCCTGGCAGCCGCTGGTTAACACCTAAACCCAACTTAAATACCAAATACAATGAAATGAAATAGTCCTCTAATATCCTACTTTTCTGCTCCATCCGAGCTAATGAATAATGGGCAGTGGCGACAACATGTACACAGAATCTTGGGTTTTTTTTTTTGTCACATTCAAACAACTAGACACTGATCCTGGTCAGGCCCTCTGTGCTGCACCACTGACCACATGGATAATTCTTGATCGACTCTGTGGTCATACCAGGGACATTCAGGTTAGCAAACCATTGCCTTACTCACCGAGCCACTGTGGCTCTGATACTAAATACATTATTGGTACATGGGTTGTGAGACGGTGTTTAAGTGCAATGCGAGTTGTTTTGTACCAAATATCTGTCTCTATACATACAATACAGTGTATTTTGGAAATGGGAATCACAATACATTGATTGATTCACAATATATTCAGCCAGCACTATTGTTTCACACATTACATGCACTGCAAGTGATGGAAATGTCATTTTAACCATAATGCCCAAATTATTACATCCTTTCACATAATATTCTGAATGTTGAAAGGATTTCTGTTACTTGAATATTCCATATTCTGAATATTGAATGGATTTCTGATATTTGAACTGGTAAGAAACTGAAAATACACATCTTTAACAAAGATTCTTTTGAGATTCTAACATTTAGCCATATTGTCTTCATTTTCGTTAGTAATTGGGGGGGGGGGGAGGCGCGAATGGTTGACACGTGTGCACTGAATCATAAGGTCTGTCATTGAGTCAACTGACGTAGTTTCGATTCCCGGTTGTACGTGACAAGGAGTGGGGTCGCCTGTCCAACCTCGTTGGTCCTTCGGTTTCCGACCCCTATGAGTAAGCTAATTATTGAAATAAAATTGAACCATATGTTAGTCCCAAAATGACCTAGTTTGTGTCGAGTGGAAGATAAACCCCATTTCTTTCTCTCATTAGTAATTGAATAATATACTAAATAAAAAACCTGATTACACCGTTTAAACATCTGATACCACTTTGCAATTCAGTTGGGAAATCCAGATATTTTTGTTATACATAAATGAATTAATTTATTTAGCAGCCTATCAAAAAGATGATGTTTGTGGCACCGATGGATTCCAAAGGTGATCAAAGAAGAGATAAAACTTTAAGAGAGCATCCAGCAAAGAGACAGTTGTTCCAGATTTTACCAAAAACTCCAAAGAAAAACCAGAAAGGAAAGGCAGAATTAGAAAAGAAGAAGAACGACGTTGATGAAACAAAAAATAATGATGATATAAAGTCTTTACCAAGTGCTAAATGTAAACAGAAGAAACATCATATAGAAGTTATAGAAGAAGGAGATGAAGTTATTGATATAGTAAGTATCTATTCTGATTAGAGACAAACTTTCTTTGTACTGAATTTTTGAAGGAATAGTAGGGATTCCACTGAACTGAAGAAGAAATTTTGTGTGGGAGGATCAGCTTGTTACCTTTAAAATTTGTCCATTGTAATATTCACTTAAATAAAGGGTTATGGTCACATTAGTGTGGTAAAGGGTAATGGTCACATTAGTGTGGTGGAAATAATTCAACTGGGGTAATTGGTAAGATATAGTGGGCAGAGTTACTGGTGAAATTTTATTTTAAATATTGGAGATTTTTAAGGGTGTACAAAACAAATTGATTTTAAAGAATAGTCAATCTCCATTGAAGTGTGACTGATCTGGACAAGTGATTCAATAATCAAAATATAAAGTTTATTGAAAAAATATCTACCGAGTTAATGAGTTGTCGATATTAATATACTAAGCAGCAAAAGAAACGTCAGGTTGGTATGTTACTTTGAATAGACGCATTGCATAAAACATGCTGAATGTTTTTGTTGTATGTTTGTGACCACATCTCCAACTTTACCTGAGCAATAAGGCTCCTTCCCAAACACAGAATTGAACCCAAGGAATGTTCTCAAAAATGCAACCAGACTTCTGAGATGGTAATGTGTTCTTCATGATTTTCATGCTGCATGTGCTGTTCACTGGGACCAGCCCTATAAAATGCCCCCCCTACCTGGTTGAATCATTCACACTACAGCGTCATGATAGCTCAGATGAACCAGGCGCTTGGAAGACTTGACGCTGGCCTCACAGTTCAAGCCGTTGCCAATCACTTCCAAGTCAATGTTCGTACCATCTACAGGCTTCAGCAATGCTTTCAGGCCACCAACACGGATGATCGCCCCCAAACTGTTAGACCAAGGGTTACCACAAGGATATAAGACTGCAATGTTGTGCGACAGCATGTGCAGAATCCCTTCACACAGGCATCTGAGAAAGCACGTCAGACCGTGGGAACACACGGAAGACCCATCAGTACCGATACAGTGCGCTGACGTCTCACCAGAGAGAACATCCATTGCCGTAGACCTTGCCGTGGACCGATCCTCACCCCTTGCCATCAACGTGAAAGTCTAGAGTTTGCCCAACAACAGGCAATACAGAACTGTTCAGTTCAAAGATGAGAGTCGGTGTTGCGTATCAACTGCAGATGGCAGGACCAGAATATGGCATCAACGTGGCCAGCGTTATTATGACTAATGTGTCATGGAACGAGACTCATGGGGAGGTCCCAAGCATAATGGTTTGGTGTGGAAATCGACCTGAACCAGAGATTGGGTACTGTAGTGTTCCAAAATCTTGGTCCAGAGAGAGGAGGCGGCATCACAACAATGCACTACATCGATCAAGCTCTCAGAACCCACGTCATACCACATTTCGCACGTCATTGAAACAACATTTTGCAGCATGACAGCGCCCTTGCCCACGCCACCAGAGTTACTTGGGACTTTCTACAGCAGAACAGTGTCAACGTTATGCACTGGCCAATCCTTAGTCTGGACTTAAACCCGATTGAACATCTTTGGGATGAAATTCAGAAGAGACTTAATAACATCGTACCGAGACCGAACACAGCCGATGGATTGCGCCAGGATTTTCTGAGAGTGTGGTTACAGGTGCCAATGGCGTTCATCAATCGTCTGGTCCACTCCATGTACAGACGCTGTACAGACTCTAAACCTTCTCGTAATGTCTTGGAATTGTGATGAATTAATCACTAATGTGTCAACATACTGTTTATAAAAAATTGATTTGATCCATTTAGTAAGTTGTTTTCTAGAATGATTTGATTAAAGTGCCTCTCTGATTTTGAAATCGTACTGGCAGGTTTTTTTTTGCTGTTTAGTATATTTTATTTGCTGTAGCTAAAATTCTGAGAATATGTTGAAACTATTTAGAAAATAGAATTAAAGAATCCCCACTCAACAGAAAACCACAACAGACTTGTAGAAGTAGAGGATCGTTTAATTAATCAACGTTTCGGGTGCAGTACCCTTTTTCAAGATTGACATTATAATAATCCGAAACGTTGATTAATTAAACGATCCTCTACTTCTACAAGTCTGTTGTGGTTTTCTGTTGAGCGGGCATTCTTTAATTCTATTTTCTACTCCGGTATCATTTTTTGATCCAGTTACCACGCAGATGTACCAGCCTGCCAGCTATAAATTTAAAAATCCTGTGACGTCACCACCTTTATTGTATATAAGGCGTCAAAGGATTATTATAATTTCAATCTTGAAAAAGGGTACTGCACCCGAAACGTTGATTAATTAAACGATCCTCTACTTCTACAAGTCTGTTGTGGTTTTCTGTTGAGCGGGGATTCTTTAATTCTATTTTCTACTCCGCCCCGCCGGTATCATTTTTTGATCCAGTTACCACGCAGATGTACCAACCTGCCAGCTATAATTACTCTCTATGGGAGTGTTGCCGTACCCTTTTTCCTGTTTCCAGTTTTTAGAAAATAGATTTAGCATTTTAAAGTAGATTTACTGTAAATCATTAAATTAAGCACAATGAGTAAAAAATGACATTTTAGCCAAAACCAGTTCCTGGTGTTGGTAGACATAAGAGGACTGTATGGGTTAGTGTGTCTGCTTCAATTGAAGTTGAATGTTTAAACTTGGTGTAGATGTTCATTTGGTAATTGTCATTATTAAGTTCGATGAGTGATAAGCAGAGTGATAAACTATAGTCATGCATGGATAGTGTCTGTGACAGAATTTTCTAGTATTGCAAATCTTTCAAATAACTCTAAACATGTAATTTCAGGAGGAACAATTAGGTCGTTTAGTGTTCGCTAATCTAGCAGGTTTACAGTGGTGGCCTGGTCTTATTGTTAAAGGTTCTATGTGTAATCTATATACAGAAGATATTGGATGTTCCTGGGTTTATTGGTTTGGTGATCATAAAGTCTCATTGGTAAGCAAATTAACATTGTTTTAATTAATATACAACAAAGTATTGTCATCTGTATTTGCCTATGAATAAAATGTAATCCTGCAATCAAACACTTATCAGTTCCTCTTACTCTTTTTTGGCAGTTCTGGTTATTATTGTTGTTTTGGTGGTATTGATCTTTGAAACATGTAAATTATTCTACAATTTAAAAAAAACTGTGGTTGTCAGGCAACCAAACATCTACTAGCATGTACCTCTTTACCATTTGATGGAAAAAACTCATTGTGTAGATAATCTCATTTTACTTTACAGGTGACACATGAAAGAATAATTCCATTCCTGGCTAACTTCAATGATAAATGTCATGGTAAAGGCAAGATGTTCCAGAAGGCTCTGATAGAGAGCATACATGTAAGAATATAGTTAGTTGTTGAGTTTCTTGGATGCAAGGATCCCCTAAAATACAAAATTTAGTTTAGTGTGGTTTATACATAACGAAATTATGATAAATCTGAACCGTCGAAGTACTAGTCTATTTTGCCCATGGAATCGACTGCAACTTGCTGACTGAACAGTAATGACTGATTTCATGACCAGATTAAGACTTTTAGAGGCCTTAAGTCCAGGGTTCGTAAATTTGGGGTTGTGACCCCAAAAATGGGGTTGCTTGGTACTTTTGACAGGAGCGAGACCGTCGCTTAAAATAAATTGTGGGAACCATTGAGGTGGTTCGGTATGGCAGTTGCCATATTCTAACATTGTTGTATTTAAATTTTAAATTATATAATTAGAACTGCGAAAAGCAGACCTGACATGTTTCGGTACATCAGGTCACGCCTTGTCACGTCAAAAATCAAGTTACACCATTAACTATTGAGTATAGTAACATCCAGTACCTATTAAAGTGAAAAAAATCTGTCATTTTGAACTCTTAATAAAACCGGAAGTTTTAATTCAAGACCAAACTTTTTGGTATTAGTTGTTAGTATGCAACAGGGTCATCATATATGCAAAGGTGAAGGGTCATTGAAAGAATTTCAAAGTGAAACAAGAAGTAAACAAAATCGAAATTGAAAAATCGGCTCCCTAGGAATTGTTGCCATTTGAAGTAGGTTCAAATAAAAAAAAAGTTTTGAATCAAAATGGTGGCAGAATATTGCTTTTTTGTAAAATCCAATATGGCGGCCAAACGGTTGAAAATGTTATCGAACAAGGTCTCTCAAAATGAAAGATAATATCTGGGGCTAACACGACCATATGTCATTTTTAGTCTATTTTAAAATGGAGAGAACTATTCATGTTCGTGAAAAATCGGAAGGCCTCCGCAATTTCCGGAAGTTTCCGGAAGCTGTTACAAAAACTTTTAATATGCCATTTTGAAGGCATCAATGTGTTCCTTATTCCTACAATTTTTGAACTTGTTACCCCCAATACTAACGCCGATAAGCCATTTTGAATGTGAACAAAATGCTGAAGAAAACTTTCACAAATCTTTGATGCAATCTGAGGTTATTTTTTGTCCCATTTTTAAAATATTTCCTATTTGTCAAAAATGACCCAATTTCTATTTAATGAATAGTTTCACGGTGGCTAACAATATCTAAGTTAGCAGAATGTTTGCACCATGCACACTTAAATTTTGGCTGCAAACTCTGACTAAAATCAAAAAAAAAAAAGAATTATCATTAGTAGTACCAGTATATGTTTGTTTGTTTTTTCTCCTCAATTATTTGATTTGGGGGTGGCCTGTCTGTGTTTTTGTTACCCCTAAGCAATCGCCATGTTTCTTCTTCAAATTTAAAAGAAGTATATATGGCGGTCGTTTAAGGTGTTACCTTTTTTTAATTTAATTATTTCTGTAGTTTTGTAATCAGAGTTCAGCTTTAAGCAAGCAATGATAAAATATAAATATAACGAGACAATATATACATGTTAAAAAACATTGCTTGATAATGACTAGAGAAGCCTAGTCGAAACATTGCTCAGTTATAAGCAGTAATTGTATTCCATAGAATTGTGACCTGTATATTCCAGTTCAATTACTAAAAACCATTGAAATAGGTTAGTCTAGGGCTGACTAATTTAATCCAGATATTTGGAATAAAATGCTGACAAACAGTAAAAAGTGTGGGTTAGTTTAAATGCTAGTTTAAATAGTAGTAGTAGCGTGAGAAGTCAGCTCCTATTTGCACTACACGTATTAGGCATTATATTAAGTTATCTATCTTTCTAAGTGCTGGAAATTGGCTCAACCTGTCATAAGGATATGAACTAAGATGACTGGTTAAAATTATTGGAAAAAACTGTGTTTGTTTTTTGTGAAATCTGTGCTTAAACATTTTTATTGGATTTTAAATAGTGACCAGTCAACTATGGATAAGTAAATTTGGATTAAATTGTGTCAAGGATCAATGAGTTCACTATATATTATGTCACATATGGTGTGTGTTTGTGATTAGTATTATGAATATTAGGATTACGCCTAATGAACAAAACTCTACCTTAATCTATAGCTGACATGAACTGTTACAACTGAGAAAAAATGTGACTAAATGTGAAAGCAGTAAATTTTATCATGAAATTAAAGGAATAGCCCATGTTATATTAAAACATAACCAACCAGGAGAAAACCTAAGTATCACATACCCACCTTAATTACTTCAAGATTTCTAAAAAAAACTCATGCAATGAACCAAATTCCAAAAAACCTCATTCATATTGAATTACAGAAAAGTCCTAACAAATCATGTAAAACCACAACTACAACACGTTTCTTCCTTTTCTGAACTGTAGATTAGTGCGGAATAAGACATTGGATTTAAATGCATTTATACAAACTAATCAACTCTATCTATTTGCACCAGGGCATCCACTTCAAAATTTTCACTGCTGGTCATTTTTGATAACGCACAAAAACTTTTCAAAGTAATTTCATGTTTCTTATTCGTGGTAGGGTATTGTGAATTCACATGTCTATACCACTTTGTCATCATGGGGTACACAAAAAATGAATATTGGACTGAAAAAATAAATATAAGTAAGGCTTATGATAATTATTTATTAATTAAATATTCCCTTTTGACTACTTAAATAATCGAAATAGCTGAATTGGCCAGAGAAAAATCATTCCAGTAGCTCACACGTAATTACCATGTGCTCTATAGAAAACACACTGACCTGGATAATTTTGAGTTGTAATACAATAACTTCGAAATGAAGATAAATATATAATTATCCACGTCATATATCTCACATTTATTGGTTTTAGACCATCTCTTACGACATTACGGACCGCAGAATTGTGACATAAATCCTAATAATGAATAACTAACGGATAACTAACTTCACAGCTAGCGACACTAGCGCCCCCTAGAATATCATCCCCTAGAATATCATCGTATATATGAGTAACCATATATACACAACATTTTTGCAACACATGGAATTATCAATATTGCTGCACAATAGCACTGGAATACTTAATTTTTCGGTAAGCATATGTTAACTTATCTCTAGATTTTAGTTCTGCAGTTCCCACAAGGCCGTAATATCGATAAAAAAATTGTAATGCATTTTTCTCCCAACACATATGTTGTTGAGGATTTACTTAATGTCTATGCTGTTTTTATTTGATATGACAGTTGGTTGGATTCGAAGAGTAGTACTTCATATCAATTGCCCTTTTTTCAATGATCATAATAATCTTGTATACATCGTGCGTGACCGTAATAGCGGTAAACGGCTTTGTTGTAGAAAATTCTTATGACACGTGGACAATATGTGAATGATTAACAATGGACTGTTTCACGCCATTGATTAGATTCCCACATATCAATTAACTTTTATTGTTCTACTACCAGACATTCATCATTATTTATCAACACAACACTCAATCTGTTGACGACTATGTATACAACTCGGTAACACCAATGACGAAATTATGTGGCCTCTATACATGTGCATTATTCTGTACTGGCCGTACAATTGTATAGTTACATAGTGGAGGTCGATCGTAGCCATGTTTAAAAATTGGGTTTTGGAAAAAAAAGGACTCTCTTTCCGGCGTGCAAAATGACCGTAATTGGGTCAGATCTAGTAACAGCATATACGGCCGACGTGGAACCCATGATTTGCACCTTCTGAAACTTGGCTTATTGAAACTAATGATCAATCTTAATTAGCTGAACTGATACCCTCCGGATATTCTATACATAGTGTACCTAGGAAATCACAGGGTGGTGGGGTTGCACTTATATTTAAATCAACTATCAAATCTACCAAACCAAAACCAACTACTGTAAATTCAAGAGCTTTGAATGTTTGGACTCTTTTGTAACTATAAAACAGAAAACCATATGGATAATAATTATATACTGTCCACCTGAAAAATTGGTTGATTTATTCTTCAATGAATTTAAGTCATTCCTGGAGGATGTTGCCTTCAGTAATTGTGACCTACTTGTTTTAGGTGATTTCGACTTCCATTACGATAACAGCAATGATCCATCATCTTTAAAACTTAAATGCACCAACATGTTCAAAGTAAAACCCATGTCCATGGTCATACCCTCGATCTTGTAATATCAAGACTCTGCGAAAATTTTGTTGGTAATCTAATTGTACAGGAGTCTATCTTATCTGATCACTTCCCAATTTTTATTAACTTAAAGATCCAACCTGCAATCCACATTCGATAAGCTTTATCGAATACTCAAACATATTAGAATTCGTCCAAATTCAGAATGGTTCAATAACGAAACACTACATGCGACGAGATGTAGAAATAAAGCTGAGCGAACATGGAGAAATTCCAAGCTCCAGATCCATCGGAAACTATATCAGGTAGAGAAGTTCAATTTGATGCATTGTTGGTGCTAAGAAATCTTATTATTCTGACAGAATTGACAATAGTGACAACAAATTTAAAGAGCTTATTCGTATTTCCAATGCATTATCAGATTACAACTATGGTGTGACTTTACTACCCGAGGCTAACACTGATCAACAACTCGCCGATAAGTTTTCTTCATATTTTCCTAATAAAATATCCATCATTAGAGCCAATCTTGCACTGAATTCAGGAGATGGGATATCTTGCAATACAAATCTGACAGTTCTACCACCCTCACTCAGTTCATTTAGCACGGTCAGTGAACCTGAATTGTCAAAACTTATCTTTTCACGTTCAGTTTATATACACCATCTCTTGGTAATCTGGTTAGAAAACATGGACTTGGATATCACCTCTATGCCGATGACACCAATATTATTTAACCTCCACTGGCTACCTATTACTTACAGAATTGACTATAAAATCCTACTATTAACCTTTAAATGTCTAAATGGTTTGGCTCCTGTGTACCTATCTTAGTTATTATATCTTAAAATCTTTTTTATTTATTAAAGCATTTTATTGAACTTTACTACTGATTTTTTAACTTAATTTTTATTTCTTTTACGCTATTATTATTATGATACTTTTAATGTGTGCCAATTTATTGGTTTTTATTATTCCAATTAGTTTTTATCATATTGTCTATCTTCATTTTATAATTTTATTGAATTGTAAAGCGCATCTTAGCACTATGTGGAAAATGTGCTATAGAAATACACCAAAATAATAATAATGCTATTCTCAGTTCCGAAAGCGAATTTAGAATTTATGATGGAATTTTTTAATTTTTTTAAGATATTTGGCAGCAGATGTGGATTAAAGATAGATTCTTTGTCTGATGATTATCTTCTAGCTTGGGCAAAACGTGGCTTTAAATTTAAACCGCATGATCAACGTACAAAAGCAGAAACAGGTAAATTTAAGCTACTGATGAGTGAATGATCTATTAACTGGCAGTCGAACTTGTCCTTTTGATTACAGGTTTTAACACTTCTGTCTAATCTTTTTTTGCATCTTTAAGCTTGTGATATACCCGAAACAGTTACTATTCATCTAAAAATGATTGGTGATGATGTGTTAAAGAAAGTAGCAAATAAATCTGTGCCTAAATCAAAAGGGGTCAAACAGCAAAAACCAGATACTAGAGGTAAGAGTTTGTTACAAATTCTTACTATTCATAATATTAACCCAATAGCACGCAGAACGTCCGCCAACGTCCGTACTATATTTCCTCAGAACGTCCGTCAACGCCCGGGTGTTTATATTGTCCGCTGTATCAAAAATACTGCACTGAGATCATTGATTCACGGCTCCTTTGATAGCTAACATATGTGCCGACACGCTCGAGGTGTGAAAACCGGGTCATTGTATTTGACTTTTCCGAGTAAACAAAGCGTGAACTTTGAACTTTGATACCGGAAGTTAACGGTAGTCATGGGACTAACTGGTTTTTTCCTCTGACCTGCATTACTTGTGACCTGCATTCCACTGTTTCAAAATGGCTAGCACAAGTAAAGGAATGGATGTTACGACTGCATTGGGTCTTTTGATGGAATCGGATTCAGAATTGGAAGAAAGTAGTGGCGAGGAATCTGATGGTTATCCAGACCATTCGGATTTAGAAATCTCTATGCAGGTAGGTTTTTTTATCTTCAAAAATCGTACTTATTTGTTTCGTTTTCTCTATGAAACGTGTTTGTAACTTTGTCGACAGTCTAGTCCTGAGGATTCATAAGGGGTTCATGTGTTTGTTTTATTCAAACTAATCATTTTTGGGGGAATAATGTGCGTATGTTGAGAATTTATTTGTTGAAGTTGTGAGAGACGTCATGAAGTGAGTGACATAGATATACTTTGTTTCATTTGTTTACAAATGGCTAGACCTACTAACGGTAAATTGCTATTTTGGTGTCACGTGACAATATTCCCCCGAGGCTAATACAATAATTATTTCAATAGGCTATTGTTTTTAGACGCCTCGATCTTGCCACTTTTTCCTATTTTGTTTTATTATAGATGTAAGCCTAAAAAAATAAAATAGACATTGGCTACTGTTGAAACTGTAGTTTGCAACTATCCATGCTCATTACAAGTAGAATATTTATTCAGGCTTACCATAAACAAGATTACAAAAAATGTTATAAAGCTTGATAGTGTGTGGTTATAAAAACTTGACTTACAGAACAAATATATTTTTATATTTTTAGATTGATGATGAAGACACTGATAGTGATCTTGACTGGGCTGCTCCAACAGTATCCGATAATGACTCCGATCTACCTGATATTTCACCAGCCTCCACACCTCCACAAGATGATAATGCACCAAGAGGTCGTCCAGCAGCAAGGGGTCGTCCAGCAGCAAGGGGTCGTCGAGGCCGTGGCAGAGGAAGAGTTCGAGGTGATAACCAGAGACCCCCCTTGGACCAAGGATGGTCTTATGACATGCCAACACCAAACATTTTACCCTTCAGAGAAGATCGGGGGCCAAAATGCAACCTGGCCTATGATGCCCTTGAAGTTGACTACCTACTTGCATGTATTGGTGAAGATTTTTTTGAGAAGGTGGCGAATATGACCAACTTATATGCGGTGTACCAGAGTCCGCCAGACAACCCAGATCCTGCTGATCCTCTCAAGACTTCCGACTCGCACTGGACACCTACCACAACAGACGAGATGAAGGCATACTTTGCCATAATGATGCTAATGGGAATCAAAGAGCTTCCTGAGTATGCAGATTACTGGTCGAATGATTCAGCATTGGGTGATCAATATGTAAGTTCCCGGATGTCTCGTCGCCGCTATGAATCCTTGAGTAGGTACTTACACATTACAGATCCAAACAATGAAAATAAAGAAGACAAACTTTGTAAAGCCAGGCCATTTATTGACACACTACAAGACAAATTCCCAAAATTATTCGGCCCTGGACCAGCTCTCTCGATAGATGAAGCCATGATCAAATACAACGGTCGTATAAAGTGGAAACAGTATATGCCCAAGAAACCGACAAAGTGGGGAATGAAACTTTGGTGCTTATGTGATGCAAGTACTGGCTATTGCCTAAAATTTGACGTCTACACTGGCAGATCAGATGATGATGCTCCTGACAAAGGCCTTGCCTACCAAGTAGTAATGGGCCTAATGGAGAAATTTATTTTATCCAACCACCAATTATTTTGCGACAACTTTTTTACCTCGCTTGACCTGGTTAGAGACCTAAAAGATGCTGACACATACTATTGTGGAACAGTAAGAAAGAATCGTAAAGGCCTTCCTAAATCCATTGATGAACCACGTCTCGCCCCTGGTGAAAGTGTGAAGATGGCCACTGACAGGGATATTATCTTCTGTAGGTGGAAGGACAAACGGGATGTTTATCTTGTCTCCTCAAATAATGATGGTTCGGACACCGAGAAGCCCAGAACACGCCATCGCCAAGATGAAATGATTCAGATACCAACCATGGTGGTAGATTACAATAAGAACATGGGAGGTGTAGATCACCTTGACCAGTACAGATCTTATTATAATCTTGGACGTGCTGGAAAGAAGTGGTGGAAGTATCTGGTTTTTGCCTTGCTAAATATAGCGGTTGTAAACGCTTATATTTTGTGATACTCATCTAGGATGCCATTGCCAAAAAATAAGAGAAAGTGGTCCTTGAAGACATTCAAACTGAGAATAGTCCACCAGTTAGCAGACAATTTTAGTTCTCGCAAACGTAAATGTTCATGGGAAGGAAGAGAAATACAGAAAGTCATCGAGAGAAACATAATGCCAGGACATGACCTTGTTAGGTTTGATGGAAGAAAGAGAGCCTGCCAATGGTGCCTGAAAGAAAAGAAAAGAACTGCCTCTGATCGCTGTGTGGTATCAAGTTTTGGGTGTTCGCACTGTCGAGTAAATCTGTGCCGTGATGGTGATTGTTATGTAAAATTTCACGGAATAATTTGAATTTGAAAATACAATGTCAGGTGAATAACAATGATGTGACCAAAATAAAACTAATTTGACTTGACTTGAATAATATGAACAGAATAAAACTAGTGTGAATTGGATAAACATGTGAACAGTTGTGACAATCAGTGATAATATAAAATAAAAAAAATGCTCTATTATTTTTTGTTTTTTTATTTTAGCATCCTTTTTTTTTATCCTGTATGCATGTAGTTATTTCTAATAAGTGGTAAAAGTATGTCTGAAGTCTTGAATACATGCAAACAGGATAAAAAATATATATATATAGGCGTATATAAAAAAAAATTTTTTTTGAAAAATTCAAAAAAAAATTTTTTTTTATTTATATATCCATTACTTTCAAAATGGTTTATGGTCACGATTTATACCTCTGTGATCTAAAAACTACATACCATTGGAAAGATAAATTTATTAGCTATAAAATAACACTTGGTTGTAATGTATGATTTTCAATAGCTTTTTCATGATAGTTGAATGAACAAAACAGGTCATTTATTAGGTCAAATGTATATTTTAAGCGTTTGATATTATGGAATCATTAATTAAACTTGTGGCAGCTAATGGGTTAAAATGCTCATGTTATAAAAACAAGAGTAAAATAATTTAAGTGGGTTACCACAAAATTATGGCGGTATAATAGATTTAAAATTCTAACATGCTATCTTCTAATATCTAGCTTCTATTTATGTAATTTTTTAATTAATACAATGTATAATCCAACTTCTTTTTGTTCAGTGTAAATTTTAATTCTATTTCATCTTATTTCTATTTTCTAGTCGAAAAACATCTTCTTCATTGACGCCTTACACGTTTACCATGAATATCAACAAATTTAGAGTTTATTACATACTTCATTCTACCTAGCAACCATCATTATGAAGTCGTATGGTGTCGCCACTTTGTGTTCATTTGGTTATTGAGCACCTGGCCGGGATCATTATGTTCGGGACCATTATGTTGGTCTGGTTGAACGGAGTGTTGAAATTGAGAGAGAGAGAGCAAAAGAGTGAGAGAGAGAGACACACACACACACACACACACACAAACTAGGTCACTTAAGGACTAACATGTGGTTCAACTCTTTTTCAATAATTTAGCCCTGACAGCTGCCAAGGGTTTTTGTCTGAACTGAACGACTAGACACTGCCCCTGCCTACAATAACGGCAGCCTCCGCAAATCACATGGATGGAACTAATAATGTCAGAAATATTATAAAGCTTGGTTTTGCTAGTGTTATGTGGACACTAGCTGACGATGTTATATAACCCATAGAAATATATTTCTATGATATAACCGATTCCTTCCGGCGTGGTTCTCCCTTCCTTGTCATTGATACAGGACGGGGGTCTAGCACGGACATTGTCTAGTCGTTTGGATGGTATAATATAAAGAGACATTTTTTTCAGAGCAGTAATAGAATATAGACCAACAGTAAAAAAAGGTTAATTGGCTCAACTGTAAAAAAAAAAAATCAAATAAAATTCTCCAAATCCTGCACAAATGCTGTTTAGCTTATATTTGAAATAGTATTTGCAAACCATATCATGTTAGATGTTATTTTCAATTTTAACACTCTGCCAAATCATTCAACCTGATGAAGAGTGAGTCGTTTGTATCAACGTAATGGTCCCGATGAGGTGCCAAATTGAGCGCACAGTGGCGACACCAAACAACGTCATAATGATGGTTGCTAGGTAGAAGTATCAAAATTCTAAATTTGTTCGACATTTATGCTTAACATGTAGAGAGACAATGAAGTAGACTTTTTCATCTTAATAATAGAAAGAAGATGAAACAGAATTAAAATTTACACTGAACAAATAAAGAAGTTGGATTATACATTGTCTTTATTTAGAAATTACATGAATAGACAATAGCATGTTGGAATTTTCAATCTAATTATACCGCCACACAAAATAACCTCTTCACTACTGATGTACAAGCTTTTTTTATCCATCATTTTCTTTCAAGAGAATGCAATAGAAGCTGTTAAGGAAGGAAAGTGTTTGATTCAAGGTAGGCCATACTAAACTCAGATTTGCTAACTTTTTAAAGATGAACTGATGTAATAACAGCCATGTAACATATTTGCAACTTTTACATTAAATCTTTAATACAGTATAAGAGGCAGGTCCTCGTCGCAGGATCAACCTATCTTCAATTCAAGATCGTAATTGTATAGATTAAGTTGACCTGATTTAAATATTTTGGGAATAAACCGTTGCTGAATGCCAACAGTCACGTTGGGAAATATACAGTATCTGTATTTATAAAAATAATAAATATATTTCAGATGTGTGTATTGGTTGTTCTGAATTAAATGTTGAATTAGTGGATCAACATCCATTATTTAAAGGTGGTGTATGCGGAAATTGTAAGGTATCTCAATTGTACTTTTGAAAACTATGGCATATTATATCCACCCTATCATTGACCATAAACATTACAAATATTCTAATGTGAGGTATTGGTCAAGAATGATAATGTTATTGGAAGATAGTCGAGAAAAAGGTTATGTCTAACATCAAAGAGTAATGTATACTGTATGCACACAGTAAAAATTCAAATATGGATATTTAGATAGAGATAGAGAGCTTAACTTCCACTAGATACAAACTTTGTCATTTCAGGATTAACATCACTTCCGACATCTGAATACTACGGCATTCTCTTAAATCCGTCATCATTTTCGTGTCCCGATTTATTTCCTTATTACTTCAGCCAAAATTCAGCCAGATTCAGAATATTCCGAATTACGACATCAATCACACGATTTGCATTCAATTAACATAGAACAATCTGGTCTCAATCAGTGGGTGTTAAACCACAAGCAATCACCAATCAATTATCTGTGAGCATAAAACATGTGTCAGTCTTTGTTGATTAACTTGATAATTTTATAATCTCTTGTAAGAGAGCGCTTTGTATTTGATTTGAGTTTCTCATGTCAAATACAGCGATATTATTATAAATTGCCGAGATGAAAAATCACTATCATTATAATATCATAAGGATGTGTGAACGTACAATAAGTACAGAAAGTGATATCATATTTTAATTTCTGGGTATTTGAGGGTGCATTGTAATAATACTTCCAGTATTCGAAGGTACAATAATACTTCCGGTATTGAGGCAATTGAGTATTCTGACATGCTGTGTAATCCGGCATATTGTATCGATCCTGTGCGATGTCGGAATTGACAGAGTCCATTGTAGTTCAATTTTATTTCAACAATTTGCTTACGCTTGGGGGTCTTTAGCTGTGGTAGGAAACATGCGCACATGTGACACTACTCCTTGTCACGCACAAGCTGGGATTGAAAACCACGCCACTTGACTCAATAACAGACCAGATGATTTAACATGCATAAGTTAAAGCATTCAGACACCCAACCCCCTGGATACAATTTATGGAAATTAATCCTTAAATTTGGGTTTTTTGGGGTTTTTTTTTGTTTTATCATATTTTTGTAGTCTGATGTGTTAGAAACTATGTTTGCTCTTGATGAAGATAATAACAATGTAAGTATCTTCTTTCCATAACATATAGGTTTATAAACGATTTTTAAATCTGTCAATATCAAAACCGCAAATAACTTATCATTAAAACCCATGTATAATATATTGCCATATATCGCCCACACTAATTTCTAATTCCCAGAGTTCAGGAAGATTAATATTACTGGGTAAAACATGCAGGTAAATTTTACTGTTCATCATCAAGTACAACACCTGAAACGGCCATATGGTGAACACAACCTGATCCAGTTCACAATCCAAGTCTTTTACACAATTAACAGTAATTTTGATTATCCCGTAAATATTAAAGTTGAATCTCGCACTGTAGGCTCTAGACGCTTAATGCAGCTATATTCAGTTCACGATGCAAGTAATTAACACAGTTGTAATTTTGATAATCACATAAATATACAAGCTGAATCATACACTGAATAGACGAAGGATCTTCATCAAATACTTGGCGAATACAATCCCATTCAGTTCATGATCCGACTACCCGGTAATTTACATATGTGTGTTGTATATATTTTTTTTTTTACAGTAATACAGTTTTATCAAATCTTAAATTTAATAAAAGATTTTTTTTATATTATTCACAGGCCTTTTGTTCCATATGTGGCTGTGGGGGAACTTTATTTGTATGCGATAAAGATACCTGCAATAGGTAAGTCTACATGTATCTATATAACTGTATTATGTGAACAGGAGTGAAATTAGTATTCAGTTTACAAATCTAAATTTTTTTCTATATTTTATATACCGGTACATATATTTATTCATTTCATAAAACAGAGTATATTGTGTTGATTGTATTGATGAAATGGCTGGATCAGAAATACTTGAAAAGGTAATCTTATTTCTATCTAATCCAATGTAATTAAAAGTATATCTTTATATATCTTTTTCTCATTTTTTCCATTGGCTGTTTAATGTCACACCTGAAACAGCAACAATTAATACTAATAAAAAATAACTGTGCACTGTAAAAAATAAATACAGAATATAAAATGAAAGAAAAATGAAAAGAGAACTGAAAAACACATGATTTTTAATTAGATTAGTTAATATCTGATTGGTCAATTATTTAAAATGTATTAGCATTACTTCTAAAATGTGAATTTATATAAAGATTGGAATAAAACCTCTTTGTATATTATTAAAATGGGTCTGTCCGTCTGTCTGTCGGTCACACTTTTTGAGACACAATAACTCTCCTTCTAATTGAGCTAGAATGTTCAAATTTGGTGTAGGTGTTTTTTAGTTGAATGCCTTGATGGACTTCAAAGATAAGCATTTTCTGCTTAGGGTAAGCAGAGATAAGCAATTGGATTGGTTGATTGAAGCTTTAATTGGGACACGAAAACTTTAGTTTTAATTAAGTGACAGTTATGAAACTTGGTGTATAGTTTTATTATACGCCCACATTTTCATGTGGACGTATATTGTCGTCGCCCCTGTCCGTCCGGACGTCCGTCTGTCCACAATTGTTTGTGGACACTCTACAGGTCACAATTCTTGTCTGATTTTGACGAAACTTGAAATATAGGTTTCTCTCCAAAAGATAAAGGCTGCTTTCGATATTGGCATGTATCGGATTGAAACTTCATGGATTATGGCACCTGTTTAAAAATCACGTTTTTAGCTTGTGGACCCTATAGAGGTCACAATTTTTATCCGATTTTGTTTATAACCCAAAGATCTCGATTCCTTTCGATATTCGCGCATATCGGACCGTAACTTCCAGAATTATGGCCCCTGATTGTACGAAAAAATTTCGTTTTTAGCTTGTGGACCCTATAGAGGTCATAATTTTTATCTGATTTAAAAAAACATATCATTATATAACTGTTACACATCAAGGACGACTGAGTTCAAATTTCGTGAAAATCGGCCCAAAACTGACAGACAAAATGGCCGCCGTTCGTTCTCAAATAGCGTAAAAATATGGTATATCAAGGTTGTGGACCCTATGGAGGTCACAATTTTAATCCGATTTTGTTGAAACTTGAAATGTAAGTTTATAACCCAAAGATCTTGGTTCCTTTCGATATTTGCGCATATCGGACCGTAACTTCCTGAATTATGGCCACTGATTGTACGAAAAATCGCGTTTTTAGCTTGTGGACCCTATAGAGGTCATAATTTTTATCCGATTTAAAAAAACTTATTATTATATCACCGTTACACCCTAAGGACGAATTTCGTGAAAATCGGCCCAAAACTGACAGATAAAATGGCCGCCCTTCGTTCTCAAATAGCGTAAAAATAGGGTATATCAAGGTTGTGGGCCCTATATAAGTCACAATTTTTATCCGATTTTGTTGAAACTTGAAATGTAACTTTATAACACAAAGATCTCGGTTCCTGTCGATATTTGCGCATATTGAATTGTAATTTCCTGAATTCTGACCCTTGATTGTAGGAAAAATCACTTTCTTCTTAGCTTGTTCTCTATCCATCTTTCGAAAATGTGGGCGTATCCTGCCTGGCAGCCGCTGGTTACATCAATACCTTGACTAAGTTCGATAATGAACATTTTCTGCTAAGGCTAAGCGATAAGGAATTTGATTGGTCAAGACTTTGGAACATAACAACTCTGCTTTTAATTGAGGTAGGATGTTTAAACTTGATGAAGATGTTCATTAGGTGAATGTCTTGACCAATTTCATTCGTCGATGCTTTGGGACAAGATAACTTTGATTCTAACTACTGATGGAGAGTGATGAAACTTAGTGTATAGTTTCACTACCAGGTACTTCAAAACCTTGACGGAGTTGGATCGTGAACATTTGATGCTTAGATTAAGTATAGATAATCAGTTTGATTGCTCAATACGTTTGAAAAGATAAATGTGCAATTAATCAATATATGTCATCTATTTATTTTAGGATTTGGCGGGGGACATCAGCCTTTACTGTTGGCTTGTTTGTCTACTGTAATTCGATTTACCAAATCTTTAAATGTGACAACCTTTAAGTGAATGGATTTTGATCAAGCTTGGATTTTGATCAAGCTTGGAATATACCTTCAGTATCATGTCAGTCATAATCCATGCTTCATGACACAGAAAGTACCAGCTTATCTTGTGGTTTTGAGACGTCAGCAAGTGAATTTGGTAGACTATGGAAAACAATCGATTATAATATTGTAATTGATGTCTGGTTTAGTTCTGGTTAAGGAACTTGTAATATTCATACTGATTGCTTAAGCATTATGGAATTCTCCATGACTAACCATAGCAAATGTTTTAGATGTTTGAACCAAAAAAGTCAAAATTTGCTGTTGTTGAATATATATTTCTATGAAGTAGTGCCTGAAAATGACTGTGAATTCTGCTGCCCTGTCAACAAAATTTTCTTAACATTTTCACCTGATGTCTATTTTCAAAAGTATGTACATGTTATATTTTGGCTACTTTTACAGATTGAGAAAGTTTCTAAATGGGAATGTTTTCTGTGTATGCCATATCATAAATCTTCACATGGATTATTACAACCTCGGCATGATTGGAGACAAAGAATAGTTCAGTTTTTTGAGACAGAAGTGATAGATCAGGTAATACAATTAGAATTTATGTATCTGTGTTTCTGTACCTACATTGAATAAATTTATTACACAGAAATTAAGGAGATTTTCAAAATGTTGCTAATAGATATTTCCTCTTTCTTTTATTTCAGATACCAAATTTTGACCACTTAAAGAAAAAGAAACCCTTACGTGTTCTTAGTCTTTTTGATGGTATTGGAACTGGTGAGTTTTTTTGTTTGTGAGAACCGTCTTTAGGGAATTTTAAGATCTACACATGTTATGTCCAGACTCTTACAACATATTTTGTACTGTAGGTATACTGGTTTTAAAGGAATTAGGACTAGAAATTGAAGAATACCATGCTAGTGAAATTGACCAAGATGCCATCATGGTGACATCAGTTCACCATGGTGACCAAGTAAAACAGATTGGTGATGTCACTTCAATCAATGAAAATATGGTAAATATAGATACAATAATTTTCTATTACTTTCCACTGTATGTGTGGAGTGGCTGATTGGTATCATATCGTGATGTCGCCCTGTTCTTGTCAGGCCCTCCTTCCTGCACCCATGACAAGGGGAAACCATGCCGGAAAATATTGATGAACTTTTTCGGCCAACAGCGGGGGGTGAACCCATGTCCTCCAGGCTAGTGAACCAGTGGTTTACTCACTTAGCCACTGTGGCTCCCGGAGCAAAACAGTTGGACGTCAAACCCCATTTAATTTCATTTTCCTACTTTTCCGAACCATTGAAGATGGACTATTGAAGATAGTGTCGGGTTAAAATGTTGTGATGTCGGGTTGTGAAGGGCGACACCACGGCATCACGACATGATATCAATCAACCACCAAAGTAATGTCAGTGCTAAACCATTTATCATCTAGCCTGTGTAATAAAACATAATGTTAAAATTTGTATATTGTCTCAATATATATAATGTTTCTGATAACAGTGTTTCAGACAAGTCATGTTCAACTCATGACAAATTTCTTTTACAATACAGATACAGATATGTGTTTGAAATGAAATGAAATTGGGTTTAACATTTTCTGCCCCATCTGGGTTAATAAAGACCGGCATAAGACATGCAGTGTGCTATGGGGTAAATTTTGTCCAAACAGCCACATTACAGTCTACTCTTATTCGAATAACAACTGTCAAAGGTTCTTTAAATATATGGCAAGGTGTTTCGTCCCATCCAAATGACTAGACACTCTTCCTTGCCAGGCCCTCAGCCCTACACCACTGTCAACGGGAAACTAAGCCCCAAATTATTGAGGAACTTTCAAAGATACCATTGGGCCTAGTATGAAAAAATCTTGAAACTGCAATTCCAATATTACCAATTGCTTTTTTCAATAATTTTGGCTGCTATGAACTCTGAAATGGACAAATTATATTCTTTTTAATTTCAGATTTCTAAATTACTTCCCGTGGATTTGTTAATTGGTGGTTCACCCTGTAATGATCTTTCTATAGCTAATCCTGATAAAAAAGGATTTGACTTTGGTATGCTCTACCCAACTTTAATTTATGCTATTGAAATAGAAATTTATGGCAAAAAGCTTTTGGATGACACATATTATGATTTAACCCTTTCTTTAACCCTGAAAATATTTTGGTTGCTGCATACCCTACCCTAAATTTACAACACGATTTTGAAAAAATTACATCATTTTAATTGGAACTAAATGTTAGGTGTGAATTTAATATTATATGTATTTATAATTATGTGAAATATTGAAACAAAAATATTTAACCAGAAAATTTATCTTTTATTCAATTTTAACTCCAATCCATAACCTTGGAGTGCTAATCATGCCAACAGTTTTGAACTCTGCTAATATTGCAACCATGCCCTATTCCAATATTTCTATTGCCGGCCATGTAGATCAATAGTATTTACAGAATTATTACGAGTATAAGTGTTATCATCACGTCATTTTCTTTGTTATTTTCGTCTGAATCTAGGGCATATTCACTTTTAAAATCACTTTTATTGCTGTAGTTCGACCAATGATCAGTATCTTCGTCATTACCGCTTATTAAAAGAGCTAGCGCATCCATTGCATTTAGTTGTTTAGAACACACAATTCATGGGAAAATTTGCCAAAATTGAAATGTAAACAAGTGGGAGGAAATGAAATGAAATGAAATGGGGTTTAACGTCCTACTGTTTTGCTCTGAACTGGGCTAATGAAGACGGGCATATATACGCCATACAGTGTGCTACGAGGGAAATTTTGCCCAGACAGCGGCATTACGGCCAACTCTTATATCGAATTCCAACTGTCAAGGGATCTTTTACGTGCACGCCAATGTTTACACGAGACCTCGGTTTATCATCTCATCCGAATGACTAGACAGCTGTCCTTGTCAGGCCTTCTGTCCTGCATCACTGACAAGGGGGAACCACGCCGGAAAATCTGGATGAACTTTCTCGGCCAATGCAGGGATCGAACACTCGACCTAAAGGCTAGCGAGCCAGCGTCTTAACCATTTAGCCACCGTGATCCCCCAAGTGGGAGGAAGTCACTATTTATTTAGTTTACATTCTATAAAAACATCTATTTTCAGGTGGTACCGGTATATTGTTCTTTGATTTTGTGAGGATCCTAGAAATAATTCGTAAACAACAGACTAAAGAAAGACATTTATTCTGGTTATATGAGAATGTAGCATCAATGAAATTAGAATACAAGAAGGTTATCTCTAGATTCTTGAAGGTAGTGTATATTATGTACTTTGTAAAATAAACTATCCATGCATTCAGAAGAATTTATTGAGGGGAATATTTGTCTTCATAATCTCTGATAGTGTTGTTTCTAAGAATGCAATACTTTACAGAACTTTTTTTGAATGGAAAAATTAGAACTAACATTCACTTCAATAGTCACAGGGCTGATATATCGATAGTGAACAAAAAGTTCCAATTTCATCAATTTTTTGTTTTTATTTTTTTATGTGTTTTTAGTGTCCAGCAGCCAGATGGGATAGCCTATATTTCAGTGCTCAGAACAGATCAAGATACTTTTGGGGCAATATACCGGGACTTTACAGGTACTCTTGGGAGCAAGTAAATCCAAATTTAATCTGTATCAGAGAGAAAGAAATGTATAATTCTGTGGTCCATTTAGTACTCATCTTAAGCTACTTCTTGCAAATTGCATATTCATATTTCTATCTAACTTTGGGGGGGGGGAGGGTGTCTTGTAGTATAGATATGTTAAATTTCATTTCTATGGTTACATGTGTAATGTGGGGCCTGCTCTTGGTGGAGTTTTAACTGTCAAAGTTTTATTTATGTGTACACTTAAAAGTTTTTATCCTAGGAAACGACTAGGCACACTTCTTTCCTTGTCAGCCTCACCCCTGACCAGTGAAGACCTGGCTGGAAAAATCCTGAAGGTTCTTCTGAGCCCATGTCTAGGATATTCTAGTTGACAGTGCAGTTCCCTGATCCCTTGACATTTATGGCCACTTCTTGTCAACAAACATTTCAAATTATAAAATATAAAATCATTACAGCACACCTGCAATTTCTACATCTTCTCATCAAAGAGTCACGTTGAACAGTTGTTTAGCTCAAAATTGTAATCGAGAAGCAACTGTAGACAGAATACGTACAGTAACTACTAGAACAAACAGTCTTAGATTAGGTAAAGATGATAAAGGATTTCCTGTTAAAATGGATGGAATGGATGCTGGAATATGGATACCAGAATTAGAAAGGTAAGAACGAAGCATGGACATTGTTTTTTAATACTTTCTGTAAGTGATGGTGTGAGGTTTGCACTATACTCATTCTGTTGTCATGACAAACAGCTTACAACCGGACTGGCATAGGGTTGAAGCCAATTGTAACAGAAGGAAACTGCATATTGAATGTATGCTCTATTTTCATAGTAAGTGCAGGAGGACTGCACTACACGCAGTGACTAGAATGACATATTGATGATTTGGGGCATATATCTGAATACTATTGGTGCCAACCTAGAACCCTGCTATTTTAATATTAGAAATTTGTGTGTCAGTGCTGTGACCAAATTGTTTTACACAGGCATTAAAAATATTTGTTAGATACAAACTGACCCATATCCATAACATGAAATTTTGTTCATTTCATATTTATATTCAGGTTAGAGATTTTATTGTATATATTTACTACATATCCTTCCGTTTACTACCTTATGCAATCCTTTTTGTCTTCATAGTTCAGTAATTTGCTATCAGTGCTAAAATCATTCTTTACAGAGTTTTTGGATTTCCATCACATTATACTGATGTTGGTAACTTACCACCAACAAGACGACAGAAATTATTGGGTAAATCTTGGAGTGTTACTGTCTTGAAGAATATCTTAATGCCTTTAAAGCAGTATTATGCTTGTTCAGAAGAACAAAAATAACTTGATCAAGAGGGTAATAAGAATGGTAGTTTATTTACTTTTCCATTATTTGTCAGACAGCATTATATAAATTTATTAATAGTATTGTAATAAAAACTTGGGTAACTGTCCAGGTGTTATGAATAATATCAAGAAAGTAATTTGGTTGATCTGAATTTATATTATTAATTTATTTACTTGAAATGTTAATTGTGATCTCAAAAATATATAGATGTATTATAATGATATCAAAATGAAACCATAGTAAGAAAAATATAATGGAACTGAAATGATGGTTAAATATTTCAACTTATAGACTGTTCCAGTGTGTGTTTGTTTTTTTATACACCCACATTTTCATGTGGATGTATATTGTCATCGTCCCTGTCCGTCTGGACAACCATCCACAGTTTAGCATCCACAGTTTATTTGAGGACACTGTAAAGGTCACAATTCTTGTCCAATTTTGACGAAAATATAGGTTTATCTCGAAAAGATCTCAGTTCCTTTCAATATTGGTATTTATTGTATCGAAACTTAATGAATTATGGCCCCTGATTGTACGAAAAATCATGTTTTTAGCTTGTGGACACTAGAGGTAACTTGAAATGTATGGTTATAACACAAAGATCTTGGTTCCTTTCCATATTCCCGCATATCGAACGGCATCTACTTACTGGATTATGGCCCCTGATTGTACTAAAAATTGCATTTTTAGCTTGTGGTCGCCTTAGAGGTCAAATTTTTTATCCAATTAAAAAAAAATGATGATTGAGCTAGTATTTCTGGAAATTGGACTGAAACTGCCTGACAAAATGGCCGCTCTATGTTCTATGTACACAAATAGTATTAAAGTATTAAGATCAAGGTTGTGGACCCTCTAGAGGTCACAATTTTGATCCAATTTCGATGAAACTTAAAATATATGTTTATCCTTTCAATACATGCACGGATCGGATCCTAACTATCTGGATTATGGTCCCTGATTGTATGAAAAATCGCTTTATTTAGCTTGTTTCTGTCCATCTCTTGCAAAATGTATGCGAAAATTGCATGGAAACTGCTTGTGTTAATATACGCTTTTATTTTATGTCCCTCTCATTGCAGGTTTTTTGTTCAATAGTCTCTCGAAGTCTTGGTAAAGTCTCTTTTGGACATCAGTATAATAATATATACATGAATTTAACTTTTAAGTGAATCTAAATTACTTGGCATTACATTTAATAAATACCAAAAAAACCATTACGATGACATAATTTAAAACCAGATAATAAACTCATACGCCTTGAATATTTATGATTACATGTTATTTTCTTTTAAAAATATCACAATGATTTGTTGTATATTGAACAAAACAGATAAATTGTAATAATTTGCTACTGACTGTTACATAAATACATATACATATATAGTTATATATACGTTTTATCTAATTGTATGTACGTACATAATCATTATTATTAGATATGTAATTACTGACCTTGAGTATTTTATGATTTACGGATGAATTTTTAATATTATGATTTATTATATCTGGTTTATATTTTTCTAATGATTGTCATATAAGAGTATAGTTATAATTTATGTTAATTATATCTTAATTGTTACATGCTGTGAAGGAACATACCATTGTTACGTATTACTCAGGATTCTATAATTTTTAAATACTACACATTATTATATACTACTCAGGATTCTATAAATGATCTTAATTGTTAGATAATCCAAGCCTGGAAATAAGGCACCTGTCACAGACAATGTCAGACACAGATTCAGGCTTTGTCAGGCACGAAGCCTCTGGTGCCTGTCATTTTGTCCGACACTGATTTGTCTTTTTTATTTATATTATTAATACATAATGTTGTTGGTAATGTCATCTGTTAACTATAGATGGTTATTCATTATAATTTCATCAGGTTTATATGTGTATAACTGTATAAAGCAATGAATTTAATTATGTCTTTTATATTTAGTTTGTATATGTATTTTCCTCTAATTTGAAACGGTTATAGATTGAATTATTAGCTATGTAAATTAAGACTAAATGAGTAATATTTTTACCAGATAGGTAAATCTTTTTGTTAATACAATTTTTGTTATTAAACTGTTATGGGCTAGTTTGGTATGGTTGTTGTAGTAATTATTAAAATTAATGATTCTGAAATCACACTGAGGCACTTACTGTTGTGGACATTAAATTTCCTGAAAGGTTTCAGTATTTTAAAAACCATGGGCACATCAGGGCTTTTATTGTCTCCCCCCCCCCCCCCACCACTGCATTTTGAAGATAGCAGGGGACTATTAAAGTGGGTCTGTCCAGCCGCCGGCCTGTCTGACTGTCCATCCCTGCCTGTCCGGCTCACTGTCCTCCTAACTGAGCTAGAATGTTCAAAATTTGTGTAGGTGTTTATTAAGTGGATGCCTTGATGGGGTTCAAAGATTAGCATTTTCTGCTTAGGCTAAGCAGAAATAAGAAATTTGAGTGGTTGATTCTTTGGGACATGATAACTTTGATTCTATTTAAGTGAGAGTGTTGAAACTTTGTCTCCAGTTTCATTATGTCAATACCTTGACTAAGTTCAATAATGAGAATTTTATGCTCAGGGTAAGCAGAGCCATAGGCAATTTGATTGATCGAAACATTGGAGCTCGATAACTTTGATTCTAATTGAGTGGGAGTGGTGAAACTTTGTGTATAGTTTTATTACATCAGACCCTTGACAGTGTTCGATGATGAACATTTTCTGCTTGGGCTAAGTATAGACTTCATTCTGATTGGTCGAGACTTTGGAAACCAATAACTCTTCTTCTATGATTGAGGTAAAATATTCAAACTTTGTGTAGGTGTTTATTAGGTGAATGCCAAGGTGAATGCACATTTTCCACCAAGGCTAAGCAGAGATAAGCAATTTGATTGGTTGAGAAATTGGAACACAATAACTTTGGTTCTAATTGGATGAGAGTGATGAAACTCAGAGTATAGATTCATTACATCAATTTGTTTCATAATGTACAGTCGCCCTCGTTTCTCACGACAGCAATTTTAATACCCTCTTACATCGTGTGCAGTCCTATCGATTCGAGATACATTTTCGTCAAAAGAGTATTGTTGTTCTAATTTCCCCGAGTAAAAGAGTACAGGGGTAAAAAGATGTGGTCATGCAAAATGTATCATAAAAGTCAAACATGATTGAAAAGCGATTTGTAAATAAAGGTCCGTTATCATCATACGGCGGATTTGACTTCATTATTCTGAAATAGACCGTAAAAATGAAATAATGAAAATAATATATGACCGACACGTACACACTTGTCAACTGGTGGTGTGTATTGTATAGATAATGTATATAGTATGTGTAGTGCATGTCACGTCACCAGCCAATCAACCGGATTAAGGTTGTAATTGAAAATTTGAAAACCGTTTTTCGCTTTCGGATACTTAAACCTCAATAGCTGAATTAATTTTAATCAGATTGGTTTGAACTTGCCGGAAAATGGATATAGTAACCATTGGCTATAAGTACATTCAATTAAGATTTTTAATCTTATGTGGTCTTTAAATAAGGTTGATGATGCGAATTTTCTTCAAAGGCTTAGTGGTAGAATGTTTAAACTTGGTGTAGATGTTCTTTACGTGAATGTTTTCAATGATTAACATTTTCCACGAAAGCTAAGCTATTTCATTGGTCGATGCTTTGGGACAAAATACTTTGATTCTAACTGACGGTGAGTGATGAAACTCAGTCTAGGCCTATACTTTCTCTACCAGGTACTTAAAAACCTTGACTGAGTTCTTGCTTAGACCAAGATAATATATAGATAACCACTTTGATTGCTCGATACTTTTCAAAAAGATAAATGTGAAATTAATTAATATGTGTCAACTATGTAATTGTGATTGCGGTGGGAGACATCAGCCTCACTATTGGCTTGTTTTATTCATACTTACGTGGAAGATCAGAGACAGGGGGGGGGGGGGGGTGTTAACGTCCACTCGACAAAAACTAGGTCATTTCGGGACTAACACATGGTTCAATTTTATTTCAATAATTCGTTTGCGTATAGGAGTCTTTAGCAGTGGGAGGACCCGAAGAAAACCTGGACAAGGTTGGACAGGGTACCCTACTCCTTGTCACGTACAACCGGGGAATCGAACCACGCCAGTTGACTCATGTCAGACCTTATGATACAGCCCCCCCCCCCGCCAAATCATGATTATTCGCAATACAATGAATATATGATTTCAATATTTAATATTCACTAATTTAAAATTAAACATGCAACTTGGAACACACGACTTGACAATGAGAACAACGTGATTTTTTTATACAGATATCATGTTTGGTACTTTTCTTTTACTTGTCACAGATAAAACTAAACCAGTTAGGATTTGGAAGCTTTTAGATCAAGTTTATTATCAGTGTAGATTTATCGAATTCTCTTCCCTCTTTTTTTCAGTTGACTTTCATCAATATTCTTCTTCCGTTCCGGAATGCGATAGTGTGAAGCATCGTGGTCATGACGAACCTTCCGTTATCTCCTTTTCTGAAAATCATGTGAACGCTATAGAGCTACGGTTTGTAACATAATTTTTTTTCAAATAGGATATAAAGTGTAGTTGTTTATGTGTGATGCGGTCCTCCCCCTCTTACTATTCTCTCAGCTAACCGAAGAACTCCAAATGCATCATCCGCTCATACCAACGTAGATTTATGACGTCGTGTGCCCCTAGTCCCTATCAGGGAGCATTAATTTGAGTCCAGACGATAAAAACAGATGAGTTATGACGTCAACTTTAATCGACCAGACCGACGAAAATGACCTAAATATATATATATATATGTACATACTATGTCTAAATGTTTGTCTCTGTCCAAATGTTCGTCCACATTCATGTCTGTTTTGTTACAAATTTTGTAAACTTCCACTGGCACCTCTTTATTCTTTGCACCTGCTATCTCATGTCTCTTGCTGTTATCTATTGTCTTCTGTACATATATATAAAAACCTAATTATCCTCTTTTTCACTAATCACATTGTAAATTATTGCACCTTGTATACATAACATGTTATTGTCTGCGATATCACCTCGGTGGAAGCGGACGTAAAATACAACTAACTAACAACAACGACGTCAACTTTGGCCGAACTCGGAAACACGCCCCTTTCCTTATATGGTCAGTTAGTTTGGCGAAATTGTGATAGTCGAAAATGCAATGGAGAAAATCTGATAGTTGAAAATGCAAAGATGAAAAATTTACAGTGAATTTTCAAAGGCGAAAAGTAGAGAGGGAAAAAACATAACTTGATTTTTACATTGTTAATTTTTGTCGAACAATTTTTGTTTTGATACTAATAGTGATTTTCATGATGGTAAATATCCATTAAAATGTATTAACTGTTATGTGATTTTTACAAGTGAAAATTCTCGAAAATGGCCATTTTGACTATGATAATTTTGCAATTTTAATCATGATATTTTCTCTTAATATGGCAACGATTCGGCTCCATAAATATCATTCAAAGTCCTTGACATTGAAAACACGATTTATTTGTCAATTTAAATCAACTTTAAAGTAGCTAAGTCTCTAACTCAATATCATCCACAATCTTCGGGGCCACCCCACTATGCCAGTTTTTAATCCCTGAACAGTTAATTATCTATATATATATTTGTGACTGTCGTTTGTCTGTCTGTCTGTCTGTTCGGGGTTGGCGGCTACACCAGGTCTGCCCCGAGTCTGAAATTTGGGGTATAGGGTTAGCTCGGACCGGGGAGTAACATAGGCCAGGTGGCGTTAGTCTACCACTTCCGGTTTCGGAGTTATGACTCCCGAGCGAAGCCGCGGTCTGTTCGGGGTTGGCGGCTACACTAGGTCTGCCCCGAGTCTGAAATTTGGGGTATAGGGGTAGCTCGGACCGGGAGTAACATAGGCCAGGTGGCGTTAGTCTACCACTTCCGGTTTCGGAGTTATGACCCCGAGCGAAGTCTGTCTGTTCGGGGTTGGCGGCTACACTAGGTCTGACCGGGGAGTAGCATAGGCCAGGTGGCGTTAGTCTACCACTTCCGGTTTTGGAGTTATGACCCCCAAGCGAAGTCTGTCTGTTCGGGGTTGGCGGCTACATCTGCCCCGAGTCTGAAATTTGGGGTATAGGGGTAGCTCGGACCGGGGAGTAACATAGGCCAGGTGGCGTTAGTCTACCACTTCCGGTTTCGGAGTTATGACCCCCGAGCGAAGCCGGTCCGTTCGGGGTTGGCGGCTACACTAGGTCTGACCCGAGTCTGAAATTTGGGGTATAGGGGTAGCTCGGACCGGGGAGTAACATAGGCCAGGTGGCGTTAGTCTACCACTTCCGGTTTCGGAGTTATGACCCCGAGCGAAGTCTGTCTGTTCGGGGTTGGCGGCTACACTAGGTCTGCCCCGAGTCTGAAATTTGGGGTATAGGGGTAGCTCGGACCGGGGAGTAACATAGGCCAGGTGGCGTTATTCTACCACTTCCGGTTTCGGAGTTATGACCCCCGAGCGAAGCCGGTCTGTTCGGGGTTGGCGGCTACACTAGGTCTGCCCCGAGTCTGAAATTTGGGGTATAGGGGTAGCTCGGACCGGGGAGTAACATAGACCAGGTGGCGTTAGTCTACCACTTCCGGTTTCGGAGTTATGACCCCCGAGCGAAGCCGGGTATCCTGCTAGTCGGATTATAATTAACACCTTTATCAACCTTGAGGTTGTGATCTTACCGGGAAAAGATGGACTTCTGATATTCAATATTTAAGACAAAATAAACATTTTACCATTGGTACACGAATCGTGTACCAAAATGCGTTTCGGCGCCATTTGGAACAAGGGACTCAAAGAACGAGGCTGGACATATTCCGCAGTCATGCCAAACGGTGACGTCATATACTTATCTGGAGAGCACGCACAATAAATACTATCGGTTTAGACTGGAATAACCAGACGCTAGAGATGAGCATTCGATTGAGACTTCTGGGGTATTTCGCCGAACATAACTGATTAGAAATTATTGTAAAAACAGAAACGATTGAATGTAAATCAGTTTATATACATTCATATTACATTATTATATGCGTTGCGACCCATTTGTGTCAATTTCTAGGTCCCAAATATTAGCGATTTAGCTCCTTTAAATAACTCTCATTTTATTATTCTCTGTCTCAGCTTGCCTGTTACAACTTATGAAATAATGAGGAAACTGGATTTATATTGAAGACTGGGCACCCGTAGATCGTATGCAATGCGATTAGTGTTAAAGTGAGGATAATCGGGATTCGAATGACAAGAAGTTACGTAAAATGGCTTTGTGTTTGACCAACACCCGCTGTTGGATTATGAGCAATAGTAGGTAATCATGGTAAACTAAACCTTGGTAACCCAACATTTACAAATTTTTTAAAATATCTTGAAAAACAGGAAGGTCTCTTTTTGACCCATTCATAAAAGGCAAACCAAAGTGACGTTTTGATGAACCAGTCGTTAACCTGAAACCAGTTAAATGTGCAAACCACTCTTGTCTGGATAGACCGAAGCAACATTGTGAGTATTCGCGAATAATCGTCTGCTAACGTCACGTGACATGTGTACATAAATAATGAGAAGGAAGCTTGAAGTAAAGTAGCCGTGCTTGTTCTAGGCGATAGTAAGCTTTATTGAAGTTAGGCTGTATCTACAAAACTCTAAAGAAAGCGAAGGAACAACCTACCACCATGCCAACACTTGGAATTGATAAAAATGACCATCAAGGTACGTCTTTGAGTAAAATTCCGTATTTTTTGAGGCAGTTGAATTCATTTTGTGTATTTCCGAAAATAAAAAAATCAGAATACTGTAGGTACTACTACTACACGCACTGGAATAAAAATGTAGTACAAGTAGGTCTGTTAATGTAATGTAAATATGTCTAATTATATACATGTACCAGGCCAATATTAATATTTTTTATGACAAAGCTGCATGTCTACTTATAATGGCAATACATAAACTACATTTAAAATAGCGAAAAAGGAAGTAAATTAGGCTACATATTAAACTTAGTCATCAATGTTCTTACCCATTTATTTTGGGGGATATATGTCTATAGTTATTGTTTTGGCGGTTTTAAATGATAGACGTTCCAATTTAACCATTGTCCGATTTCCCTAAATGAGTCAAAAGATCCACACAGCACTGTGTTGCTAACTGAGCTTCATCTCACGAACTCTATGGGTTATTATCACAGCCAGTTGAAATTCAAGCACGCGCCAGTTAGTGCTCCCATGACACCATATCCGACCAGTGTTCATGAATGACTGGTAATATTAAGGAGACGCCACCAATTATTGACTCTCTCGCTCTCTCTCTCTCTCTGCTTCCATTTAATAGAATTGAAAATGTTTATTTGGTATTTGTGTGTATGAAAGATATAAAACGGATTAGATCCGCATTACAAAATAATATACTATGTTTGCTAATATACTACTTCTAATTTGTGTTATTCTCAAAATGTCAACGGTTAACCTCATGCAAGCTTTAGGGTAATTGTGACAGATGACCATGACTTTCACGAGAATCAATACTTTTAATTACCACCAAAGTTCTGGGGCAATACTATAATTATCCATAATATCTTTGTCATGCTGCATTTGCCAATTTCTTTTCACAGGCGTGCGCATTGTACGACAGGTTTTGCTCGGGTAGATCACAAGCTATACAATTATAGTGTATAATAGTGTGTTTTTTTATGATTTCACCGTTGATCGAAATGATGTTATTGTGTATGAAATCTGGCACAAAAGATATTGTTTGGCAGAAGTACAAAACAAAATTTATCGCTGAAATTAGGCAGGGGTTTGCATGAACACCTTTAAAGGAGATAAATCGGTATTCTTTGGCACCTAGAAATGGACACAAAGGGCGCAACGCATATAATAATTTATTATGAATGTATATAAACTGATTTACGTTCAATCCTTTCTGTTTTTACTGTAATAATCTGATAAACAAACAACACCATATATGATGATCACTCTTGTCCATTTTCCCTAATTGTCGTACGCTATATAAGCAGGAGTTTACTGACCTTACGATATCACCTTAGGTGGAAGTGGACGTAAAACCCCAGAAACGAACGAACGACAGTAAGTCCGACTTGGAATAGAGCTCCTCCCGATTTATGGCTATTTCATGTTCTTAATAAAGGTCTTATCAATTATGCTAATCTTCTGTTATCTGTAGTGTTACAATTGAACGGCAGTCTTTGTCGCCAAGTTATTCCAGTCTACACCGGTAGTATTCTCCTTTGGGGTATGTTTAGCCTCCATCATCGAGTTGCTTCATTACAAATGACGCTCGAAAGAATTCTGGCACAAATTTTGAAATGTTCATTTTATCTTAAATATTGAATGAAATGAAATGTGACTTAACGTTCTACTGTTCTGCCCGACTTGGCTAATGAAGACGGTCATGCGCCATACAGTGTGCTTAACTGGCACAACGTGAGAACATGGAGTAAAATAGTATTTGTTATTGGTATCTAGACGTAATAAGGTCATGTTATGGTTTCAAGAACCCGTGTCACCAGATTGGCGTAACAATGATCAACAAAAGAGATGAGGTCAGGATTTGCCTTTAGCTATAATATCATACAGATGGAGTACACAGTTTTTTTTATATGCCGTTGTCATTCTTTCGCGTTTAAAGAATTTACAAGTGTTTCGAGCAGTAGGTCGTTGCACCGTGGAAAACCTCTTCGTATATATAGCTTTGCAAATAAGAGATGATGAATGTCGCATATGAAGCGAAGTAAGCTTATTTTTTCTAACATACCACTTTTATTTAGTGGAATTAATCACATTAACAAGTCACTTTTGCTGTACTTTTGAGTATACTGTAAGGTTGTTCATAAGCAGCCGCGGTAATAATTGTATGTACATGTATTAAATTTAGTGATAGTAATAGCATTATATCATGTAGATAACATAAAATTTTATTACATAAACCGCCCTTTTCGGGCAGCATGTAAATTATACATTACGCATGAAAAATACATAAAACATAAAACATGGATGAAAAATACATAAAAAGTAGGACAAATGAAGATGTTTGTGAAATGGACTCTCACTGCTGCTTAATCGGAGAATTGTGTCACAACATCATAATAATAGACCAGGGTCCGTATTCAAAGGTTTTCTTAAAGTTAAGTAAAAATACTTAACTTTTCCACTTAACCAAGTGTCTTTCCTTAAATCGGTATTCAAAGGCTCTATTTTACATACACTTGGCTATGTGAAAAACTTAACTGCACACTTAAAATATGGAATACCAACATTAGCCAAAAAGCATGAATTTTTAACTTATGGAATAACCTCCACTGCCAAAAATCACGAATTACTCACGTCGCACGCAAGTTATGTCCCCTTAAGAGCACCACTATACTCTATTAAAATCTTACTTGTCATTACTAAAGGAAAATGTTTGTCGAAATATTATATTGTAACGCACGAAAATAGTATGACTATAATTTATGATGAATTATGATGGTACGCATCCGTTACCGGAACAGCTGTTTTCGTATAGATGTTTTTCAAAAAAATAAATAAATAACTAAATTCCAATAGCAGTTATCGAATAGAGTATAAAGATGTATATTGGAAACTTTATTATAACGAACAGAAAATAACATATTAGCAATACGCAGGACTATTGGCTTTAAAGTTAAACTGAACAAATCATTCAGTGTTGTTTATCAATCTACCATTTGAGAAATTCATAGAAATTGTGTCAGTTCCTAAATTTTAGAATCCCAAAGGCCTGGCCATGACAGTTAATTGTAAATCATTGGTGGCACGCCTCGGTCAGCAGTCATCATCATATACTTCAAATATATGGGAATGAATTGTAAAAATTAAACCATGCCTTGCTTTTCGCTGCCGTATTAATATTTTCTGAAATCTACAATGGAATGTCATCGCAATGGTCAAATTTACAAATAAATTTAACGCATCAAACTTTATTATATGACAGTCGTGGTAAACATGATTGATTAAGCAATACGATCATGATAGTAACCATTTCGGTGGTAGTAACCTTATGCACTATTATGGCTCTACAAAGTCAAAGCTGATGATGAAAAAAAAAACGTTTGATGAGAGTTACGCTCAGCAAACAGCAAAATTGTCTTTGTTTCAATCCCAATCCCCTAACTTTTAAAATCGCCATAACGGGCCTGCTACTGCATTGTGTACTCTGGCCAAAAGAACTCATTATAATCTCACTTAACTTTATGGTACCTCCCATAGGTCACTTAAAGTTAAGCGGATTTTTCTCACTTAAACTGGTCTTTGAATACCACTAAAAGACTAAACACGTACGAGTTAGGCAGCTTAACTTTGAGGGAAAATTCGACACTTAACACTGCCTTTGAATACCACTTACCCTTAACTAACAGGAAGTTACGTATATTTAAGTGAAATCTAGTAGTTAAATGACTATCTTAGATATCCTTTGAATACGGACCCAGAAGTTTTATAGGTTTAGGATTAGGTTTAGGCACATCAAATCTCTTTAATTAGTGAACAGGGTGGGGTGGGTCTTTTTTTCATGAACAAGATCCTGATCATAGTTTGACGTCTAATGGGGTCGTGGGTCATGCAGGGGATATTCAATCTTTTCGGAAGGCGTGGAGAGGGCGATGTATTGATTGCTGTACAGAACTGACCGATTTATAATTATTTTCTTATTAACAGAAAAGACATGTGTTTGCTAACTTCGCATAATATCTGACGACAATAAAACTTGTAAACAACTGGTAATTGTTTATAATTATATTAATAATATTGTTGTATCCTTCTTCGTAGTGTTTACTTCCTAACGATATAAAGTTACAATCTAAACCAGTTCACTACAAACTGGGTTGATTTTTTTTTTTAGAATAATGTGTTGCATAAAATACCAAGTTGCATAGCCCTGGGTTATATATCTTGTTCGACAACAATTTAATATACAAATAGAACTAATTAGTTTGCTTTAGATGCCCTATAAGAAAAAAAATTAAAAATTATTTCGTATTAACATTATGTAAACAGCTCCTTTATATGTTCTTTCAGCCAATCCTGGGTATTAATTGACTACCTAGCGACCAGTTTTGATTCGAGTGTATACTGTATTTAAAACTGTATTAAAATTCTTTCGTATACTGCATTTATTTTCTCATTAGAATATCCATCTGTTTCAGAGAGGATTACGAAAGTCTTCTAATATCTCTGTAAAAGATGACTACCTTCAACACGTGACTTTTCATCACGCGGCGTCAATCAATGGCTCAATGGCGCGTGCATTGTTTACATAAGACCTTACTGGTTCGGGCGGAATGGAGCCTTTTACTCATTTTAATACCCATTTACACTTAATAGGAAATAAGTTTTACCTACAAATACGTCAAACGTCTTTATTTATTTTTCTAATACATAAAAAAATGTTTTAGAATTTAATTTGTCGGAGGAAAAAAAGTTAATATTTGTGGCTCATTAAGTCGCATCGATGTCATCCTTATCAGTGATTGTCGCGGCCTAGCGAACAGTTGAAAGGTTGACTGTTTCCCCTGACTTCGTGAAAGAAAGTACGCTACTTCCCTTTAGACCACTTGACACCGATACGTTATCTTCTTCATTGTATCACGTTTCCTCTTGAAAATTACTAAAATTTTTTTAACTACTTTGTGAATCATTAAGCATTTTTTCCCTGTTGTTTAAAAGACTGAGTTTCCCTTATTATTTTAAAGTTGTGTTCACGCACTATACATATCTTCCTGCTTACTTATAATGATGAATTCCTTTGTCGCTGAATAAAAGCAGACAAGTGTGAGAAAGATGCATATTTACCCGAGCACACATTAGAGTGTACGTAAAAGAACCCTTGACAATTGGAATTTGATCAAAGTGAGCTAAAACACCGCGGTCTTGGACAATTCTCCTCCATAGCATTGTACTCGTGACAATAAATTTTAGTCTTAAAATGACCAACGTTTTCTGGGAGCTGTAATGACTCAGGGAGGAATTAAGGCGCTGGCGATCCCGAGTTCCATCTCCCAAAGATCTCGGCTCCTTCCGATATTGGCATGTATCGGACCACAACTTCATGGATTATGGCCCCTGATTGTACGAAAAATCACGTTTTTAGCTTGTGGACACGCTAGAGTCTAGAGGTCACAATTTTGATCCGATTTTGATGAAACTTGGAATGCATGTTTATAACCCACATATCTTGTTTCTACGAATATTCGACATAGACACGTTAAGGGTCCTTCAATACCTAATTACGCTTATTTTACACGTTTCAGGATATATATATATTTTTATATTCGCGTCTCTCTTGTTTTCCCCAATAACGTGACATACTTATTGAGATTCTTGATTGTATCTATACACGTATTAGGATTTGGTATATATATATATTTTATCCGCACCTGTTCGTTATGTTCTACGAATATTCAGCGTATTGACTTTAAAGGGCATTATTATCCATTTTTGTTATATTAACGTTTAAAGGTCATTATTATCTATTTCATGTTATATTTAAACGTTTCAAGATATAGATATGTCCACTATATTCGTGCCGCTCTAGGTTTCCACAATCACGTGACGTACCTGTCGGGATTTTCGTGTCGTCACATATCACGTGACATTTAGCGTGTCCACAGGGCGAGAATCCCTTGCCCCCAGTGACGTCACACCTCTCGTGCTTTCCACGTTTATTCCATGACGTCACAAAATCATCAGCGATCTACATGTTGGGAATCCCTTGTCTCGATGGGCGTCATGCCTCACGTGACCATCACTGATATCCAATGACATCACAAAGTCATCACGTGATCTACCTTTTGGGAACATCTGGCGGCAAATGTCAATATCACGTGACGTTATCATGTGACGCGCATTATTCCAAATAATGCCTCTTGCAGTCAAGCGAGTATACTACCCCCTCCCCCCCATCCGGTTTATATTCATTATTGTTTATTTCACTTATTCATATATGACACGTTCTGTCAAACACTGTAACCTATTCTTATATAATTATGTTTTTGTTATATTAAACATTCCAACTAAGCAGACTATAGACTTCCTTCTCTTTTATTTTTCAAGACCTCACAATCAAGCTTGCTCATCAGCAATAAAACAACTTTTAAAATAGGAAGTATCTTGTATTTTATTTGATCATAAGTTTCCAATTACACGTTAACTGGATGCCTTATATGAATTTAAAGAATTGGTGTTTGATTTATGTTTAGTAATTCAACTAACACAGATGGTTCCAAATGGCCCCAATGGCTTTCCCACCCCACAACCACATTAATGCATCCAGGGCCGGATTTAGATGAGAGAGGCACTAGGCTATTCCACTTAGGAGGCCCCTCCCAATCCCCCACCCTCACAACTAGGAGAAAATGAAAGTTTGTTTTAAACCCAATGAAACAAAGCCGAGGATGACGACGGGTGTTAAAGATTACAAGGTGCGTGCAAGAAGGCTTATATTATGACAGTGACAAAAATATCATACACCTTGGTCGAAGGCCCCCTAGATCTTGAAGCCCTGCCCTGCGTTTCATCCTGTCTAGCCTAAGGTAAATCTGGCACTGAATGCATCTCATGAGATTAAAGAACCTTAGATCTAAGTACCCCGTGCAGCCTATGGAAGGTTTTGTTTTGTCGACATGATTTATATGTAAACCTCTGAAAAACATTTTTATTGATTGCAGCCGGCAAGATTCGCGGCAAAATGTTGGCAACATTAGGAGCTGCATTGGACGAGATAAATAAGGTAAAATATCATTTGTATTTTTATACGCCAATATTTTCATGTAGATGATTTACTTGATTACTTGGTTTTTTGGTGTTTTATACTACATAAAGCTCTGGACCTTCTTGAGATTGTCCACTTGTATTTGAAATGTGTGTCTAGTTCAGATTAATGAAATGGGGAAGCTTTTTAAAGTTCAACAATTTTTGTTAATTAGTTCTAGATTGTGGCCTTTGCTCACTTTGTATAAACTCGTAAATGTGGTCTACTTTAAATGTGTCTTCTTTGTTTCGATTATTGTGACGAATAACAATTACAATAATTTCAGATAATTACATGTAGTTATTGTCCTTGATTATGCCATAGAATCGCGTCAACGCACCTACCGACTGTATTAAAATTGTGCTTTCTGTTTACTAGAATCATCGTGCGACAAAAATTGTTGACTGCACGGAAGACTTAGCTGCTGTGGACATGTTTCGTTGCCTGTCAACCTATCTTTCTAATAACTTTTTGATATACATTTTTATAGAGTGTGGATTGTTACGATGTCACGATAGGTTAGGATTTAACATCACATGCTTTTCTGTTGTTTTCATTAGTTAATTTGTAGCATTCTTGTAATTGGTTATCATTTTAAAATATTATGTCATGTTTTTATCATTGCGACATTGGTCCCAATGCAGGTTCATGAACTTTATATTTAGCTCATGATGTTGCATAACTTATCATAGTTATCTACCCCTTCAGTTACTATTGTTGTTATTGCTTTTAGTTCCCTTCCCTGTCTGTAAGTGTCTTTATGCCGTTTTTGTTTCCCCCAATTCAATTGCAGATCAAATTCACATTTCGTGGTTAAACGTTGGGATATCTGTCTAAGGGTTGTAACACTACTGATATACAGACCACGTTCGCATTTCCTTTATTAGTTGACGTAAAATCAATGAAAATTCTGTTTTTCAGAATATTTTGAAGCTTAACTTTGGGGTGTTTGAGCGTGGGTTATAAAACTGCCGAATGGCCCTTTGTTGTCCCCCGCCTTTCGAAGAAAGCAGGGGACTATTAAAATGGGTTCGTCCGTCTGTCTGTCTGTCCGTCTGTCTGTCCGTCTGTCCGTCCGTCTGTCTGTCCGTCACACTTTTTGGGACACAATAACTCTCTTCCTAATTGAGCTAGAATGTTCAAACTTGGTGTATGTGTTTATTAGGTCAATGCCTTGATGGAGTTCGAAGATGAGCATTTTCCGCTTAGGGTAAGCAGAGATAAGCAATTTGATTGGTTGATGCTTTGGGACACGATAACTCTCTTCCTAATTGGGCTAGAATGTTCAAACTTGGTGTATGTGTTGATTAGGTCAATGCCTTGATGGAGTTCGAAGATGAGCATTTTCCGCTTAGGGTAAGCAGAGATAAGCAATTTGATTGGTTGATGCTTTGGGACACGATAACTTTTAATTGAGCTAGAATGTTCAAACTTGGTGTATGTGTTTATTAGGTCAATGCCTTGATGGAGTTCGAAGATGAGCATTTTCCGCTTAGGGTAAGCAGAGATAAGCAATTTGATTGGTTGATACTTTGGGGCACGATAACTCTCTTCCTAATTGAGCTAGAATGTTCAAACTTGGTGTATGTGTTGATTAGGTCAATGCCTTGATGGAGTTCGAAGATGAGCATTTTCCGCTTAGGGTAAGCAGAGATAAGCAATTTGATTGGTTGATGCTTTGGGACACGATAACTTTAGTTCTAATTAAGTGAGATTGATGAAACTTGGTGTATAGTTTCATTACAGTAATACCTTGACTAAGTTTGATAATGAGCATTTTCTGCTCAGGGTAAGCAGAGCGATACGCAATTTGATTTTTATATGTGTCCTCTAATTATTTTCCTATTTCGGCGGGGGACATCAGCCTCACTGTTGGCTTGTTGAATTTAAATCATTGAAAATTCTATTTTCGCCGATATTTTTAGGTTAGACTTTGAAGTGTAGGAGGGTTGTACTGTATGCTGTAATTAGAAGTGTTACAGATCATATTTTCGCGTTTCATGAAATTACTTTAACCTTTTACTGACTTACAATTTTAAAAAAAAAAAAAAACCTGTCTTCCGAAATACTGCTATATATAGAAGAGTTACAGAGCCAAGGTGGCTCTGGTCAGTGGTTTAAGCCGAAAGGCCTGGCTGGTAAGGAAACGCGTCTAGTCGTTCGGGTATGTCGAAAAACCGTGGTACCTTAAAAAAAAGAAAAACACCTGGCCATGATATTATACAGATATTACTTTTATTTATACCTAAAGATTCACAATACAACCTTTGTGGACTTATGGGTGGTTTGAATAGTGTGGACGAAAATTTACCTGCCTGGCAACTTAGGTCATTTATGATATCCATATTTCTTTATTTTGATGTAATGTGTGACTTTTTATGCAGGAATATCTAGAAGATGAACACTGGCGGGAGGAAGAAGATATAGTAGAGAGATTGGAAAATTGCAAAAGTAAGAAAAATTATACGCAGGGGCGACATAAAGATATTGTTGGGGGGGGGGGGGAATTTAGCAAAAATGCGACCGACTGATGCACATGTCCCTAATACGAGTTACGCAGTCAGGGGCCGAGCACCACAGATGATAGTTTTCTAGGGGCCAGTAGCTGATCGGGAAGCTGGGAATAGGGGGTGGGCGGTTCCAATTCTAGGGCGCCCCAAATCTAGGGCGCCATCCACAATCACACCCCACAATGGATGTCAACAAAATACTGGCTATAACACTGGACGGTTGATAAGGAGCATGCCACGACGAATTGCTGAATGTCTGAGGATTGGTGGAGCAATTACTCATTATTAAGACGTCCATTTTCACTTTTGACAGTGTATCTATTTGTGAGTGAAATGGGGCCGTCAGATAAGCTGCCCATATGAACTGTTTATGTTCATGTGTAGGCAATTGGCCTGTTATTAACATACACTGGTTACCTCTAATAAAAACAGCAGTGCATTTCCGCATTTGAGCCCCGTAGGCGCAAAAAAAAATTTAGATTATATAACTGAGATTTTAATTTTTTGGGACTGGGCCTAAGGTGACTTTGTCTCACGAGGGTCCTTACTTGGGCTCTGAGATGCCATTTACTGGACTTTGGGGTCTGGGGAATGGGTTTGCAGAATTCTGATGGTCAGAAAATACTTACAACATGAGTAAAATACGTTTTAATTTCTGTTGGGATTAAACATGCAACAACTAAAAATTCTTAAGTTCAATAGATCGCCTTAAGATTTCAGTCGCCGATGCATAATTTTGAGAGTGACTGCACTTATTTTGAGACCGACTATTTTTCTCCCCGGGGAGGTGTTCTTAGATCAACTCACAACAGAATAAGGGTAAAAACATTTTTTTCAAACATGATAAGTTGACAAGGTTGTTTTATACTAAAGTTTTGGGTGAGTAGTGTGACGTATGCAATTTATGTGCACCGATTCACGCAAATACATAAAATTTGGGATTATTCCTTCTATTTTAGCACTGTTTGTTTAGCTCATTAATTCAGTGAGCACTTATTTTGCGACCGACTGCATTTATTTTGCGACCGAATATTTTTTTCGCTGGGGGGGTGTAACCCCCCCCCCCACACACACATTTACGCCCCTGATTATACGCAAATTCATACAGCGTTCAGTTTGTAGCCACTTTCTAGAATAAGTAAAATGTTTTACATGCGCCAAGTTTGCAGAACAGTAGGCCGTTCGACACCCATAAAATGAAATGCATTTCATTTCTTTTATGTACAAATGTTGCCTCATAAATAGATAGCCATGTGATCATTTTATTTTGCTTATTTATTTTCAGAACAATTTTTGGAATATGATAATGATAAGTCAGGGGATCTTAGTAAGTATTACAGAAAATTTATTAATGCTCCTCCCCAGTAACTGGATTCTGGAAGTCCTAAACCTTTATGGGTCCCATTTAATAGTATCCATTAAAAAATGTGCACTGGGGGGGATGTGTACTTCAGGACTGGAATGACTACTGGGGGTGCCCCCCCCCCCCCTTCGAAACAAATTGTAATAATGAAATTGGTAAGTACATGTGTATTTAAGTATGGTGTTCGCACACTTATTATACCATTCAAATTGGTGGCTATATAGCTCTTTGTTTCGTTATTTTGCAAATGATGATAAGCTGTAAATAAATAATTCTAGATATTATGGATGTTAAAATAATGATGGAGAAGTTGGGTCAAGCCAAGACACATCTTGAAATGAAAAAGATGATTGCAGAAGTGGACACATCAAACAGTGGAGCCATTAACTACAAAGATTTTGTCCAGATGATGCTTGGGAAAAAATCTTCCGTGCTGAAATTGTAAGGCTTCATAAAATGATATTTTAAAGCTGTGGCCGTTCCCATTTATTTATTATGGTTTTCCGAAAGAAAGTTCACACTTAGGATTAATAGTATTCTCCGCGATAAGAAGATGACTCAGTCAGTATATTTGCTGACGAAACGTGTGCCAGTTGCTCAGGTTGTCCCAGTTGAGCCATAGTAACCCCATTAAGGTTACTAGTATATATCGAAGTCCATCTATTTAGCAATACTAACTATATATATATAGTTATTGTGGTTCATCAAAATTCAACCACTGATATAAATAGTTCATTCACCCATTAATAATCCTATTACCGCCATCGGTTATTCAGTTAACGTTTTCTTAGTTCATCACATTATTATAGTTCCCATAGTACACTCATTAGTAATCCCATTGTCGTAATCTCATGGGAGAAAACCTCAGTTGGGCCAGTTTCAAGCCCGTCAACCTTACCGAAATACATGTATATTAATTAGGCAAAATCATCAAGTTTATCAGAGTAGTATTCTAGATTGTCTTGTTAAATGATGTTAATCGTTATTTTATATTCTAGGATATTAATCTTCGAAGAGAAAACCAAGCAGCAACAAAAACCACAAGGGTTACCTCCAAAGAGAGATTTGAGTAGCTTACCTTAGAAATAAGATATTTTAAGTAAGCTGCAGCATATACGATTCTACTGTTAAAATAAACTCAAACGTTCTATGGATAAACAAATATTGTAGTTTAATCGAAGCTACGTTGCTACAATGATTCCCTTGTCGTTTTCAAGAGAATCATTGCAGAAACGCAGCTCCGATTAAAATACAGTAATTATTTATCCATAGAATTCTTGTGTTTATTTTAATGTGTTCAGTTACTAAATGCCATTGAAACAGTTCATACTTCTGTTCAATTTACAATCTCTTAGTATTAACACATTGCTTATATAATTTAATAATATTTGGCATGTCTAATAATGATGACCACGAAAACGTTTATCGAATTCAATAATATATATTGCTCATTATTATGCGGATCGAATTTGTATATAAAATCATTTTATATCGTTGTTAAATGTAAACATAAACTTCGGAGATTCAAAGTTATTATCTATGGATGTTATGTCTGATTATTATAATGTTATTCTATTTGTTACTTTGTAAATATTTTATATAGGTATATATGTTGTGAAAGAATTTTTTTACATAAGCATGATAAATGCATCAATAAGTCTTTGGAATTAAACTACATCAAGGAGGCCATTATAGATTCCCAACTTGTTTATTTTTTGTATGCCACATTATTAACAAGGGCAGGAGAGGTGGGTACACTGTGCGTGGGGGAGTAAAACGCCGGTGACTATGTTGTATTTAAGGTAAAGGTCGAAACCGTGTGCAAACAGGTCCATTCGTTCGGTATACCTTCTGTTTTATGGACTGTGTATCTATCTCCGAAGACATTCCAGTAAATATTTAAATACTGCAGATATTAGATGTCACGTAAATATTTTAACCACGATTATAAATAAGTAAAGGGGCCGTGGTAGCTCAGTGAGTCTAGTCGTTCGAAAGGGAGAAACAAATCGGGGTCCCGTGTACACGTGGGATGTCACGTAAAATGAACTCTTGACATTTGGAATTCCAAGTAAGAGTAAACCGTGTCGGTAACCCCATTCTCTGGGCACCCCCCCCCCCTCCCCAAAGCGCACTGCATTGCCTATAATGCCATTCTTCAATAACCCACATGGAGCAGAAAGATAAGAGTTCAACTCTGAATGTATCAATATATATGAAGTAACAAAAGATAAGTTTTTTTTTATATATATATATAAAAAATGTTTTATTTTATATTCTTAAAAAAAAAATAATATACATGTTAAAAGTAATGCAGCTTTCTCAAAAAATCAAATTTATGTACAAATATTAATTTATGAATTTATATAATAGTATTTTTAAAAGATAACTATATGATAGACTATAGTCAGTGCTGTGAGGATAGGAAACATTGCCATCATCTTCTTGGGGTAATTAAAGCAAAGGTATATGTATATATACATATGTCTAAAATTAATGCAGCCTTGGCTATAGAGAATATTCATAAATTATGTAAAATAGTAGTTTTAAGAGTTAAAAAACTAGCCTGTTTTAAGAGTTAAAAGTCTGTGCTGTGATAAACAGAAAATATTACCGTGATCAATTTGCGGTAAATAAATACAAAATGCGTGTAGCCTACATAAAGGGCAAGATAACACTAAGTACAATTATCTATAAAACTTCTTTTTAAATCTCCAATTATTACATTTACAATATACAGTACACAAATTTTACACTAAAACACTACAGATCAAGGAAGGAAAAGAAGAAAGCGAATATATAATGTTATAATAAGCGTATTACAGCACGTGCATATCACAAAGCCGAACAACGTAAAGTCTACGTCCATCGATCGTCATTCCGAGTAATTCAGACACTACTATCATAATCGTTAATAACTAATGATGATTTTGATTGAATTGACTGGACCTCAAGATGTTTTGAATACAGGAAGAGGGGATATTTTTGGAATGTTGTTTTCCCCATACACCTTTTCAAATGATTCGCTATCATGCAGATAGGTATGAATTTATATTGTCCTGAGAGAGATGTTAGCTTGCAGCTAACAAAGATTAGCAATTAAAACATAGTAATAAGAATGTTTGCGTTACTCAGAATGTTCTATATTATAAACACTGAAGCTTGACGTGTTGATTACAGATTGGCACTTCCGGTTAATCATGCTGGTGATTTGTTTCAATACACTACAATTATAAAATGATTTGTCCTGTTCCCAGGAAAAAAGGTAAAAATTTAAGATTTACTCCATTACAATTCTGTACATTAAGTCATTTAACCATCGAGTGCAAATCTTCCTTTAAATTACGCGGACATTAAAATTAGAGATTTGAGATCTAAGTTATCTTAACATTTTTTCTAGGAACAGGCATCACATGATGGATATTTTATTTTAATTGTACAATATCAAACATATAAGATACAGAGATTGTTTAATATGAAGATTATACACAACATAAAAAATGATAATCGAAAGCATTATATGCATACGTAAATATTATGGAGTAAATATACAAAATCTTTTATGTACAAGGATTTTAAAAATATACATTAATATACATTTTCACAGATTGACATTTTGATATGTTAATTCTGACACACTTTTCACTGTGTTCTTTTTTTAGGGGTATGAAATAAGAAACTTAATAAAACACACGCATTTATAAAATATGTCAAAACGTCCTTAAAATGGTCTGCTATAAGCCTTGTGTGAAGAAAGCGTTGACAGTCGAATTCAAAAATACACAAAGCACTAAAATGAACTATAATATTTTGGTCTCTTTTTTTTTTATCAGGGTCATAATTTTATTATAGCGACATTATTAAATTTATTCTTGGACATAAGATTAGACTCTTGCAGCACAGACAGCCATGGAAAAGAGGGTGATTAATAAATACATATTGAACATAACACTAGAAGCCCCAGCAATACGACACCTGGATGTCTGATATCTGAAATTAGAGAAACATTCTTTCTTGTTCACAACGACCTATACTAATAAGACAAAAATAAAAAAATCACTTCTGTCATGGCCACATTAAAAAAAAAATGGCTAGGACGACACGGTTGGCATATGCATTTGAATAACAATGCCGCATTTCTTTAATAAATACGAATCTTGATCTTTTTTAAAAGGTGGTGTAGTAGTCAGAAGGATAATGCTCTGTTATTGCTGGCAATATGTGTGGCGAGTTGACGATTTTGAGAATATTCTTTATTACAATGTTAAAGTTTTAAAAATAATTTACAAAATGTTCTTACCTGTTTGGTTCACCGTTCATGAATTTCTTGTATTCCTCTTCCATCTTTTGACCATCATAATACCAGGCGAGATCATTAATTGTATATTCATAGCCTTGTCTACATTCACATTTATATCCACCTTGCCTAAAACCCACACCCTCTAATGCATAACACTGGAATCAAAATAGATTTACATTTAGTCTAACAGTAACTTTTTGATTCGAACAATCATTATCATAGATAAATTTGACAAAGCGTTTTTATGAACAGAACGTCTGCAATCTAATTTAAGCTTTAATTTAGATCAAAATTAATGTTTGAAATGGGTCCATCAGACTCATTATTATACCGACGAATAATGTGTCGAAATCTCTACATTAAATCTTCGTTTAGAAATATTAAGCGAAGTCAGTTTGTTTACTAATTTTAGATACGGAAATCAGTAAAAATTCACATTTGCATAACTACTTTAAAAATCAAGTCAACACACCAAATATAATTGAATAGCCACTTCAATTTTTACCCAAATCAGAGAGTTTTGCCAATCTCAAACTTCTGAAATTCGAACGTATTTTAATCTGATCTTAGAATCTATTGGCTGCAAAGCAGTTATGAATTGCCAAAATACATATGTACATGTATTTCTAATCATTTGAATATAACTTGGCGAGATTAAAGCTTGTCGACATAATTCAATAAACTAAATCAAACCATTAGGATTAACATCAACGTAGACATGATTACAAAGACTGCTTTAATAAACATAGGTGTAGGCCTATATTCATATAAACGATCCATCCATTAAACAGACTATTTATGCATGCAATTTATAATAAAGCTACAGGGAAAAACATTATAACCTGAAAAAACTTAAGAGCAGTTTGTCCCTACTTTCGTAATATGAGAAACTGGGTATCAAGATTTAAGATAATCATGTCGGCCATCTAATGATTTTTCCGATGATGTTGTTATAATTCTTGCAATCCTTATTTGCCACCAGGTAATAATCACTGGTGTTTATCACGTGATTATTCCGCCAGTGCCAAGTAAGGACTGGGAACGGATGGTAAAGATGGAATGAATTGTCCCAACAGAAAACACCACCACTGCTGATTCCACAAACGCGTCCAGCAATGTTATAGCGGTAGGCATATACTGTCAACAAATTTATTCATCAACTATGTTGTCAGGCATAGTTTATCTGTACTCATGCCCATCTTCTAACCGTAACTACAGTTTATATTCTTTCTGTGGCAGTTAATATTTAAAGTAGGTTTCTGTACAACGTGTCTATTCATGTCTGGGCATGATTATCACAAGCTGTGCACACTTTATGGTCCAAAACCAAATGTTTTACTATTCCGATTATGAAACGATGTGTATCACACCAAAAAAGCTATAAAGTGAAACGGAACATTGATCTCGGCATTATATAGCCACCTAATCATCCGCGACATATTGTTAAAATCTTCCAATTCACTGATCACAAAGCGTCACCAAAATGTGTTTGGTCATATTCACATCATTAGCGATACAACTTCGTTAAAATGATATCCCCCAAATCCCGTTTGATAATTATCTACCAAATAAGAAAGAACAGACACGACAAAGGATTCTTTTAGAAACCTCGAATTAACCTGAAACTAAAGTGCAAACGCAAGCAAAAATATGTTTCTATAAAATTTGACATTGACATTTTCAGTTGTGTTGAGCATAGTATACTACTCAACGACTCCCATTAATAAATTTACTAAAGGCCTATAATTATAGACACCTAGTTTTACGAATTTTCCGAATATTCACAATCATCAGACTGAACCATATGAACTGAGAAAGCCAATCATCGGCGAAGATGGGATTACTGAGAAGTTGAGAACCCATAGACTTACATGTGATGTATAATTATATATTTTATCTTCCCAACAAAGTCCATATGTAGCGACAGATTGTTCAGTAAAAATACAATCGTGATTACCAGATTTTTCAGTAACAATGCAACCGGGATTACCAAACTCAATAATATGATCGTATATTGTGTCAGCTGTGATTTGGCAAGATTTTTCTTAGATAAGATTAAATTGAGCAAAAATAGAATAATATGGACCCAGCCGCCGAGATGATTCTCATTATACTGTATGAAGAATATCTGTATAAAAATAAGTGGTATATGACGGTGGTTGGAGGCGCAGAGGTCTGGACATCGTCTACTAGTTCGGATGGGACGAGATTACGAGATCCTGCGAAAGAACCTTTGGAAGATGGAATTCGAACTAGAGAATGGGATAACGCCGCTGTCCGGGCAAAAATTTATCTCATGCTTGGCGTATGCTCGGCTTCAGTATCCCGGTTGGAGCAGAACAATAGAAAGTTAAACACCCCCATTTCATTTTCTATATATCATTGGTCGTTAGGGTGCAACTGACGTTTTGACAACTGCAGTTTTAGACATAAAAACGGTGGTCTGGAACGATTATAAAGCGAGTTTTAACATGAAGAAATGTTGGGATATTGATCTACTAGTACATGTGGTTAGAGAAATGTGATGCAAAACTAATCAATAAATTTACTTACATATTGCGATTCGTAATGACATTTGGCTGTGTTTTTAAAAGCATTTGGTAAGTGGAATTCACCTGGACATTGGTTGATATCTAGATTAGTTAATTTAACCTCTGTTGTGACAACACCTCTATTATAATAAAGAAAATAATTATTTTAGAAGATATATATTAAACACATAGTAGTACATGTAATATACCGTCATAGAAAAGTAGTGATTTCATACTCAACAAATACTTGAAATGTTCTTTTCCAAAAGGGGACATATCTATCGGAAATTCAAAATTCATTATGAAAACATTTTTTTAAAAAGAGATTAATTATCATCATACAATTAATCGATTATATTTGTTTTAAAACGTTCAATTATCATTTGTATACATATCTACACATACTTGAATTCTATTTTTGTTTTTAAGCTGTTTTTTCCAAAGAAAGGAACAACGTATGTTGCAACCCAATCATCGACCCTTCCGTCACATTTAAATTGTGGTCTTAACCATTCGCCATCTTCATAATCTGGTGCTCGATAGGTGATTGGGTAATACTCAAATCGAATCAAACTAGTTCCTTCCCTATTTGAACGGATCATGGGCTTAGCAGTATGTTTCTTCAAACCACTGACGTTGGTAGCCCATCTCGCTTTCATATTTCTGAACCAAGGTTTATCCACATAATAATTTGAAAACCCAGCAAAATCAATGGCTTTAAAGTTATCGAGACCGTCGTTTTGAACTTGCTGTCGCCAAGCGTATGGTCCAAAAAACTCTCTGGTGATACCATCAATAAACCGCGGATCTGTGTTGTTAATCGGTGGTGACATTCTAAATTGATATCTATCAAAATATACACCACTGCCTAGAATCTTATGATCACTCATGACGTTAGCCACGACCTCCGCAAAGATCTGGGTCTCGTTCAATCTTCGATCACCTTTCAAATCTCCAAATTCTTCATACTCGTCAATGTTCTGAAGAAAGTTGCTGAGAAAATGTGCCAAACGAAGAGCAACCCGTCCTTGGCTAAGGAATTGGGTTTCAACACCGTAACCGGCATCGCCCGTAAGATAGAGGTCATTTTCTAGCAAGTTGTGGCAGTTGCCTTTATTTGTCTGATGTATTCGCTCCAATATGTTTTGCATTCTAGACAGGGATTCTGGTTCAATGGCGTCTCTCTTTTGGCGTTTGGTATGCCGTTTGGCCACATATTTAACCTTAGGTGCGCGTTTTACCCTATCCTTGTCTTCTTTAAGATGCTTAAGGGATGAAATCAGATGCCGCTTCTGTCTTTTGTTCAGACGTGGACTTAAATTGGACGGCAGACTTGCCAAGAAATGCTTTGTACGACTATATATAGACCTTTTCTTTCGTTCTACAAATTCTGGTTCGACAATTGAATAAACTTGTCGCTCTGAAATGAAAAAAACCCAAGTATTTTAATATTTTGAAAGCATTTAGGAATTGTTTACATGTATCTAAAAAAGGAAAAACCAAACAGAAATAACAACAGAGTGCGTGCCAAAGTTTCTTACCCTCAACGACTAAACAGTCAAATCCAACTTCGTATTCTTCCCGTGTAGCCTCTTCAATCTCAATACCAAGGAATGGTCCGTCATGGTACCATGGATAATAATGACCAGGTTGACAAACACACTGATATCCACCTCTTCTAAAACCATACCCAAACAATGGTTCACACTGTTTGAAATAAAAGGGGGGATAATTAACACTAATGATGATGATATGATGATGATGATATGATGATGATGATGATGATATATATTCGGGTACAAAGTATAATATCATCTACAGTCTTCGACATTGCAACCATGACTTATTGGTCAATGTAAATCAACATGTTGTTATCTTACTGACAAGATAGGCTTCTAATATTCCAATATTTAAGACAAATGAAAATCTTAAAATTGGCACAGGAATCGCGTGCCAGAATGCTTTCGAGCGCCAATTGTAATGAAGCTACTCGATGAACGAGGCTAAGCATATCCCACAAGAGAATACTACCGGTGTAGACTCCAAAACCAGACACCAAAGACTGTCATTCAATTTGGACTAAAGATTTTAAATTTATTTCTTTACCATGGTTGTTGCTTTACATCTTGCTGTTCCCGCAAATATATTTGGTAAAGGGTTTCCTTGTGATGCTGGACACTGATTCATATCAATTCTTTCAAACTCAATATCCATTGACGATACAGCCACAAACCTAAAATTCAATAAAATAAAATTAATAAAATTTAAGTTTTATAGAAGCAAACTAACATATCAAAAATTTGTTGTCAGGACCACTATAAACCACGCCGAAAAATCCAGAGGAATGATGATAAGCAAACTTATCACTTACACAGCCATATATACCTTGACAAACTATACAGATAATAATGGTGGGCAGGTACCCATTATTAAAGGGGAAGACCAACGATTTTCAACAAGGTTTCCATAAATCTTATATATATATATTGATAAATAATCTCCTCTGTAACACAATCAAAAACGTTTTTGTAAGCGAGAAATCAATTTTAAAACCGGAAGTGATGTAGTTGGTTCAACACGGTCACTGTGGTACCTATACTAACTATCCAGGTTGGGCATAAGATTGCTACTGTAGCGTGTTGAACCAACTACGTCATTTCCGGGTTTAATAATTAATTTCTCTCTTACAAAAACATTTTTGCTTGTTTTACAGAGAGGATTATTTATCAATATACATGTATATTTAATATTCACAGGCTTTAAGTAGGCCTTTTTTATGAAATAGTTCAGTTTGTGGATTTCAATGTAAAACAAATAAAATGAAAACATTGCCCTGGCTATCTAGAACGTAAGTTGATTTAAGTTGATCTGAAAGAAGGTCAAGAATAATAATAGTGAGCCTCTTTATTCAGCTTGCCACCATACCATGACTACATGAGAATATTAGGGAGACAAAAACCGTGAGAAAACCTCAACAAAGACTAGGTTTATTCCTTTTTAAAAAAGACGGCAACCCAACACAATTGATATCTTTACGGTTGCCTGACTTCATATATGAACAATAGTACTTCACTTCAATGTAAGATTAGCCGAAACTATCAAATGACTAGCTTGTCAAATAGGTCGTAAAATTCAGTATATAAAAATATAACAAGGATAAAAAAAAACTCATTTTCGATTTTACCCCAGAACTACACGATCTTTATTTCTCAAAAATTTACTTTCCATGCAATATAAATTTAAATTGTCTTTGGTGTCTTGTTTCAGAATGAATTTTTGGTCCATTTGTCTAAGCGGTAACTTTTGTGTTTGATGGACAATTTAGTACAAATATATTTGATAAATAACGATTAACAGATATGAGGTTTTAATGTTCGGGCGATATATGATATCAATAATATGTGGTGGAGACCGTACTTGTATGTAGTTACATGTAGTTATATAGATGTTAATCCATTTTTGGGCCATGAATATGTTAACCGTTTAGGCAGTTTCGTCTGAATTCGGCATTTTCCACAAACAAATTATATATTTTGACGTATTATTCATAAGAAAGCCAGTATTATATATAGCGAACAAATATTCTGCGTAACAGGTAGTTTCTTGACAAAGTTAATATTAAAGGCACATAACTCTTCACGGTACCTTGTAAAATAAAAATAAAACTTTAGTACAGAACCGGTTTACCGAATGACATTTGCACTGGTTGGATAACGTATTGTTTGTATGAATATATACAGAAAACAGTTACAGATATTATATTTTATAAAATTCACAGTTACAGGCATTACATAAAATCGTGGATGTGGAATTTTTAGTTAGCGAAGTAGATCTTCAGGCTTCATATTTATAACATTATGTAATAGTGATCAAATTCCATGGCTTCTCTTCTATTGATGAAAAGAAAACTAGGTGCATCTGTGAAATCATTTAATGTACATATACATTAAGAATTGTCTTCTTATACGTACTTTTGTTTGTAGACAGCCTGGTCTACAAACAAAATGCAGTTTGGCTTTACAGGGCCGTTGGAACCGGAGAGGATGTGGCAAGCCCCGGGACGCCATTTTTCGCGACGCTGCCCCTTCCCCCCCCCCCCCACACACCCCTCTCAATTATTGCAGCAGAGCTGAGAGTATGGATTAAGAAAATATTGGTCGTCAAATTCTTAAATAGGTCCACAAGAAAGAAGAGCCATAATCAGTTTGAATGGAAACTGTCAAAACTGGTAGTTAACAGGATAGATAATATGCAAATGTGAGATTTTTTGTATGTACATTACATGTATCGATCACATTGGTTTTTTCTACATACGTATTTCTTTCTCAGCTTAGTTGTTTCTCTAAATTTCAAAGTACATGTATAGTGCCTATAGTAGTATAAATAAAAATAATTTTCAAAATATTACCTGGCCCTTCTTAGATGTAGCCAGATGGAATATCTGGGCATATATTCTACAACTGGAGATGTGGCACTGACGATCCATTTATTAGAACGGTCACAATCAAAGTAAGGTTGGGTAAATCTGACCGGTAGGTATTCTTCACGATCTTGTTGTCCAGGTTGAGGTGGGCCAAAAAATGTGTTATCTTCAAATTCATTCTTGACGAATACACCAGTCGCATTGGAGTACTTTATCCCAACAGAATACGTAAACTTACGTAAAGAGTCGTCTTCCCCAGTGATATCAGGCATCCAAGGTGAATACCACGGATTATATTTATAATTAGGACTTGTATAATTATACATTCGTCCAGCACCATAGTCATGAATGTCTACCGTATTATTTGTTGGTTCTCGTAACCAGTTCGTAGCTTCATTGTAATCGTCTGCCCGCCATGCTCTTGGTCCAAATAAGGGGAGAGTGGTGTTGAATTTAAAGGTTCTATACCAATTTGGATAACTACAATCGTTGTCAAAATATAGCGACGAACCGTTGATAAAACCAGGATTTGCGGAAACATCTGCAGCAGCGGACATATAAATATAACTTAAACCTGGTTGGGTTTCAAAATCCCAGGTTTGATTGAGTTTTTGATATATAAAACTGTAATAAAAGGCACGGTTGAGAGCCATGTTATGAAGATGTAGTAAGTTCGTTCTATTTCTATAAAAAATAGTACTCTTCAATTTATTATAACGTGGAATCTGAGCAACACTTGATGCTGGTAATCGAAGCTGATCCCGAGATTTTGATCGACAATTTTGGGCAGTCACCGCTGAAAATTGACTATTTATATAATCAAAAGCGTCCGGTGCCATCCAGTCCAGTGGGGCTGTTGCCACAAATGAGATCACAGCCGCATTGGCAATCAAAAACAACACCCCGTACTTATCCAACATTTTGCCGATTATGTTTTACCTTTAGTCCATGATCCGATTGTCAAAATAAACACAAATACCTCCAATATCCACCGAGATCGTTGTATACCTGTATTCAAAATGGCGGTCTTGGCCTCACCTTTTCAAATAAGGGACGCTGTGTTGTTTCGAGGTCACGCTAAGTCGCAGGTATACCTGTCGTTTAATTAGGTCAACCAGTTACGCCTCAATAATTCAACGCAATGGTCTACTTCAATTAAATATAAAACAGAAATTGAGCGTGATTCGATCGCTTCGTTGATGATTTCCTTTCCGTTTATTTACCAACAGAGATCAAAGGGAAATAAGATTACAGGTAAAATTTATTGGACAAGTAAAGTAGGTTTAATTACCGCGTTTTCCACAAGGTGGCGCTCATGGGATATGTGTCATTAGACATTATGAGATGACTCAAGGTATATTATATGATACATAATTTAGGATTTGCACCTGAATAACACATGCATCGAGTTAACGTCCCACCTTTACTTTATGCAAAAGCAACCCGAGAAAACAGTTTATAATTTTTGATAAAATTGTGTTGTGCAAGATATTAAAGTTTCTGACAATATAGAAAAACATATACGTAAAAGTCCTGGTCCAATATGACTAAATAAGATAGGAATTTGGATGACGGGTCAGGCTATTTATAACTTTTTATAAGATAAATTCTGTACAACTATATAGATAAAAGCCAGTAAACAATGACTAATAGTTTTCACTATGCGGATTACAAAACAGAAATTGTCCCTTCTCTAAAACTACAAATCAGACGATTTTTATATAGCCAAAATTGTATTTATTTACTTCCTAGTAACATATATATTTTAAAAATACAATATATGAAAAATAAAAATTATATAGAAATCGACATCTTTAAAAATGCATATAAATTTTGAATCAGGTCATTCTCCAAAATTTAAATTAACTTTTTATGGTTTGGTCTGGTGTATAATATACGGAAGCGTATAGGGGTCATGCAAAATTGTGAAGAAGGTCTTGAGATCCCGCGGTCCTGTGATACTTTCTCGAAATCCCGTGATCACTTGGTAATTTTCTCGACATCTCAATTTAATGTTCTCGAAATCTCCTGATGATTTTCCTGAGATATTGACATCCTGTGTAAATTTTCTCGAGAATTCGAGTTAATGTTCTCGAGATATTGACATCCTGTGTAAATTTCTCGATATCTCGAGTTAATATGAAACGTTAATATAGTGTCTCCACGTTGGGAAGCATCTATCGGCTCAATACTTAGCACCAACTTTGATAAAAAAAAAAATACACTAGCATTTGTTACAAAGGAAAACTGCTAACTATTGAAAAAATAAACGGACATTCGATAGGGTTCATCCATTGTCTTATGGTCCTAATGCTTTACACTAAATTTGAAAAATGATTAAAATTGATAGGGTTCATCGTTTTATGGCCCCAATGCTTCATACGAAAACCAAAACCTTACTGCATTAGCTTTGGATGTGTGAAGCTTTGAATTACAGAGTTGCTTGTTAAATTATTTCAATTTAATGTACGGGCGACATTTTATTGAAAATGTCACAATGTGCATGGTTTTCAGGTCATATTTCTTTTAGAATAAAGCTAGACACATGGTTTATTGTCTTGTGGTCCAATTGCTTCGCGGTGGATTTTAAAACAAAAATCTTGAAAAACTCTCGCGTTTATCAGACGGGAAAATATGAATAACGCCATAACGAAAAGTCTGGGAGCGCTGCAAATCAATAAGGTTCATTCTCTAGTTGCAACAATCCCTCCGGAAATCTATAGGGTCCTTCTACTCATGATACCAATGCTTCAAAAGAAATTGGAAAGATAGCCACGCAATGAGTGGAAAGACGACCACGCAGCATCTATGCCCCAACAGCAGATTATCGGAAAGGAAAACTAGGATGTTCAATAAATTGAAAAAGGATCTAGCATTCTTCAAGAAATCTGATCTTTATCTGTTCACGTTTTCTGTGACAGCAAACCTTATATTTTTGAAATTCAACAGGGGTCATCTTTGTCGTGGAACACTGAATATCGAAAATTTCATGACCCATCGATATTCAGCACTCAGTTACCTTCTGTTCCTTAATATGTCCCACCCGCTTCTCACGAAAGCCTTGTCAATGTCATAGAAGCTTCACTTTTTAAATTTTCTGTGAAGCATTGGGTCATAAACTCTATTGTTATTCAGCGCTTAGCGATCTTCCGTTCCGGAGTTACTCTTTATTCTTTGAAAAACTTGTTAACTCAATACAGACTTATGTTTCAACGGATTTTCGATATTCAGTGTTCCGAGACAAGGATAACCCCTGTTGCAGTTCAGAAATGTAAGGTTTTCTGTCATAGAGATATAACAAGCACGTGAAGACGGTAGAGATTTGATTCCCTGAAGGAGGCTACATCCTTATATTATTCAATTATTCAACATCCAAGTTTTCCTTTCGGATAATCTGCTGTTGAGACAGATGTTTCGTGGGTTTATTTCCACACATTGCGTGGCCATCTTTAAAATTTCTTTTGAAGCATTGGTGTCATGAGCCGTATTTATTTTCGGCGTTCCGTGGAATTTATCCTTGTGAACGGATAGAACCTACATTTTTGGAAGGATTGTTGCCACTAGAGAATCCCTAACTTTTCGTTGTGGCGTTTTTCCTTTTTTCCCGTAAACCTTGTGAACGCAATAGAGCCTAGAGCTTAGATTTTTGTATTAAAATCTGCCGCGAAACATTTGGGCTACAAGACAATAAACCCTGTGTCTAGTTCTATTCTAAAAGAAATATGGCCTGAAAACCATACAAAAAATGACATTTTCAATAAGACGTCGCCCCATATTTGAAAAATAATTATGGATATAGAGGATAACTCTGGAACAGAAATACTGAAAATCGGAAGGCCCCAGTGCTTCATACCACATTTGAAAACCCAAATCAGTTAAAAATTGTAGCATCTATTGCTTTAACAAGGTTTTCGGAAAAGGGCGGTAACTCCAGAACGATGTACGGCGCTGAAAATCAATAGTGGTCGTCCTCTCGTGACCCCAATGCTTCACACCAAATTTGAAACAAATCCGTTAAAAACTACAGGCTCTATCGTGCTATTGAGGTTTTCGGTAAAGGAGTGTGTGTGTGTGGGGGGGGGGATAAACTACGAAACGACAGGTCGCTGAGAATACGTTAAAAACTACGCGCACACATAAAAATATTCGAGATCTCGAGAAAATTTACACAGGATGGCAAGATCCGCCCTGGGGCTTGAGTATATAAGGCTAGGAATTTATCAATTGTTTTCTCATCAGTAGGTTTATAAAGTTCCAAAACATTACAAGTTTCCATGGCAGAGTCAGTAACTCTGTAAATAATCATCGCGTTACTCTGAATTTCGACTGGGTCCCTGTCTCCGAGTAACAAAGCAATTCCATGAAATTGAACAAAACATCGCGCCAAAAAACAACCTATAGAGTGTTTACAAGGTTTCCGTGGTATGGATAGTAACTTTGCAGTAAATACTTACCCCGCTCTTAATTTCAATAGGATTCCTTTTCAGGACAGTTCGCAGCAAGTTTTTTTTTAAAAAAAAGATCCCCAAAGCATCTATTAAGTTCTGGCACAAAAATCCGAGGAAATTAGAAAATATATCTCCTAAACCCCGAGCGTTTACAAGGTTTCAGTGAGAGGTCCAGTAACTAACTGTGAAAAGCCGTTTTGCGACTCTAACTCTCAATAGCCCCCCCCCCCACCCACGCGCAGGACGAACATCTTAGCACATTTTAGGCAGAACACTTAAACATATTTATTTATGCGGTGTTTTCGTGGGATAAGAAAAAAGTAATGTTTCAGTAGGCCTATGTCTGTATGGGGAAATCACATACGAAAATCACTTTACAGTCTATAGGGAGTAAAAGAAAATCGAAATGGCAATTGGATTATTCAAGAAAATATTATATGGCCAAATAATGGCATGGATTTAACAGTAAACCAATGGGAAAGGTGTGCGAAATAGCTTTATTTAACGTCCGCTCCCACCGAGGTAATAACGCAGACAATGGGAAAGGGATTACTTTAGGCATAAGGCTGAAACATATATAAGCGGTGTTTTCGTGGGAAAAGAAAGTACTATAGACACACACGAAAATGATGTTACAACCTATAGAAAATCGAAATGGTCATCAGAATATTCAAGAAAATGTAATAATAATCAGTGAAGGAATGACGTGGCATGGATCTAACAGTGGAACAGATTACTAATCCCAAGAATAGTTGTCCTCCCGACTCCCGCAGTTAACACTAATGAATGTTGGATTGCGAAATGAGAGATCGGTCTGAGTCCTGATAATGGTTAAAGTGAGGGAACTCTATTCAAGATGTCGTAATTGTACGTCTAACAAAAATAAATCTAGGCCTAAAGCATTTTAGTGACGAATAATTGATAATTTGAAAAGAGAAAGCAAACCTGTGATATGCAATACAATATGATAAGATAATTAACGACAACTGTTATTGGTGCCAACGTGACTTTTCCTACCTCAAATGTGAAAGAGTTTAATTTTTTTTTTACAGATTCATGAAGAAAAAAACAACCTGAAATCAAATGAAATGGGATTGAATGTCCAGTTTGTCTGCACCAACTTGGAATCGTGATGTGGCTTGAGTGAGATTTAGGGTGAACTAAGAGACCACTGCTTGTTACAGAAACGTACGGTCACGCAAGATATAATAATATGTAACAGGCATTGCCTGAGTAGAGCGAAGCTGATTATAATTGTCAAATATAAAACCTTCATAATTAATTTTCTCAAGTGATACAAAAAATGTTAAATAATTTAGTTTTTCCAAATTGATTTTCATTTAGATCTAAATTGTATACATTAATTTTGTTTTTTAAAAAAGAACAAAAAATTGTGAGAATTATTTTCATTGACGTCAAAAATATGTGACGTCATTGATTAGACGCGTCATAGAAATAGTTCTATGATGAGGCGCGTAATCTCGCTTGGGCGAGATTTGGTAAGTTGACATGCGCATTGCCTGTTTTGCCCAGTGTATCCGGTTCCGGTCTGAATTTATTTTTAATCAACAGTCTGTGGGTGACAATTTCAGTTACGCTCCTGTGTTACCGGAAAAGAGCTTTGCTCAAGCACCGCGCTTCTCGCGATGCTGTAGAGCTTTGCTCTATATTATAATTAAGATTTGATTGATACATCATCATTACAATTTTTTACATGTTCTATTCTATGTTTATTTTCTGTTTTCTTTCAATTAATGGGTGTGTAGGCTATATTTCATTGCTACAATCAATTTTAATAACACCCTTGAATCATTCTATCGACACGTACAGTAGTTCAGCTCTGAACATAGGTCTCATTACACTCGCACTGTACATTCAGGAACCGCCCTATTGAATCCTTGTCTAAAAACTATTTTACTGGGCAAGTTAGGTAAATTTGTGCGTTACCCTATATTTAGATTTTAACAGCATGTTGTGTCATGCATACTGACTCTAGCGAGGTAAGCAAGGTCTTATTTTCTCACTAAAATGTTCCTTTACATTGTACAGGCGTTCACAGGGACTGACACACGTCTGTTTAGCAGTAAAAAGTTGACCAGTAAAATTGACTGGGGTTCGAAAGTTTTTCAACAAGGATTAAATAGGGAAGTTGCTGAACATACAGGGAGTGTGTAAGGAGACTTACATTCAGAGCTGAACCACACATACAGTAGCTTACAATGTATTATTTACATATTTAGTTGCCGTTCGATGATAACTGGTCCCCCTTCAGGCCCTTGACAGCCTTGAGCTTGAAGCACACGGCTCAGTCCAGCTCAATTCCCGTTGCCATGGACCTTATAATACATTCCATCACACCTTATAAGGTCTATGCCATCGCCTCTTTCACCTGCAGCTCACATATTATTGGTACCAGGATCTACCAAGCATCAGTGTTTCACCATTCCTCATACAGATTACATACTTTTAGTAATTCAGAATATTGATACTTTTATCAAAATTAGAAAAATTAAAGATTAAAGATACATTATGTAAGAGTTAAATCTGCCTAGCAGGTCTTTTGTCTAGCTTCAAATCTTATATAAATGGTTATTTAGACAACTGGGGATCACAGTGGGTAAGATGCTGGCTCGCTAGCCTGGAGGTCGGGTGTTCGATCCCTGTATTGGCCGAGAAAGATCATCCTGATTTTCCGGCATGGTTCCCCTTATCAGTGATGCAGGAAGGAGGGCCTGACAAGGACAGTCATCTAGTTGTTCGGATGGCACGAAAAACCGAGGTCCCGCATACATATTGGCGTGCATGTAAAAGATCCCTTGACAGTTGGAATTCGATATAAGAGTAGGCCATAGTGCCGCTGTCAGGGCAAAATTTCCCTCATAGCACACTGTATGGTGTATGCCTGTCTTCATTAGCCCAGTTCGGAGCAGAGCAGTAGGAAGTTAAACCCCATTTCATTTCATTCCATTTCATTTATTTAGACAACTATTCACATGCCAAGCCCATAGTCAACTCTCTAGACCATTGGAAGGCCAAGATTTAAATGGATTTGAACACCCACAAGATTTAAAAATTTAACGATAAAATTGATAATAGAGACTTGCTCTGGGTCGTGAAGTACCGTTGCTACGATAATAAACAATCTATCATTATAACTTCGTCCAGAATTAAGTAATTTGAATGAAATTTTCAATACATGTATATTCATTTTTCATAAATTATTTTGGAACAGTTATCTAAATCTTACATAGTGCATATTTAAAGATTTATTGATACCATAATAAAAGCTTATTGATTGTAGGTAAATATTTTAAAAAAGGAAATTGAGAGAAAGGAAGACAGAATGGTTTTAATCTAATCATTATGAGTGAATCTCTACCAGCTATAAATATTGACCAGTTGACCAGTGCTGTAAATGCTGTGGTCAATCTTAAAAATGTTGAACCACCTAGTTCCTGTGGTGTTAAACCAGTGCGATCTATAGCACCACATACAACATCATCTACATCATATACACATAATACATCTTCAATCATTTCTTCAAACAGTAAGTAAATAGATTTTAGTATCTTTGACATTGTGTCATTGATTATATTAAAATAAAATAAGTTTAATTATGTTGGCTTCATATCTATGTTTTGTTGACATTCAATATACTTTTATTCAGATTGTATTACTTTAATACTACTATTTATATGTATGTTTTTGTCTTTTCATTATTGTGTTCTATTTATATATATTTTTAGACCAAAACTTGAACTTGACTTCTGGAAATTTACCATTGATGGTATCAGTACAACTTACATCATCAAATGGAGGTATGGCACTTTACCACAGGTTCCTAAGTACACCATGTTCATTAGCCAGGAGCATAGGTGCTTTATTTGATTTAAACAATATTTTATTCAAATAAGATAAGTGTTGTATACATATACAATTCTGAAGGTAAGGATTCAAAAACAAGCCAAGGCTTATATTAATTCGTCTCCTTATATATTAAGTATACTACAAATACAACTGTGATATATACACTTCTCATACAAATACATTTAACGGTACAATATTTAATATTCACACTAATCGTGCATGCAAGTAATTTAACAGTTAGTGTCACTTACATTGCCTTACTATTTCATAATACGCTTGCCTTGCATCATGTTTTGTGGACGTCAGATGTATATTAACCGAAAAGTAATTAATTTAGATGGTATTTTACGATGGTTATTGTAGTCTTTTAGATAAATGTATAAATGTGTGGACTGTATTGAAAATGTGCGTATTTATTTGTAAGGTATTATTGCTATCACCATTGGTTAACGTTTGTAAGTTAATAAAAATATTTGGTAATGTATTTATAGTTTGGAATCTAACATTGGTAAATTTTGGACAATATAATAAATAATGTTCCGTATCCTCTATGTAGTGGCCACATGAACATGCTGGGTTGTCCGTTAAGTGCATGACGAATTTATGGTAGTTTAAGTTACTTTTATTGTGACGCAGTTTTGTATGGATTATTTGAGAAGAACGCTTTCCGGTGTAAAAATATTTAGGTACTAATTTATCATCATTGGTTAACTGTGCTTTAAAAAGTTTTATACTAGGGCATGCTTTCATATGCTCGGGTAAATTATTCCAGTCTTTTATTACGGACGGTAAAAAGGAGTTTTTATAAAATGTAGTATTAGCAAGAATATTTCTATATAGTTGTGAATTCCGCGTTTCGTAAGGGTTTACGTCCGAAGATTTGTGAGGAACTAGAATAGACAAGTAACCTGGAGTTATTTTATTCACCATTTTGTAAAATAAAATTAGTTTATGACGATATCGTCTAGTTTCAAGCGAAGTGAATCCGGATTCTTTATACAATAGATAATGAGATGTACCTCTCACTAATCCAGTAATTGTTCTAAGTGCATCAAGGTTTAAGTTTTCAAGTACAGTACTTTCGTGTTTAGTACAGTTATTCCAGATTACGTCACCGTAATCGAATAACGGTAGTATAAATGCTTTATATATTGTCTCAAGAGACCTTCTGTTTAAACGATATTTTAAACTTCTGAAACAATCTATAAATTTACTCACTTTAGTCACAATATAATTAATATGAGCAGTCCAATTACAATTACTACTTAAATAAACTCCCAGATGCTTGTGGTCTTTGATATCAGTTAGTGCTGTTCCATCAAAGTAAAGATCAATACGGGTAGGGTTTTGTTTTCTCGAGAATGTAATAGTTTTTGTTTTCTGCGGATTAAAGTTAATTTTCCAACTTTTCGACCAGTTACTTAGTTTCTTTAAGTCTTCATTTAGAAGGGATTGACATCCTATTGGATCATCGATTACCATGTATAGGGACGTGTCGTCCGCAAAAAGACGGATATTTGCATTTATTCCACGCGTAATATCGTTTACATAAATCAAAAATAGAAGAGGCCCGAGTACCGAGCCTTGTGGTACTCCAGACCTTATCATGAGGACATCAGAGCTTTGATTGCGGATTACAACTGACTGTTGACGGTTTTGTAAGTAATTTTCAATTAATTTAAGTAATTTTCCCCGAATACCAATAGAGTTTAATTTATAGATGAGACCCTTGTGCCAAACACGGTCGAATGCCTTACTAACATCACAGAATATGGACTTTACTTCTTTACCGTTATCAAGCGAACGACAAATTTGGTCATATAAGTCAACCAATTGGAAAATTGTAGAGTCATTACTTCTGAAACCAGATTGGAGCGGAGTCAAGATATCATGACTAATAAGAAAATTGTTAATATATTTAAAAATACATTTCTCAAAGATTTTACCTAAGGTTGATAATAGAGATATTGGTCTATAATTTTGAGGGTCATGTCTGTCACCATGCTTGTGGATCGGTACTACGCTGGCTTCTTTCCAACAGTTGGGAAAAGTGACGTTATCAATTAGGAAATTGAAAAGTTTGGTTAAGGGTCTGCATAAGCTTTTAGCACACGATTTTAATATCAAATTATTTATATTGTCAGGCCCGGGGGCCTTTTTAAGGCAGACTGAAGTTAATATATCATGCACTTCGGAAGAAGTCATCAATATGTATTCGATGGAGAAATCATTAAATGGTAATGTCGGCGGCTCATCGTCTATGTCGCTTAGTTGGTTGTTACTAACAAAGACATTATTTAAAATATTTGCCTTATCGTTCGTATCGTAAAATATCGTGTTATTAAAATGGAGAGGAGGTATTTCTTTGATCGAGTTACCTTGTTTAATGGAAATTGATTTGACAAGTCGCCACCAATTATTCTCACTGAAATTATTCTCTGAAATGTTTTGGTCAAGTTTATCATAGTATAATTGTTTCGATTTGCGAATTTCAGAAATAACAAAGTTGCGATACGATCTGAAATTTTCCCAAGATTCATACGTGTTATGACGTTTCGAGTGACGATGTATACGGTTTCTTTTGCGTATGATTTTCCTCAAATGACCATTCATCCACGGCGCATCACGAGGGCGTATTATCACGGTTTTGTGTGGGGTGTAATCTTCAATGGCTTTAATCAACACACCAGAAAAGGCATCGGTCAAATTATTAGAGGATTCGTCTATCTCAAAAATACTTTGCCAATTTAATGCTTCAAGGTGCCTATTCAATTCTTCAAAATCAATTTTAGAATATGACCATATAGTTCTAGTGTAGTTTTTCGGTTGGGGGTTATCAAAAGTAAGAAACACTTTAACCGGGCAGTGGTCGCTCAGGCTTGCTTCAAGAACATTTGTTGAGTAAACGAAATCGGGACAGCTAACTAAAACGAGATCCAGTAAAGTGGAAGAGTGGGGTGTGATTCGTGTTGGGTCTCTAACGAGTTGGGCTAAGTTAAAGCGTTTTATAATATCAAATAATCTGGATGGTGTATTTAACCTAAGGTTAACGTTAAAATCGCCTACAATAAGACAAGGTTTGTTTTCAGCTTTAGCTAGTGAGACAATATTTGCTATTCGGTCCCAGTAATCAATGGTGGAGCTAGGTTTCCTGTAAAAACAGCCAACGAGAACGGTTTTAATCTTAGTTTTGATCTCAACCCATACCGCTTCAAGATTTGGTATATGAAGATCAGGTCTAGGTTTGTAAAATAGAGAGCTTTTAACATAAATCCCCACCCCGCCAAATCCATCATCACGGTTACGTAGTACAGGTAAATGAAAACCATCTATGTTTAAGTTTTCTACTTTTGAGTCTTTACCTAACCATGTTTCGGAAAATGCCAAGATATCATTATCGGAAAATTCTGCTTGTATAAGATCAAGTTTCTGTGAGATACTACGTACATTTAAGTATAAGAGACTCAGATGTTTATCTGGTCCCGGATTGGGCTGTATGTTGCCACTAAGTAAAAGTAAGGTATAAATTATTAATGACAAAATAATCGTATTTTCAATACCGACGGAAGTAGGTATAATACATCTGACATTTTCATGAGCAAATATAACTGTAGTATGAAAGGCATGTAATACTTCTTCTGCCCATTTCTTCAATAAGGCTATTTCATTAGCGATTGTTTTGAAATGATGCTTTGTTTTAAACAAATGGGCGAAGAAGAAGCAATGTTAAATGTGACAACAGATATTAAGTAGCACGAAATTTTAGATGGAGAAATACAATAAAGTTGGTCAATTTTAAAACAATGCGTTGATGTTATATGTTGTGAAGTGCACATAATAAGGCATATTAGATTTATTTTGAAGGTAATTAACAAAATAACGGAAATGAACAGTAAAATCTTTTGAATAAGACAATAATTACTAAATATAAGAAGATAACTAATAGAGTAACATATGTACATATTTCCCAAGTATTCTCTTGGGTTTCTTATCAATCAACAGTAGGGTAACATGTGAAGTTTAAGGCTCGGAGCGATTATGGTGTATCCTACAAAACATATGCAGGGACCCCTATCTGAAAAACCACATTATGCTGTTTCAGTATATAGTTGCTGCTAAAGTTGTGTTTTAATAGATTATTTCATATACACGCTCTTAACAATAGGATCAATTCATCAACAATATGACGATAGTAGGGGCATGCAAGAAACCATAATGTTATATTTGCACTTTAAATAATTAATTATATTCAATATATTGGGCTGGTGTACTTTGTTTTTTGGAAGAGTGACTCTTTCGTCCAGGCCTAGTGAATTATAACAATATGTAATGATATAACTTTCGTTGACTTGACGATTTTATGTGCAAGTGCAAGACTAATCCATTGGTTTAAGGTGACAGTACTCACAGGCAATTCTAATAAAGAATAAAGTATAGATTGACATGTAACCCATGCCATTTAACCTATGACAATTAATTTCATACACGTGTATGTTTATAAACAAGGTTGTTTATTTTGATGATGGCCTAGTTAATTATAACAACACATGTTAAGAAAACATCTGCTGACCTATAACGATTGTCTATGCATGACTAATTCCGCAGTTAAAGTGGCAATACTACACACTATAACAACGAGTAAGGTTTAAATGACATACAACCTATGACAAGTTTGTACGAAGCATATTTAGAATTTTGTACAGATCACAATTTATATGTGGTATTCCCTAAAAAGTAATGATCCATACGTTGTACTAAAATATAGTTGCCAGCAGAATGTGCCACGGAAAAGTTGGTGGATTTCAAGGGACTGCATTTGTCGAAATTAATTTGTGTTTGTTTGATATATGGATACACTATTCCATTTCTTATTTCAACAAGAAAATTTTTTTTTTTTTAACCATTTAATGGTTATACATGGAATTCATTAATCGTCACTAGTATTATCGGCATCGGTGTTCATTGCTGCACCACGTTCAAAATTTTGTGCTTGAGGTCGTATAACCACTTTAAGCCGTGTTGTTTCTTTGAAATTATCAAGTTCTGTTTGAGATTTGATAACTTTGATGGAGTCGTCCCTTAATTTCAGGAATATTTTTATTTGATGATCACCTGAGTATGGAAGCTCAGATAAATGTGTAAAGTCTGATTAGAAATTTATCACAAGTGATACAAGCTTAGAATCGCTGAACACGGCGGAAAAATGCTCTGTTTCGCGGTGGAATCTTGGGGAATCGCTAGCGAAACATCAGTTAGCAAAATCACCACGAAATAGGGTGTTTCGAGATGTATTACAGTGTTTCACGGTGGAACACGGTGAATCGCTTAAGTGTCAATATCATCCCGATTTAAGCATGTTGACGAAAAATGTAAACTATTTCAGTTGAATACAAGGTATGTTAACCGTTGGCGAGGAAGCTAGGGTCGGATTTTGTTTTCTAACGCACTGTATATGCATAAAGTGGGGCCAAAATGTATGCAAACAATGAACAACTTACCAAATCCAAACTTAAAATTATATACGATGAGCTTTTCAACATTACTTCAATAGTTGCAGCTTCAGTTAATCTAAATCAACCATCCATACCGCACAGTGCCATACGTTTACATCATAAATCACTCCGCAATGCGCTTAACGATAAGTCACGTGGTCAGAAGCGCGCCAAAAAAGTGAGTTGTTGGGTTCGACACAGGGACTATATTCTTACGCTGTGTTACTTGGCGAAAAGTATTTAGCAAATCTTGACCGTCACCGGTATATGATAATAATGTATTATGATGCATTAAAACGATATGGGTGGGAGGGGGTACACAAAAGTGACAGCGCCATGTATTTGTTATTTTACAAATTATGTATATATATAATACTGTACATGTATTCAACCAAGGGATATTCTTACGGGATTTTGCGCAGCCGTAGAAAAATCTCCGCTGTAACCATATACATCTACTGTATGTCGCCCATTTCATTTTGTTGGAGGCGGATATTAAATAAAGCCATTTCACACACACAGACGTGTACATTACATGTACATGCACATGTCATATATTTATACAATGGCCACGAGTGTGTTAATTCTCACCTTCACCCCGTTATAATTTACTTATTTTGAGTACACTTTCTGAATGATTCCATTCTTTTGTACGTCCAACTTCCAAATTTTCCACTGCATATACATGTACCCTGTGTAACTGCAATCTATAACCTGCTATTTATACGTACAAAGTATCAAGTTCTTTGATTCTAATTACTCCAATTAATGTTATATAAAACAAACGCTAATACTTCTCAACCACCAAGCTAAGAGACAAAGGCTTTTGACAAATCTACAGGAAGCCATTTCATTCTTTAAATTTGACCCATTAAGGTTGTTAATACAATATAATCATCTTCTATAAGATACAATATTAATGTTAAGAAAGCTATTCACTATAAAAACATAGTCTGGCTCCCTAAGAAAACATCCCTTTCACTGTATTAAAGTGCTAATATCATTGACACAATCTTTATTATTTCATGTAAAAATTGCAGAGCTGGATAGCGTTGCACAGTGCTTTATTTATTAAATATTCTAGGGCTGGATCACGTTGCACGAACATAAAAACGTAGTCTCCCTTCCTAAGAAAATATCATTTTCCATTGTAATAAAGAGTAAATATATAATTAAACAAAGATTAAATAAAACTTGCAGGTCTGGATCACGTTGTATAGTGCTTTATTGTAATGGACTTTAATGTACATGTAATACTAAATTACATACTTAATTTGAACAAACAATTTGCATTAAACATTTTCCTGTATCATAAATCACCAGAGAAAGATATGTCTCGAGATCCTGCCAAATCTATAAAAGCCAATCGGTTAATGGAATCGCAATATGGGACTACATTGTTACGCTAATGTTCTTTGCAAATATGTTTTCTAAAGGTGTAACCATTATATTATATTAGAGTTTAACTATAGAATTAAATAAGCTCCGTTCAAGTCATCAGGTATGCGGAATTACCACGTCGCGTTTAATATATAATCTACATGTATAAATTTAGGGACTTATTTGATACAATGTATGTATTAAATTCATTTGCCAAGTGAACAAGTTTTATCCACATGGTGCATTACTCCTTGGATATAAACAGATGACGATTTCTTTAATTTCGGCAAAACAGAATAGGTAGTTTATGTGTTCATGTAGATCTTTTACTGATTATAATATATTCAAGCGTTTGATCAGTGGAATTTTTTCTAAGTTGCCCCCTTAATGAAGGAAAGTAGAACTTACAAATCTCGTAAATAAAGACATTCATGGCTATCGGAAAATAGAAAAAGTGTAATGCTTCATGAAAGTAATACACTTCCGATAAACTCGATGAAACATTAGCTATTTCCTAGCATGAGTAGTTTTGAGCCATCGATAAGTAGAGTAATACAGCAGTAAGAATATAGTCCCTATGTCGAACCCAACAACTCACTGTTTTGGAGCGTTTCTGACCACAAGTGATTTATGATGTGCTGTATGGATGGTTGATTAAGATTAACTGAAGCTGCGAGTAATGAAGTAATGTGTAAAAGCTCATCGTATATAATCCAAAATTTGGATTTGATAGCAGCCAATAATTAATGGAATTACATCTAAGTTATAGACGAAGATCAAATGATACGTTTAAAAAATTGTAAGTTGTTCACATTTTGGCCCAACGTAATGCATGTACATATGTACAGTGTGTTAGAAAAAAAAAATCTTAACCGATACAGAATGCCGGTAAAAGTTTTCCCAAGTTTACTTAACTCATTTTGTTATTATTCAAATCGGCCTGTACATTATACATGTACACGTTTTCACGGAAGCATGACTATATCACAACCCCTTCAATTTATTATAGACAATATTAGTTCGATCCTAGCTTCCTTGCTCAAGGTTAGCATACATGTACCTTGAATTCAACTTGTAGAACTTACAAATGCCGTAAAATAACCTTTACAGCCATCAGAAAATACAAATAAGTGAAGGGCCTTCAAGAAATCACAACACTACTGTTACTGTATAAAAGCCGGTGGGAAAAGCCAACGAAAGGCTCACAAATTCCTTGCGGGAAGCATGGCAAAACACGATGTATTCTTCTTAGCGAAACACGGTGAATTCTTAGTGAAACATGGTGGACTCCAAGCGAATCTTAGCGAAAAATTGCCGCGGAATCAAGCGAAATTTCACCGCTAGATCTAAGTCGGCGGGTCGCCGAGATTTCGGTCCAAAACATTTTGGACGAACTTAGTATAATTTGCATTGATTACCCATTTCCTTTAGAGTTAGGTTTGAAATACTCCTTCTTATGTATGGATGCTTAAACAATCCCTGTTTGTTATATTTGTCTGAGCTACTTGAAGTTTATTTTCCATAAATTAATGCTTTAACTATTTATCAGTGTAGAAGTTAACTATCCGTTCATAATTCATGTCTTATAGATGCAACAGGCACACCACTGTGTATACAGCAAGGAACTTCTAACTATTCCTGTAATAAGATGACATCACTACAAAATATACAGTCTACAACAGGTATAGAATGCCTATGTATTTTGTTCATGAAGTTGTAAGATCATCCCTATATGGATATTGGAGTGTGCTTTCTCAAAACCAGGTCTGTCATAAGGAAAACAATGTTGGAACAATTCATGGCTCAAGTTGAAAGAAATTAAAATGAGAATATCAGCTTCCTGCAGTCCCCTCTGAACAAGGTCTGTCAAGTAAATGACATCAATACAGCCATTTCGGAATTGATTAGCGGTTGATCAGCTTTAAAAATTCCAATTTGACTATGGTTTATCCGTAACCATGATTTGAAGATGTCTGAAGTGACGCAAAAAGTGGTGTGCACAGTTATGCTACGAATACCTTCAAATTTTATTTCAGTTGTATGAGTGAAAAGTTGCTGGTGTAAATTTGCTTTAGGTCTATAACAAGTTTGTCTTGATCATTCAGTCTTGTACGTACATCATTGTTGAATATTACAAATTTTAAATGCATGACGGCTAGTCATTGACATGTGGTTGAGGTTGAATACCACCTGGTCTTTGATTCTGAGGTTTAATTTACCTTTAAAAGCCTTTCAAAATAATTTATTGTAATTAAATTGTAAAACTGATTTTTATTTCAGCTACCATTCCTTTACCATTGATATCATTACAAGATACAGGTGTAAATAATACGTCATCACAGACGCTTGTTGATCTCCACAATATCCATCCTAGTAATCCTCTACCACCATTTACAACACAAACATTCTCTAGTCAGACAGAGTTATCCCACCATGATATTAATTGTAGTGAAACTAGTATTTCTGATAATACAGTCTGTTCTTATAATCAGTCTTCATGTTCTATAGGTCAACTAACATCACAAGAATTATTAACAATACCAACATCCTCGGTAGGCCTATATCAGGTAAGGTTTTTTTTTTTTCCTTTTTACAAAAATTATGTTTGTTATTAGTTAAAAGGACAATGTTGGTGTCAACCAATATTAAATATGTGATAGAACTGGTTAAACACATTCCATATATAATTTATAGTGAAAAAAAACTATACCAATTTACATTACAAACTGAGATTTTAAAAAATATTATAAAATTTGGATCCTGTATCTATAATCTTTCAGTTTTTTTTTACAAGATGCATATCTCATCTACAAGTCATTCTGTGTCAAACCAATCACAAGTAGACCCTTGTGGGGAATAGATTTAGATGAAATTTGGAATGATGTCATTACCAGGGATCTTAATCGACTGTTTTTTGTCGGCTTTAGCCGCTTGAAGTTCAATCAAGCCGATTGGTAAAACAATGAATCAGCCACTATGGTATCATAAATCAATCTACTTTCAGCTAAATTACAAAGGGTTAATTCTTACTTGTTAATTAAGTAGTCAATCAACTTGCTTGTCGGCTACAATAACAGTCATACCTTAGTCAACATAGGCCATGTAGTTCATAATCCGAGTAATTAGCACAAGTAACCGTAATTTTGATAATTGACCGGTAAAAAAAAAATAAAACAAGCTTGCTGTTTATTCAGTAAGTTGCCTTTGAATTCCAGGTGTACCGGTAGATATTAAAATAATAATTGGATCACAATTTAAAGGTTTGACTGATCAGTTGTTAGTTAAATAAATCTTAGTTGAATATAATCCTCGGATAAAACACCAAATACACCGAGAAACAGTCATTAATAATTAATATATTATGAAATTTCCAATGCCAAATTCCTGATGACACATGATATCGGTTGGAATCAAATCAGTAAACCAGCGATGCTAGTATTAGTTTTAAATAGTGTTTACCGTTATGATTTTTTGTTTTATACACATGCTGACAGAGGCTTATTTTTTTAAAATATTGTCGTTATTATCATTGAACGCTATACTATGACACAGTCGTATGGAATTTAATTTTAAAGCCATTTCAATTATGGTTGTCACATGATCACTGTGCTGTGTGTCTATCATGGACGAATGAATAAAAACATTTGCAAGCTACCTGATAGAAAAAATCCTACAAACTGTGTTATGAAGAAATACCACGGTGCCGTATCAGCTTATATCCAACGAAAAAAAAAACAAATACAGTAATTTATTTGGGAATACTGCCGACATGAATTTCAAGCCGGTACATGAATTAAATATGGAAAATTTTCCGAACGATGTACCTATTTGTGGTTATTTTTGTGCTAATTACATACAGTAGAATACAATATTCCTCATAACAAATTACCAAGAATTATTTTTGTTGAAGTCTGGTTATATTAAAGGGAATGGAAGCTTAAAATTTTAAAACACAGTTCCTACCTGGACCTCATTTGACCCAATTCTGGCCAGTTCGTTCCAAAATGAATTAAGAACCCTGGTCCTTAATATACCCAGGATTATTACTAATTAAAAATTTGGGTCAATGATAGTCATAAATGGTATCATTAGAAGGACCTTTGACACAGCAATATATTTGCGTAATATCAATTTGCGAAAATTATTAGATATTATGACCTTGGTTGGTTTGACACCGAATAATCCCTACTTTTTTATAATGCAAGTTATCTTAAATTATTTCTTATCTGCTCCTTTCTTCTAGATGAATTCAAGTTCAACAGCAAATCAGCATGTATTGCCAAATTTAATATTTTCCCCATCAGAAGTTAGTACAGCATCTCGTTTCTTTATGACTAGTCCTCTACCTATATTATCAGTTAGTGAGAAAGATACACCTATATCATCAACTAGTCATTATTCACCTAGACCACTTAGTGTAGCTTCTAATATCAGTGGAATTTCAGGTAAGAGGTACTGACCAGTACTTGATTGTGATTTTTCAATATTTAAAAGTCAAGAATTTGTTGAATTTAATTGTTTGAGTACTCAAAGTCAAAAGGCAAAACATACATGTAAGGACTTTAGCTCTCATATTCCCTGTGTCGTGTGATACTGCAAGCTGGGTTTAGTGTATATATATATGATCATATTCTAGATACCCTAGGATATGTAGATGATATGTGGATCATCAGCTGATTGTTTGAATCCTAAAATTATACCATTTTTTTGTTCGTACTTTTCACTGAGTTCAGTGATGACCTTTTGCTGCTTAGATAAAGTGGAGATAAGCAATTTGATTTCTTGATGCTTTTTGACACAATAACTTTGATTTAAATTGAGTCAGAGTGATGAAACTTGATGTATACAGTAAACCTCGCATAAGTCGGATTCGGCTAAAATCGTTTGGACCCTTTGACCCTGCATGTTTTTTATTCAAATGAGTATTATTTGCAATATTTTTAAAATTATGATATTTGGTTCCCATCAACAAATAGAATGAACCCATATCATCATACAGATACAACAAAATGGTTTCTAACATGTACGGTTGCAGAGAAATAGACGATTTTCCACAAGTTACTTTTCAAGGTTTTTGGTCTTTAAAAGTGTCATTTATTATTCGATTTTCATAAAATTTTCACCATATGATGTCTTCTTCCATTTATGATTTCATAGAACTAATTTAACATTTTCGGTATCACCGGAAGTAATGTCATTTTGGCAAAAACTGTATTTTAGCCTTCAAAACAGATATTTTATTCAAATGAATCTGATTTGTAATGGTTTTAAAATTGTGATATTTGATTCCAATCAACAAATAGTCACTTTTCAAGGTTTTTGGTCTATAAAAGTGGCAATTATTATTCAATTTACATAAACATTTCACCATGTGATGATGTCATTTCTGATTTCATAAAACTAGGGAGGGATTTGGCGCAATGGTTAGAGTGTAGGATTTGTAACCTAACGGTTGCAGGTTCGAGACCCGAATTGTGCGTCAAATTCTTGTGTCCTTGAATAAGACACTTCATCCCTGTATTCCAGTCTACCCAGCTGTAAATGGGTACCAGTAGGATAGTGTATGTATTACACAAAAAACTGTTGCGCTCCTTGAAGCAGCATATGTTGGAGCTCTTTCTAACATTTAAAAAAAGAGTTCAGGGGTAAAGGGAGGTAATCAGGCTTTACCTGTATCCTAGATACCGGGATAGTAATTGTTTCGCGCTTTGAGCATAAACTTAGTTTGTGGATATAGCGCATTATAAATATGCACATTATTATTAACTAACTTAACATTTTCATTATCACCGGAAGTAATGTAATTTTGTCAGGATCACTTACATGTATAAAATGAATTGATTGCTGGATTTGGTTGATTCTGTGTTCATTTTATTTCATGTGTGCAATGTTTATGTGGAAATCTGTTTAACGGTTTCATTGGTACCGGAAGTGACATAAGTTCAAGGGTAACTTGGCACCGGAAGTGACATAAGTTTAAGGGTAACGTGGCACTGGTGAAACCCGTCATTACTGCATCGCAGTTCTAGTTGATATTTATAATCAATACTTAATATTTCAGTGATCGATGCTTTGTTAAAACCGCAAGATAATGTACAGTTTTTAGCACCGCTACCACCATTATCTGTAGATAAACCAGTATCCATAGTTAAACCTGTTACAGATCTCTCTAAAAGACTTCCAGCATTACCCGCTTATTGTAAGTACCAGGGCCCTGTTTCACAAAATCTTAAATCACTAAAATAGATTTGAACCAAATTCTAAGTGGAATTTTAAATATTATGCATTTCATGAAGATCGATTGTAATATAAAATGGATTTGATAGATATTGCTTGCACCTGGACAGTGCCATTTAAAAAAAATACGCTTCAGGTCTAAAAACTGTTGACAGGTTGAACTAACGGTTACAATATCAATAGGCGAGTTTCATACGTACATGGTTATACAGTCGTAGAGAGATGAAATAAATTATTGGGATGAGTTTTTTGTGCTTTATTCAATTGGAAATATATCAGTGGATTGGCCTTGAACTTTCTGCTTTTGTGGCCTTGACATTTGATTTACTAGCACGCTTCAAGGGACTAACCCGAATTGAACATAGTCCCAAAAATAAAAGTTCGAGTACGTATTAAATTTAACCACTAAAATATAGAGGAATGGTGTATTTACCCTGTCTCAAAATTTCAGCTCAAAATATTGAGTCATTTGGACGTGAATGTCAAAACTGCTTATCTGGACATGTAACCCTTTTAAGATTTCAGGACAATTTTTTTGTGAATGCCCTGATAATCGATTAACATTCCTTTAAAGGTCTAAACAATGAATGACCCATGTGCTGTACTTGATAACGAAGGGTGAATTTTACCTTCACATTATTTTTATAGAATATAAGTGTGGTTTTATCCAGACATTTCATAATACAGCTTGGGACACCGGTCTCCATTTCCAGATGAAGACTGACGGATTTAAGTTGTTTGAAAACCTATCACATATATTAAGTTAGTTGCTCGGCCCTAAGGTAGAGGATTTGAAGGGATTTAAACACAAACTTAAGCAGTTTTATACTTCAAAATATTATTGGTATTGGCTCTTTAAGCTACATGTAGAATGGAATTTAAGTTTAAGACGATTTTAAGGAGATTTAAGTTTCTGTGAAACAGGTCCTAGTACAATTTAGATGGATTTGTGCTTGTGCCATATTCTATGCAACAGATTTCTAACATTTTCATACAATGATAAGGATAAGGTTGTTGAATTGGGTTTACCAGATGACATATATTTCTGTTTATGATGAAGGAAGCTCTATACACTTCCCTTTTCTTTTCAACACAGTAATGTGGGACCCGGGGCAGATTTTAACTGTTAATTTATTTTGTAGATTGTGTTGAATGTGCTCATACCCACTACTCACCATGTAAACATCATACTTGTGATTATTTAAATATAACTGATACACCTGTATTATCACGAGCTAGACAATCATTACCATCATGTCTACAATTACAGTTCTCTAAAATAACAGGACATTTTAATGATGCAGGTAATAACTGTTTTATATGGCCACATTTTCATGTGCACGTATATTGTCGTAGCCCCCGTCTGTCTGTCCGTACAGTAATGAGGTACTATTTGCAAATTTTTTTCCAACTTCATTGTGGGGCTGCTCAATTTTGTACAAATGTTCCATGCGGGGATGACAGTGAAAATTCAACGAGAGGGGCATGTGTGGTTCGTTCTAAAGTTAGCATTGTGGGGTTCAATATTATTTCAATAATTCGCTTGCAATTAGGGGTCATTAGCAGTGTGGGGGGGGGGGACCAGAGGCCTCAGAGAAAACCCACAACTCACAAATGGCAAACCTTCTGGTCCAACCCGCATGCATTAAGCATTCGGCCACCCAACCCCCATATAGATAAACATCTCCACAGTGTGTCGGTCATACTCCAACATATCATACAAGTACCCAACAAGGTTATGGACAAACAACCCCACACAATATTTTGGATGATTTCACTTGTTTTATGGTGTTGTCCAACCAAATCACAATTTCTTTCAAGTGTCCATGGGAACGGACAAAATCATAGTGGGGTTCAATTTTTATACACCCACACTTTCATATGGACGTATTATGCCGTCGCCCCTGTCCGGGCACAATTTGTTTGTGGACACTCTACAGGTCACAATTTTTATCCGATTTTGACAAAACTTGAAATATAGGTCTATTTTCATGAACAGAACACAGGTTTTATGGGATACAATCACTAGTTTTATTTTAACCCTTTCAATGCTAGACGTAAATCCACTGCCTGTGCTAGACCCTTTTTTGAGGAAAAAAGGGAGGTTGGAACTGAATGCCAAGCAGTACTTATGGAAGCTTTTATGAAAAATCTTTTTGTCTGTTGGGATGGGCATGAGGTTGGGCTAAGAGGAAAAAATAGAATTTTGGAAATTTGCATAATAATGTAGTCACGTGACGTCATGGCGGCCATTTTGGATTGCTCATTTCTCACTAAAGCTAACACGAAAACGAATTTTTCTCCATGAAATACTTAAAAGATATTGTTTTTTTCACTGGATTTTGATAAAGATATATAAAATGAACAAAAATATCAATAGCAGCCATGAGCAATGGCGCCACGAACACGCGCATCACGTCTCCCGCTGCCATGACCACGTGCGGATTGCAATACCTTGTTTTTACTTTCACTTTCACTTTCATCCCCAAGTCCTATATCATTATCAATATAGTCAGTCAATAGATCTACACGTTCGGGAATCAGGAATTACCTACGTCTTTTACGATCCAGCAGGCCAGCATTATTATCAACATCAGAATTATTGTCAGAATCTACTGCAGACACAGGGCTATCGTGTTCACATTGGGCTTGTTCATCATGCACGGGAGACATAGCTAGCCATGGGCGGAACGTCGCGCAACAAATCACACACTTCATAATACCAATCACTGTCCTGACTACTATCATTATCAAGTAACTGGAAACGAATTATGTGTATCACCCGCCTCGAAATTGTCCACGTGTTGGTCAGCAAGACGTCATTCACGACTTCGTCGAGAGTGCATCGTCTACGTTGTCACTATGCACTCCGCCATTTTACGGTTTGCCGCTTTGAAACACGTGGAAATATGTTCTAGTGTATAGAAAATACAATAGATGGCACTTGCAGTTACAGTACTAATTTTAGCGAGGGCTTTACTGAATACACGGTAATACCGGGTACGGGCATTTTACCGACATTTTATAATACCCGGTACTACCGGGTATACGCAGTGAAAGGGTTAAAAGCACAACGTTTCGAGAAGTATCCTTTTATCGGTATCAAGCACAATGACATTTAGTAAACTTGAAGTCAATATATACAAAATTCATAGTGAAACCATCAACACGGATTAAAATAACAGTAACAAAAAGAATCTAAGAGGTAAAGGATATTTAACAAAAACAACACGCACAACATGATGACTACGATATCACCTTAGGTGGAAGTGGAAGTAAAACTCTAGAAACGAACAAACTAGATTGCGATGGCCTAGTAGTCTCACTGTCAAGCTTTGACCTCTAGCTGGCCGGTCACCTCTGGCTTGCTGGTGGTTTCGATCCCTGGTGTGAGCATATGTGGCTTGGAGATAGGGGCGCCTTCTCAACCTCACGAGTTTACTCCGGATTCCTCCCACAGGAAAGACCCCTGCGCGTGCGCTAAGATAATGAAAATAAAAAAAGACAACTTGTCTGCAATATCACCTTCGGTGGAAGCGGACGTTAAACACTAGTAACAACAACTAAATGTCATTGTGCTTGATAACGATAAGAGGATACTTATTGAAACGTCGTGCTTTTAGAATAAAACTAGAGATTGTAACCCATAAAAACTGTGTTCTGTTAATGTGTTTACCGATCGCTAAATGCCACTTAAGGATTATAGTTTCATGAAATCGCCAGGATATCTCTGTGTTTAAATTTTCACTAGCATAGAGATTGGATGAAATTTTTATGGAAAAAAAAAATGTAAATATTATTAAATGAGTGTGATTTATTTATTTCAGGTGTAATAACTACTACAAGTATATCAGTTATGACACAATTTGGTCCATTGATTGGCAAGTCTGTTCGTGATTCTACAGATAAAGATGTTCATATATTTAAACATTGGAAGGTAAATAACATATGTTTTTAATATAGAGTGTTTTACCTTTATACTTGGATTGATTGATTGAATAAAACTAGATATATTTTATTACATTAATACTTAGATTGATTGATTAAAACTTAATGTATTTTATTACATTAATAGTCTGATAGATTGATTGATTAAAACTTGATGTAATTTATAATATTAAGACTTGGACAGATTAATTGATTAAATCTAGTTGTATTTTATTATATTAATATTTGGATAGATTGATTGATTAAAACTAGATATATTTTACATATTACTACAGATTTTCTACACATTAGATAATGAGTATCAATGTGATGTATTGGATATTAGTGATGAACATTATTCTAATTGGTTGATGTTTGTAAAACCAGCGCGCAGTTCTACAGAACAGAATTTAGTGGCGTATCAATGTAATGATAGTATTATGTTTGTTACTTGTAAAGATATTGAACCAGATTCAGAACTTTTATTTTGGTATTCCAAAGAATATGCTAAACTTCTAGGTAAGTTTAGTTAATAGTTCAAAATTATAGTTTTGATTATTATACGCCCACATTGAAATGTGGTCGTATATTGTCTTCGGTCCGACGTCCACAAGCTCTAGAGGCTAAAGTTAATATCCGATTGACTTTAAATTTATACAGTGTTTAAGGTCATGAGACGAAGAAGACTTGATTTTCAGCTAATTCTGATAATTACTACCAGAGTTAGCACCCTTAAACACTTTGAAAAATCTTGTGGATGCTCTAGAGGCTAAAGTTTATATCTGATTGACTTTAAATTTATACACAGTGTTTAAGGTCATGAGACAAAAAAGCCTATTGATTCTCAGTGATTTCCAATAGTTACTGCCAGATTTATGGCCCTTGATCTCTTGGAAATATTTTGTTGATGCTCTACAGGCTAAAGTTAATATCCGATTGATTTTAAATTTATACACAGTGTTTAACATGAGACAAAGAATCCTATTGATTTTCAACAAGTTATGGCCTTTGATCGCTTTGTAAAATCTTGTGGACACTTTAGAGGCTATTACTTGTAATCAGATTTACATGAGTTGTTCTCATTACTGACATTAGAAAAAAAATATGCGGCATCACTTGTTGACTCCCAGGACGACTTAGCTAGATGTAAAATGTGTGAATATGAAGATGATTATAACCAAAGTACTAAAATTAAAAATCTAAGATGTCTTTATAAAATAAAAGTTTCTCATAAAATATAATTTTGGTAATTATTGAAGTTGTTCATTATGGTTTATAATATTTGAGTGGATTAAGACAGTATATCTAATCTAACATTCACTGAAAACTCTCTATTATTTCAGGTTTTATGACAAAACCAAATAGAATCAACTATTGTCCATATTGTTTCCAGTGTGATAAAATATTTCCTGATAAAAAATCTCTTCTAGAACATAAAAAAAGCGAACATTCTGAATCAACATTCAGAAAACATCAGTGTCAGTACTGTCATAAACGATTTGCTACAACAGGAAAATTAAATACTCACATTGTAGCTCGACACATGCAGTTAAAACCATTTACCTGTAATCAGTGTGGTAAACAGTTCTCTGATCAGAGTAATTTACGTATTCATAAAGCCATTCATACAGGTAAGTACTCTGTAGTTCTCTTTTGTATGAAAAATAGGCTGACCTAGATGAGTATTGTATTTTCAGGTACCGTAGGGGTATCAGAATCTGATTCACTAATAGAAGAATGATAGAAATTTCAGTTTCATTTGTAAGAGATGCTTACGTTCACTTTAGGGCTTTTTGGTATAATGAAACAAACGACTGAGAATTTTCTCACTTTTTCGTTGTTCTAATGTTTCCGAACCATGCTGATAATAAAATTTGAAACAATAATATCCAATTAGGCATGCTTGTACATTTTATATGCCATATAAAGCCACAGTAAACCAAATTCAATTATCATTATTTATGATTTTCTTTTTTAAGACGAAACGAAATGTCAAATAATCAATGCTTGGATTAATTATTCTAGGTAAATAATGACTTGAGAAAGATTTCAAATATTATTGACAATTATCAATCAACGACTCATTAATCCATGATTAGCATTTGATTAATTTATGATATGTCACATGGGATGTCTGGGCCAATCAGCAAGCGAGTTACGCTGTTCTGACTTGAAACAGGCTATGGTTGTTTACGTTTTTTAAACTTGTTTGTACTCAATGAAAATGATATCATTGGTAGTAGTTCGGTCATATTTATAAACTAGAGATATAAAGCTTCCCAACAATGCCAAATATTACGCAAGGGGATTAACTGATCATCCCAAAGCAAGCGAAGAAAAATAACTAATTCACAGAAAATTTTAAGAAAGAAGTATAATTTATGAATACGGTACTCTCACAAAACATCCAAATAATGGTGTTTCAAAATGTTTTATTGCTATTTTGATCATTTAAAGATACATTATGGGAGATAAGATAAAGAGATGGCAGTTCTCGCTATAATAGTTAAAAACTAGATAGTGTAAAGGTAATTTGCTGAAAATTTCAGTCAAATTGATCCACTATGAGCCGAGAAAGAAGCCAGTGAAATTTTTGCATAGTCTCGGTTATCATTACTAAAATCATTAATATAAACAGCATAGTCTCGATTATCCACTTTTTCTGATTTAATTATCTTTGGCCGTTAGCGGCATATATGAATCTAATCCAGCCTACATCGAAGGAGGGCCTTGACATCGAGAGTTTATTATGGTCTGGATAAGTTAATTAATGTCTAATTGATAATTTAGATAACATTTCATGCCTAAAGAAAGACTTGTAATAAGCAGATTTTGCTCTTGCATAATGCATGTTTAAGTTGATAGATAGTATATTTATAGACTCATTTTTGTGAAAATCTCAATTTCGACCAAAATCAATATTTTCACTTGTTTTGTCTATAGCTCAAAATTAGACTTTGCGCTTTCCAACTCATTTAGCCAGAACAGGTCACAATTTATGAATTATTTACACTTTGCTTTCCAAACCATATTCCAAATTCGATCAAATAACTTTTAGGTATTGATAATGTTGATAATTGATATGTATTGATTGTCTTTTAAGGTGTGAAAAAGTTCACCTGTGATTTATGCAAGAAAAGTTTTCGTCAAAAGGCTCATCTAACATCACATATATTAACTCACACTAAAGAGAAGAGTGTCGACTGTCCTCATTGTGATAAAAAGTTTGCTCGGGTTTCTGACATGAAACAACATCAATACAATCACACACACGAAAAGGTCTTTCAATGTGCTCAGTGTAATAAAATATTCTATAAACTACAAAACTACAAAAAACACATGAAAATACACACCAACGAGAGGAATTATTCCTGCCCATCATGTCAAAAAAGTTTCTACACAAACTATCATCTTCAGAGACATATTAAAACTTGTAAAAGAACTAAAATGGCAGACATGGTCATGCAATTAAATGCGGAAGAAGAACTATATAATAGTCGAAACAGAATAAATTCTATGGTAAATAATACACTATCAACATGTACCACTGGTAATAGTGAAATGTATTCTACTGTTCAGTTAGCAGGTGACACACACCATGATTTAAATCAAACAACAGTATAATTGTGATATTACCAGACTCCCAATATTTCATCCTTTGTCCAGATCTCTTTCATTTATTAAAGTTTGGAATCTCTATTTATTCTTTTGAGGCTATCAGAGGTCTGTTTTTTATGGGTTGTAGGTCATTTTTTTTTTTTTTTTTTTTTTTTGTCTGTCTAGAAAACAGTGGTATTTTTTATTATCATTAACAGATATTATGCTAGGGGTCTGAGAAGTATGTGTTGATTTATTTTCTTTGATTGGCATTTACTAATTGAACATATAAACACAGGGTACAATTTTATGGATATACAATTACTGAGTTTGATACTAAGCGACGTTATGACGAGGATACTCTCGTCTTTATCAAGCAAATGATACAGGTATGTGAATAGTAGTAAGTAGGCAAATTTATACAGAATATGCAAAAATATTAACACTATTAACGGGAAACCAATTAACCTGAGCTATAGATAAAACCTATTATTAGACTGTAAAACTGGACGAGGGAAACCGTAAATATATTAATTCAATAAACTGAAAATCATGAAAGATAAAACCCTTATTAGACTATAAAAAAACTGGCCCAGGGAATACGTAAATATATTAATTCAATAAACTGAAAATCAAGAAATGTGAAATATATCATTAGACTGTAAAACTTGATAAGTACTGAAAACCAAGATGTGTAAAATCTATACACATAATTAGACTGTGAAAAAAATGGATAAGCACTGAAATAGAACGAAAGTATGGGAATCAATGTCTAAGTTTGTCATAAGCTCCTGAACAAGAGTAACTGTGTACCCATAAAATTGTACCCTGTGTTAATGTGTTGATTTATTGTTAAAAAATCTCAAAACATGAGCTTACCAAGAATTTGATTTACATATTTAATAGGCAAACCACCAAACATCAATATAAAGTTAAAGGAGCTAAGTCGCTAATATTTGGGACCTAGAAATTGACACAAATGGGTCGCAACGCATACAATAATGTAATATGAATGAATATAAATTGATTTACAGTAGAATCTGCATTAAGCAGCCACCCAAGGGAATTTTCACAACTGACCGCTTAACGGGAGTGGCCTCTTAATAAAATCTCGTTGCTTTTTGTGCCGACATAAATTAAATATTACGCTTGGATGCATTGGAAGCGGTCAATTTGGCTGTCGCTGAATCTTGCGCCGAACAAAAATTCTTTACTCAAATCTCGGACATAACTTAACGGGAGTGGCCTCTTAATAAATCTCGTTGCTTTTTGTGCCGACATAAATTAAATATTACGCTTGGATGCATTGGAAGCGGTAAATTTGGCCGTCGTTGAATCTTGCGCCGGACGAAAATTCTTTACTCAAATCTCGGACATAACTTCTGTAAACTTGTCATTTTGTACCAACCTTCGATACTACTGTCTGCCATTGTGATGCATTCGATAATATTTTTCCATTTTTGTGAAGAAAATCGATGAATACATTTTATTTTATCAAAAAAGCACATGAACAAAAAACATCGCTAATTTTATCACCTATTTACAGGGGGTGTAACTCTGTATGTAATATTATAGGAGGCGCTAAGAGAGATACTAGATGATCGTGACAAAACTTGGTACTTTTATTTTATTCAATCAGTATCAAATAATGTGTCGTTACGCGTGAAAACAATGATCAGATTAGTCGTTTAATAAAACAAAAGATTAATTAACAGATAATCCCGGGTTGATTGTTATGTTTACATTTCTTTTTACCTGATCAGTGGGGGTCCAGTTAATTAACTACTACTCACGGGATTAGCGGGGGTGTTACAAAGAACGACAAGATGCTATCATTCAACAATGGCCGTTGAATGGGCGATGTTTTGTTGAATTTATTAGTAAAATAGTGACCGCTGGCCGCGTTAGAGGAGTGACCGTTGAATAAAGAGATAAAACAACAGAATTTCTACGGGGGGAATTTATCGTGACCGCTTAAAAGGAGATGTCGCTGAATAGGAGTGGCTGCTCATACAGATTCTACTGTACATTCAATTGTTTCTGTTTTTACAGTAATTTTTAATCAGTTAGGTTCGGGGACATAGCCAGTATTCTCAATCGAATTTCAATCTCTAGCCTCTGGCTATTCCAGTCTACGCTGATAGCATAGCGTCACTGTTTGACATGACTTGTGGAATATGCCTAGCCTCGTTTTTCGAGTCCCTTATTACACATAGTGCTGAAACGGATTATGGTACACGAATTCGTGTACCAATTGTAAATTGTTTATTTTGTCTTAAATATTGGATATCAGAAGGCCATCTTTTCCCGGTAAGATCACAACATTAATGTTGATTTAAACCGACAAATAAATCGTGTTTTCAATGTTGAAGATTTTGGATGATATTGAATTAGAGACTTAGCTACTTTAAACAATAATTATACAAGTAAGATTATCCATATGTTTGTTTGTGATATATGCTGAAAGATTGTTATTTTATCGCCTGCATTATTTAAATAATGCACGAATTCATATATTGTGTTAAAAAGCTTTCAGGTTTTTTTACTATTAATTTTGTGTCATAATGGTTGTAATTTTTTTTTTTTGGATTAAATTCTGTTAAAAACTACAAAAACATGCTTGTTGTAATCACACTCATTGAGTCATGTTAGATGACAGGGGTGGATACAGAATGTTTTAAATTGGGGTAGTGAAACAAAAGTTTTGCCGAGAGACACAATTTTTTTGTGGACGTTTTCTGGAGATTATTTTTTTAGCAAAAAACATGGCAAAGTTGACTAAAACGTGCAGCTGATTAAAACAGTTTGTGACATGTTGGTGTAGGGGGCATATTTATGATTTTTCACCGATGGGGGGAAACCTAGTAGGAGTATGTGACAAGAAGTAGTCGCCTGTCCAACCTCAACCTCGTTGGTTTTTTCTGAGTCCTCCGGTTTCCTCCCACAGCTAAGTACGCCTACAAGCAAAAGAATTATTGATATAAAATTGAACCATGTGTTAGTCCCAAAATGACCTAGCTAGTAACAAGTGTTAAACCCCATTTATCTCTATCTCCGTGAAAACTGGGCTCGACAGTAAAATGTGGGCATATCTAAAACTAAAAAGGATATAGGCATGGTTACCTGTGGATTAACTATATGGTAAGGAAATAATCATCTAATTATTCTGTGTAGGATAAAGCACGAGACTGAGGTTATGCTGGGGAAAGAATGACTGAAGAAAATAACCTGAGAAAACGAAAAACCGAGACCAGCAGGCCGAGGTTTTTCTGTCAAGGGTTTTTTTTTCTGAAGTCTTTCTTCCCCAGCATAATCAAAGTCGAGGACTTGCTTATAAACCGTCTATGTTTACATGTACGTACAATGAGAATATCCCAGAATTCCAGTAAGAAAAACCTGATATCATGTTTTCCTAAGGAAAATAAAAACCTACCTTGGAAAAATAACCTGTTACAGGTTTAAAGAAAAACTTTCAGAAGAATAACCCCAAATTCACCTGTATATATCCAAAGTCGCCCCCGACTTTCAGACCGCAAGTTATTCTGGTTATAGGTTTATAACATGGGATAAAGTAAGATTCAATCAGGTACACATAGGTGTGCACATAAAACACATAAAAGAACCTTTGACAGTTTGATGAAGAGAAGGTAGAAATATTGCTGTCCCTCAAAGCATGGTGTATGCGTGTCCTTATTAGCCAGGTTTTGTGAAGAGAAGTAGGGATTAAACCCCATTTCATTTCATGGCTCTACTTTACCTTTCTGGTTATGAGTTAACACATATAAAACCAACATAAATTTATGAAATAGTTTTTCATAAAAAATGAAAGAAAAGGTATCAGACATGAAAATGTATTCAATTTTGGTTACTTTTGTTGGTCTAGTAGCTATTAATAGAAACAATATTTTTTCTGTAGCAGTTTTGTATATAATATTGAAATCCTCTGAAGTATTCTTACATTTATAAACACTTTAAAATGTTATAATTATTAGGTTCCTTGTTACTCAAATACAAATGATTTTCAATTCAAAAGAGTAATACATAGGAAAGTGCATGCCTTTTCTTTTTAATTGTAAACAAATCCAACTACACCTAAGGCCCCATCACACCAAACATGCTAAACTTTTTACCCCGTTCTAGATGGGTTGTAGTCGGGGTACAATCTGTAAATAATGTATATAATACGATCCTAGTGCGTTCATAAACAGTCCCCAATACGTCTAGCTTGTCTGTACCCCTTCCACAGTCAGTTTATATCAAGTTCAGATCAAGTAAATTTGCCATTTCCAAGCAGTCTGTAGGAGGTTTAAACCCGTTCGTAACTAGTTCTACCCCGTTCCCAATAAGTCCGCAATTAATTCTAACTAGTTTGTAACCCGACCACCCATGCAGTGTTTCGTTTGATCAGAGCTAATCCCACTTAACAACTGCTGTAAAGGAAGCAAATTTCTGTTCCAAATTATGACTGGTCAACAGTCTGATTAACAACTAATAGCTAACTGCGTAATAATTTCATTAGGCAACAGAGCTCCAAATTGGACCAAATACGTTTACATGATGTGGAAGCCAACGTTAAATAAAGCTATTTCACGCACACACTTTCCATTCCTCTTCACGTTCAACACTTCCAGCTGTGGTGATCAAACTCCCATCACACCAAACCAGTTGTCGCTACGTTCTGGAAAATGTTTAGTCCGATTCAGTTTGGTAAATAGTTCGGGTAGAAATCATGGGATGGACTTTATTTTGAAGGTTTTGAAGTTTAATGACAAAAAAACAAAACAAACAATAGTAGGTCTTCATAGTATGGGAGGACATCTTTTGAAGAGTAGCCATGTTGCGATAATATTCCAACTTATTTTTTGTTTATTTTCACATATCGGCATATCAACTGTGATTTGGCACTGTATTAATATTGGCAGGGGTCATGACTATATTTTAGATTTTTTTCCATCACTTCCTAAATATATTTTCAAGATGGCGAACATTTTTTGGTAGACATGGCAAGGTTTGGGGGCATTTGGAAAAGTGGACAAGGAAATATTTATGAAACATTTTCTTTTTATTTCGCTGGAACAATAATAGTTTATCCTACCATCTTGTAAGATGTGGGGAAAATATATTCTACAAAATATATTAATCTGTGGTGTTTTTCACCACAAGAGTTCCACAAGATATTGAACTTAGAAAAATAAATCTTTTTTTTTTTTCCAAAAATTTCTTCTCTCTTCTTCTCAGACCTCCCTATATGCCTGTGTGGTACCACATTCCACAAGATTTTGGTGAAAAACACCACAGACCCAAAACACTCTATCCAAATTATTGTAAGTTGAAAATTTTGTGGAATGTAATACCACACAGGCCCAGAGGGGTGTCTGAGAAGAAATTTTTGAAAAAATTGTTTTTTGTGGAACTCTTGTGGTAAAAAACACCACAGACCCAAAACAATCTATCAAAATTATTCTAAGTCGAAATTTTGTGGAATGTGGTACCACACATGTACATAGGGAGGTATGAGAAGAAATTTTTGAAAAAATTGATTTTTTTTTCTAAGTCCAAAATCTTGTGGTACTCTTGTGGTGAAAAACACTCTATGAATATTATTCTAAGTCGAAAGTCTTGTGGAATGTATTTATTTTCAGAAACACAGTATCTTGTGGAACTCTTGTGGTGAAATGTTCCACACAAATGCCCCCAAACCTTGCCATAGATGTTTTTTGGCGGGAAAATCGGACGATGGGCTGATTTTGATTAATCTGTAGTGTTCGGTGTCAATATATATGTTTTCAGGGGCACAGATTCCATTTCTGCCAATTACAGCTGTGTAAAATTATCACATGTTCACCTATTTTGCATATTTCCAAGATGACTGCCATTTTTGGCGGGAAAATGGGACTATGCTAATATTAAGTAGTAGTGTTTGATGTCAACATATATGTTTTCATGGAAACAGATTCCATTTCTGCCAGTTACAGCTATATAAAGTTATGGCATGTTCACCTATGAAGACGATGTTCTGATATTGATTAAGTAGTCATCTTTGTTCTCAATATGTTTTCGGGACGCAGATTCCATTCCTGTGGTTTACAACTGTGTAAAATGATCGCATGTTCACATATTTAGCATATTTCTAAAGAATTGACTGCCACTAGATAAGAGAACACGAAAGAAAAACAGAAAAATTGTCAGGTATCCTCTTACAGTCCCATATAACAACTTTTGGTCTTCGAAGGAATTATTAGTGAGCAGAAATTCGGCCGTGTATTTATTATCACTTGTCACATCAGTCAGTTATATAGAGGGATGACTCGTGTTTTCCTTTGGCGTTCGTCACTTCCAATTCAGGAAACCTGTATTACTCAGCTATCGTAGCAATGATCTCTGTGTTAAAATTATATTTGGAATGTGTTTAACCAGCTCTATCACATATGTGATAATGACTGGCACCAATATTGTCCTTTAATTAAAATCTGCTCATCGTCCCATTTTCCCCACCAAAAATGGTCGCCATCTTGGGAATATGCTAATATGTAAACATGTGATCATTTTACAATGTTGTAAATGTCTTAATCAAAATATGCACATTATCCCATTTTCCCGCCAAAAATGGCAGCTATCTTGGAATTGGCCGCCATCATGAAGTGATGGAGAAAAAAAAATAGTGGCAAATAGTGTGAAAGTATATAATACCTCAATTAGAGGAGAGTTACTGCGTTCCAAAGTCTCGGTCAATCAAATTGCTTATTGCCCTGCTTACCTTGAGCAGAAAGTGCTCATTATCGAACTTAGTCAAGGTATTGATGTGGTAAAATTATACACCAAGTGTCCTCACTCTCACTAAATTAGAGCTAAAGTTATCATGTCCCAAAGTATCAACCAATCAAATTGCTTATCTCTGCTTACCCTACGCATGAAAAGCTCATCTTCGACCTCCATCAAGGATTGACCTAATAAACACCTACACCAATTTTGAACATTCTACCTCAATTAGGAGGAGAGTTATTGTGTTCCAAAGTCTCGGCCAATCAAATTGCTTATCGCTCTGCTTACCCTGAGCAGAAAATACTCATTATCGAACTTAGTCAAGGTATTGATGTAATGAAACTATACACCAAGTTTCATCACTCTCACTTAATTAGAAATAAAGTTATCGTGTTCCAAAGCATCAAATTGCTTATGGGCGGCTTATCTGACGGCCCCATTTCACTCGCAAAGAGATACACCGCCAAAAGGGAAATTGGACGTTTTTGATTTTTGTCTTAATAATGAGTAATTGCTCCACCAATCCTCCGACATTCAGCAATTCGTCGTGGCATGCTCCTAATCAACCTTCCAATCACGATTTGGGGCAATCTGACCCACTCCTCTTGCAGTGCCATGGCCAATTCTTGCAGTGTTGTCCGTTGACGTTGAGGAACACGTCTCTGTATCAAATTAAACGTAACACACTAAAGCAAAGATACACTAAACAGTAAATCTTATGCAAGCACCGATAGGAAAGCAAACATGGATAGATAAACCAGCACGCGGCAGTTTTCATCAACCCTTCCTTGAAGTGTCAAATTTGACAATGAACCCCTCCCACGTGTATGGCGCTATTGCGTGTT